ACTGATAATGAAAAGTCGGGGGCTAAACTTGTTAGCCTCTGCAGTAGGAGCCCCATTGCACCAGAGCAGTGTGTACTGTATATGGAAATAAAGTCACATGAAAGTGTGTTTGTGCGTGGAGATAGTGAGGTGCAGGTGGAAGGAGGCGGCTCTAAGTTTGGACGGTGTGCTCCTGTGTACGTGACATCTGACCTGAGGCATTTCTCAGAACCAACACCACTCAAGTGTGAATAACTCATTGCTGCGTGTGTTTGGATAAACCGCTGTAGCAGTGTCGACGCCTCTCCCCTGTCACCCATGTGTTTCACCTACTTCTGACAAACCATTTTTATTTCTCCATTATATATAATTAAGGGGGCTTTCACATTATTTCCTGGTCTAGTCCTAGTTTAAGACCCTTTTGTGTCATATTCAGACTTGTTTGGTCCTTTTCTGATCCTGGTATATTCCCCGATTAGTGCTTAATGTGGTTCCAGTTAAGTTTGAATTTTGGGTCTGTGTGATGAACCCACCCAACTAGTCTAGATGTGTTAAGATTACACCGATAAGTAGGGCTGTGCCAAATACAGAGAGATTGCAACCTCAATTTTGGTCACTTGAGAAAGAGAATATTGTGACAGCAAGAGCGCTGAGAGGAAGTAAGTCACTGTTTATAGTAGGAAGAACTGAGTCAAGGACAGAGAGCAACTGCTCTTAGTTCTTAAAATGCTTCAATGCATAATTTATATAAACATATTTGGCATCTATTTATAATTGATTAATTGAACTAAAATTACCAATATGAGAGAAGTAATCTTGATTATTTATTTTTTCCAGATTGCCATTTTCTACCATACAAGTTAGATAAAATTATGGATGTTTACTATCCATCTGTTGTGCATGTTTTGTCCCAACAAATAGTAATATTGTACTGTAGAATTATCACAGATGAACACTCCTCCTTTCCCTCGTATCTGCATCGGCCTGTGGTCAGATCCCCTCCCAGAGCACAGGGCTGAGAGATAGAAACATGACCTGCTAATGACGAGCTGCTTCTTCTGAAGTGCAAGGCATAGCAGCCCTGCTCCAACACAACACAACACTTTTCTTCTTTCTCTTGGAGTTCACTAGTGTTTTCTGTAGCATATTTTTAGTAATATTTGTATTGAAACTAGGGCTGTAATTAACAAGGTTTTTAGCCGACTATTCCTTTGATTAATTAATTAGTCGTTTCAGATCCTAAAAGATCAGTTTGTTTTTTTACATTTGAGCAAAACAAAGCTCAAGTGAGGCTCTTGGAGAACATTGACAAATAGATGACTTGGGATTGAATAAAAATACATTAGTAAACACGTTTTAATTTTTTTTCTAGAATGAGTCATAGAACCTTTCTCAGCATATTTCATGTAAGGTTTAAAACATATATCTCAATGATAGATGCGATTAATGGATTCACTTGTTACAGCAATTTAAACCAAGTAAACTTTGACGACATACGCTAATCTAAACTATTTTTGCTACATTTGAATCAAACAGTAGACAAAGAGACTAACCGCTGGTGCTGGCCCTTTGAGTGTTTGCCGGACTCCTGCAGAACAAAGCTTCTTTCACAGCGGGCGAGGGAGAGGGCTTTCATGTGTGCGTATGTTTAGACAGGAGTCAGGAACGCAGGCCAGCTTCACCACAACATCACAGCACCACGAGGCCACGGCAGCACATCAAAGCAGGGAAGCACGAACCAGACAGGGTCATTTTTGCCAAATAGAATAGAATCAAAGAGGTTCACCTAAATGAAGTATATCGAGAATGTGATGGGTTTTTTTTTTTTGCCAGAATCTTCCTGTTGGTGACACATGTCGCTCCTAAGCACAGAAACAGTACAAACTCTGTTATGTATGGCTATTTATTTTATGTACATGGTTTCATTTAGATATTTGTGGCGCTCCAAGCCCTGACAACCCAACATTTCTGCTCTTTCAAATCAATGGTCTGTGCTCATTGGCCTCACCATGAAACCCAAAATATTTAGAGGAAGGAACACATTTCTGCCACCTCTGTCGCAGCCCGTAGAGTGTTAAGAAGGAAGCAACGAAACTGCGCATGGGCAGATTAGAAAGAGTTGGTTTGTTGCCCAGACGTGTCGATTTATAGAAAAGTGAAGGATTTAAAACCTTTGAAACTGTTTTTGTTAACATCTATGGGGATCTATGGGGAAAATTACTTTTGTTCAGAAAAGGCTACGTTTGATTTGTACATGTTGGCCTATTATCTGGGGCCACATATAAAAAGTGTGATTCAAGATTTTATGTGGATACTTGAGTTGTAAATGCTTTGTAATACTTTGTAAACTTGAGTTGTAAATGCTTTACAAAGATGAATGACATAACTGCATTCTTCTCTCATTTACCTATTTATTTTCTATGTTTTATATTTTACTGTATTCCTAAACGGTTTTCGCTAAAAGGATGGGATGCAACCCCACCCAGCATTCTTAACACATTTGCTCATTGTTTATTAAATCCCACACAATCACTATAGTAGGGTGTGGGTTCATAGGCTAAAAGAGTGCAATCCGAGTGGGACATGTTATTACTGCCCTGGATCAATCAAACTGCACAGTAGCCTGAAGGAGTGAAATTCTTGGTTTAATCCGGAGTTTGTGTGAGACTAAATCAACATTCAAAATTGATACTTTTAGTTCTGTTTTGTTTTCTCTTTTTTCATGCCGTAGAAGGATTGTATTAGGACAGGGGTTGCTATGGAACATATCCCATTTGGCTCAAAGCATTTTTTCTTTCCTTTCATCAATACATGTTTTCTTCACAACAAATAGAAAATTGTGACAACTTTTTGTGAACAAATCAAGAAACATTGTATCTTTTACATACTGGTACTCTTTTTTTACTGGGAAAACCGATCTTTAGATGTGACAGAGGCCAAAATACATGCATGTGAAACAGGATTGAACCGTTGAGAGCGAGGAACTAGTTACATGGATTTTATTACATAGATATTGTTTTGTGGTTTCAAAGTTAGTTCCCGTGATCATTGTTTTATTTTCTAATCAGCTATTATCAAGTCATTTTAGGAAACTGTTGCTGTGATTTGGGCTGTATTAAAAAAAACCCTGTTAAGGACTTTTCCAAAATATGAAGTAATTGTTATGGTATTTTGGTATTTGCAGTAATATTTCCATAGAAACATACACGTCCATTGCGTAGAAGATATTGTTTTTAGTGACTACATACTAGATGTTTTGGCCACTTGTTGCTTAAAAATGTGTCTCTTCTGATCGATGGAGGATAGAGGAATGTCACATTTTTATAGCTTTTGCAGAAACACGGATTCAGGCCCAGTGTTCGAGTGCTGCGTTGCCGTGGACACAGTCTCCCTGCTCCTCAAGGCCACTTGTGTCATAATAGCAGCGATAAACCTCATGTCGGAGGCGTTTCTCTGCCTCGCCTCTCACACAACTAGATTCTGAAAAAATAAACAACTAGAATTCACCTAGAACTCAATAATGCATCCAATTTTTGCATATGTTCTATTCATTCACACAGCCATCTCAATGTTATTGCTTTCCTCCGTGCTATTATTTATTTATTTCAGGCAACACAGGAGCAACACAGTTGTTATTAGCATAAAAAACATACCTATGACAAACACAAAAAAATCTATTTTGCCTGAAAGGGAGTAGGAATGCTATTACTCCAGAGCTTGCTACTCAAAATGGCAGCTGGTAAGGGTTAATTTCTGTTTTAGTTTCACAGTCTTAAGCTCCTAAACAAATACATAAATATATCAGTGCCAGGGTGAATCCGCCAGCCGACAGACAGGGTCATGCGGGGTGAGCTCAACATGATCGCGCCTGCCCCTCCTTTACACACGCACGCGGTCCCTCCCCTCTTTGCATACCATTGTCACTCTGCGGATGAGTGCTTTTGGAACCTGCTCCAGAGTCGGCTCCTCTTCAAATGGCACACTTGCCCACTTTCCCCTCAAACACATGCACACACTTTCTCCAATTTCAGGATTGCTCTCTCTGACAGCACTTGGCCGATGTACTATGTGCCACTTGACCACTGGAGGATTGATAGAATATTATTATTATTACTAACATGAAATCATTTTAATTGATTGACAGAATTAATAAGTTTTAAAAAATCATCTATTCATATTGTTTCTACTCAATAAAAGACTTTACTGTTTATTCAATTCTCAGTGGGTGACTTTCCATACTTCATTGTGAAAATGTCCAACATGTATTGAAAGTGTATAAAATTAACTAGAAGCAACATTTGAATTAAGTAGACTTATCAGTGAAAACAAATGAGTTGAGTGTAGCTTTCACCTGGCCTCCGTCCTAGGTCTTCACACCTGTCCTGTTTACTCCTGTTTACTCAGTGTCAGTGAAAGTGAAGGAGAGCAGTCTGCAGTTATGGCTGAGATTCAGATAATTCCCAGAGGGTACAGCGCTTTCACAGAGGGGAAACACCACACTGTGCCCCAGGGCCGCCACTAAATACCTGTCTCTTTAACTGTGTGTGACGTCAATCTCCCACCTGTTACACAAACCTGACCCTGTGCGTTTACATTCATATGAATGTGCTTGTGTCTGAGTTCTTGTTTGACTGCACCTCGATAATTACACCAAGACTTTGAAGTGTGACCCTTTAATGACTTCTGTAAATTGCTGATACAATATGGATCATAAGAGTCCATGGGATTTTTAGTAACAAGTGTTGTAGCCAAGCTGGACGTCTAAAGAGCAGGAGTAGTGTCACAACCTCTTTCAGCTAACACATGCAGACACACAAACTCATGCCTCATGAGACTGACTGAAATAGCAAGCTGTTAACAATTAGTGCTGCTCTCTTTCAGAGTCTGACATGCAACTTAACAGATGTGTTAAGTTGCATGTCTTTATAAAAATAAATATTTTTAATCCAATTGAAGTTTGTGAACACTGACACTAATAAAACATATACAAATTACAAATATGTGTTTTTCTTCCTTTCTAGGGTCGCTGTTCCAGAGAGAACTGCAAGTACCTCCATCCTCCTCCCCATCTAAAAACTCAGCTTGAGATAAATGGACGCAACAATTTGATCCAGCAGAAGAACATGGCCATGTTGGCACAGCAGATGCAGCTGGCCAATGCCATGATGCCCGGCACGCAGCTCTCCCCAATGGTAAGAAACATATTTAAAATCAGTTGATTGTTCAGTTCTCTCCCAGTCTCCTACAAGATCAATTTGTACTTGCCCATCACTTCTATTCCATTGTTGTCTTTCTGCCTATAGCCCATGTTTTCTGTCTCGCCCGGCCTGACCAACGCTAGCGCCGCAGCGGCAGCAGCTGCTGCAGCCTTTAATCCCTATCTGAGCCCCATGTCCCCTGGCCTGATGCCGCCAGAGATCCTGCCCAGCACCCAAGTGCTCATGGCCTCCAGCCCCACAGTCAGCCAGGTGCCCAATGCTGCAGCCGCTGCAGCCCAGAAACTGCTGAGAACAGACCGACTTGAGGTAACACACCAACAAACGTTAAGAAAATGTTTGGCTTGAAAAAAATGATACATTTGTATAATCTGATGTGAAATGAGGACTGTTGCAGTAATTATACATTTATAATATTGCATATTTAAAAAATCTGAAATCTGATCTATCAACACTTTATATAAGCATTCAATATTTTGTGTTCATTTATGATTTTCAATGAACTTCTTATTGATATAAAAATTGCCACTAAAAAAAACAGGCCTAAATAAAAAAACTTGGTCTTCTATGTTGATGGCATGTTTATTATTTTTAACAATGTACTTCTAGTTTCTAGCTGGCAAAATTTTAAATGCAGTGCTGCCCTCTGGTGGTTTTATATGCACTTTTATTGACAATATTGTGTTCCTTGCACCTTATAATGAGGTGGATAAAATCACACATGCACATGATACTGATGATTCTGTGTGCAGGTTTGTCGAGAGTACCAGAGGGGCAACTGCTCACGGGGAGAGAACGACTGCCGCTTCGCCCACCCCGCTGACAGCACCATGATCGACACCAACGACAATACAGTCACAGTGTGCATGGACTACATAAAGGGTCGTTGCTCCAGGGAAAAATGCAAGTACTTCCACCCCCCGGCCCATCTGCAGGCCAAAATCAAGGCCACGCAGCACCAGGTGAACCAGGCCACAGCCGCCGCAGCCATGGTGAGCAGTCTGCACACGCTTCAACACCTCACATCTGTTGCAGCTTAAGCAGGCATCAGTTAGGTTGATTTTTATATTTTGTGGCTTTATACAAATTGTCTTCTGGTTTTTCAGTTCTGCTTTTTTTGGTTAAGAAATCTGCATGTTTTTTGGGTTACATTTTCTGAGCAGGATGATGTGAAAAAAGATGAGGAAATGTACACCACTTGAAATAGTTGTAATAGTCATTGCGTGGTGTGAATGCCTCGTTCCTTGTTCAAATCATCCTCAAACACAAAGGAGAGCCAGATCCTTGCCACTATGTTTGAGAGGCCATTGTTTCTGTACTTCCTACTTTTTACTTCTCTTCCTCTTGACATTCAAAAGCAGGACTGATTATATGCTGAGATCCCACAATATCTTTAGTACAGCAGTAATACAGCAGAAATTTAATTTTTACCTTAGTATTTTCACAAAAGTGCCAGGCAGACCTTTGGGGTGAATCATTGTAATGTGACACTATCATACCCAGTGCATATCTTGCTGTCCACTGTGACTACTTATTTTCATCGCTATATTTATCCATTTTCTGTGTGAGTATAACTAATGTAGAGCATAGCTACCACTGATAATTTTAACTAAGCGGTAGAGCTGTAGCGTTCACATTGTGCATGACTTAGTCCTGTTATCCCCTCTGTATCTATATTGCATTCCAATGATTTGTTTTTTTATTTGTTTTTGTTTTTTTCTCACCTATACCCAAACTGCACTGCTGCCCCCATGATGCACCTCTGCTTGCTGGTTTATGTTAATGCGCTTGAACCCCATTGGCCCATTGCCATCATGTGCTCGCTGCCTGCTAATTAAGACTCAGTCGGCTGTCAAATCACTGAAGCGACCCCTCGACGCAACTTTTGACCTGGTACTGAGACCTTTCACCTTTTAGCTTGGCATGTGGCTTTGTTGTTGTGCAATATTTTTATTAACCAAAGATACTTGGCTATTTTTGTTTGTCGGTGCTAAATGTCTTTCCTCCTGTCAATCTGTCATTATTGCTTATGATGAAATGATAGTGGCCTCTTTAGATTACAATGATTGTCAATTTGTAAAATGCATATTTCTACTCTAATGGTCTAACGGGGACACAATCAGTTCATCACCTAAAGCCAATTAAACAAATGTCCGTATAAGGGATAGTGAAGTAGAGCTTTTACAATGGTGGCATGGCTTAAGTCTTACTGTTTGTCCTGTCGGTGCTAAATTCTGTCAGCTGCTCAATCAGAAGTGTGCATGTTTCTGTTGCAAATGCATAAATATAAATAAGGGTGGGGCTAAGAAATAATATTAGATCATTAGAGATTAATGCAGTTCAAATGATAATTCACTCCGGTTCACATTGTGCTGGCCTCCCTCTGATAAAGATTTCCTACCACATTTGCTACTGAACATTGGCTTGAGCTTATTTGACAATGAGAGTGAAATATCACTTAAACATGGCTTACACAGTATATCATGGAGCTAGCAGTGCAGCATCCCTTTCTCTGTGCTTCCTACTTGTCCCACCTCTTGTTATTGTAGCAGCTTCTTTTTTAGCCTACAATATTGCTTGCATATTGCATTAAGACAGTCATACGAGATTAGAAAGAAAAGTTAACAGAAATGAGCCCCAGTTTAGACACTTGTTACAATAGAACTGCTTGTAACGGCTCATAGCTCCAGTAGGCACCATGCTCCTGCTGCTTGTGTAGTATTGTGTCAGACTGCTGCTTGCTTGCTACTGATGAGATATTTTTGTTGTACACACAAATATTATGTGTGATGTTTTTATATGATGTGTCTAACATATTTTTACTCTTTTTGTTTTTGTTTTGTGTCTTCTACACCCCTCTCTGACCACGCACCTCTTCCTCTTCTTGTTGATGTTCTTCCACCAACCATGCGGCTGACAGGGCATCCCCCCTAGTGTCATGGCTCCCCTACCAAAGCGATCTGCCTTGGAGAAGGCCAATGGGGCCTCTGCTGTGTTTAACACAGGCATGCTCCAGTACCAACAGGCTCTGGCCAGCATGCAGTTTCAGCAGCAGGCTGCTTTCTTACCATCAGGTATGCACAATGTCGCCCAGGCTTCAAGCAAGACCTGGGGCCAATTCATCGGTCTCTGCTTATGTAAAGCAAAATACTAAGGTTAGGTACGAAGTGCAAAAGATAATAAAAGCCAAGTTCAAGTATAGTGGACTGGGATAGTAGTTTGGTGCTACACATCACTGTGGTTAGTTAGTTTAGTTTTTCTTACTGTCAAGTGTGTATATCTAATGAGCACACCATGTGCTGACCATAGTGAACACAGTCCACGCCTACTGTACTAGACATAATTTCAGTGCTTTTAAATTTCATTATTAGATTGCTTTAAGACAAGTTCACAAAAGCGCTTTTTTTTCCAATCACTGATGACAATCCAAAATATATTAATAATTTGTTTCCCACCTTATCTCTCCCCTTACCTAACGAACTTTGTGATGGGCTGTTTTGATTTCTCTTCCCTATCCAACCCACTTCCTGTTGCACTGCATGATGGGCAGGCTCAATATTGTGCATGACACCCGCAGCCAGTGTTGGTAGGTTCCAGCTTTCATTCTTTTATAGGAGAGGTTATATTTTACTTTAATGTTGATTTAAGAAATTGCTCATTGTTTGTTGTACATTGTAAATATACAGCTGATTTTAGGCTGATATTTTCATTTGTGCAATACAGTGATATTGCTTGCTTGTTCTTAACTGGGCTCCTGGCTGGTCTAACATGACATCTGGTAAAAATGAAGGAGTTCAATTGTAACCCTCCTCAGTATCTCCTCTGCCGCAGACTTGTTAGGTCTGGTATGTTAAATTACCCTTTGTGTAAAAATTCGCTCACATGATTTCCCTTCATATGTAGTACATTTTTGAAAGTCGTACTTATTGATAATTATACTGTATAATTGTGATATGGGCAGAGGTGTGAAAAGGAGCCAGTTAAGTGAACCCCTCCCACCCCCAAATGCGTGCCTCATTTGCCTGGTGTGTATGTGGCTCCACTGCTCCTGTGAATTTTTGCTTACATGATTTTCCCTCCAAAAAGTTCCCATGATGCACGGTGGTACTCCAGCCACTGTGTCTGCAGCCACCACATCTGCCACAAGCGTTCCCTTCGCAACAGCCTCCACCAATCAGGTTTGCACCTCTACCGCCTCATTTTCTGTCAGTGTGGAGACTTCTTATGTCTGTTAATGCACGTGAATGACCAGGGTGCTTGTGTCTCACTGGGGTGGGTGGGGGATGGCCGTACTCCGTCTTGTTGGCCTACACAATTGTTTATCCTACATACTTCTCTCTTTTTGTGGAACAATACTGTACTGTATTTGATGTCTGTCCTCATTTTAACTTTTTAATTTTTGTCCTTTTCCATTTTGAGGACTCTTCCTTAACAAAGTTGACTACCAACGAATACATGCAATTGGTATGTATGAGGTAGTTTATTCTGATATTTTTAAAGCCATCTGCACAGCTTGTGCAACCGTTGCTTTCTGTGCCCTTTGGTGCTTGGCTTTTTTCCTTTTTTGCCACCGCTTCTAGCACGAAGAGCAAAGCTTTACCATGTTTTAAATAATTTGACAAATATTTGCAACATTTTTTTTGTTCCATTTTTAATGCTCTTTGCAGAATGTCACTGTACTGATAACTCAGTGGTGCAGATACATCATGTAAAATTCTTGATCCAGAGAACGTTTAAAGTGCATTCCACTGAGGTGTGCAGGTCAACAAAATGGAGGACTTTTGCATGGGGAGGACCACACTGACCGTTCCCCCCTCTCGTCTCCCTCTTTTCCTTCTCCCTGTATATTGCTTCTTTAAATAACACAACGTGCCATAACTTATTGCAATTTGTGTCAACTTTTTAGCAATGAACTCATCCTCATAGTGAAGAGGCCGTGGTCATGTGGAAAAGTGTTGTCATACTTTTGAGGACTATCAAACTTCATAATCTGTTTTTTTTTTCATCTTCAGATTCCAATAATATCTGCAGATCATCTGAGTAGTCACAAGTACTTGACTCAAATGTAGTTCCGTTAAAGAACAGTGAGTTTCCATTTATGCAACTCCTCTTAACAATAGGATAATTGAAAAGCTATATGTAGAATTGAAATGCTGCCATAATTCAGATTTAATTTCTGTTTTTCAGATCAAATGAATGTGGGCTGGCACCGTCCAAGCCAAATTAATTCAGCCTTTATGTACATATTCTTCAGAATGTTAAGCGATGGGAGAGGAGGGTCTGCCATTGCTAAACCAGCCCATGACGACGATCAAGTCAACATCCGAGTGAAACACATGCTCTGTGCCATCCACCCATTTGGATTGTCAAATATAGTCTCCAGCAAAGAAGGAAGGAGGTCTGAGCCTCATCACTGTGTCTGAGTGAGAACGGCCAATGTTACACCTTTGTGACTAAACCATTGTGCTCCCTCTGTATTGTTCTCTTTTCTGTACGAGCAGGTCACTGTGTGGCTGCATATAGCGCCACATTGCTGGTACGTTAGTTGACCAACATTTCTTATTTTTATTTTACCTTTTTTGAATAGCCATATTTCAGAGTTTGCAAATTAAATGTAAACATGCACCTTGAATTTTAGTTTGAAACAATAATAGGCACAATGATTTAACAGGAATTTAATTTGCCAAATAAATGTACAGTATTGCAATGTTATGGCTAGTGAAACTAGATTTTAAAATGAGGGTCTTGGACATATGAATGTTCTGGGTAAACCAACATACCTGTGTACCTTGAAGCACAGCCATCAAGGCCATCCAGCTAACCCCGAGTGTTATCTCACCAGTGTTATTTGTTTACCGAAGGTAAAGTTTTATATGGCTTTTGTATTGTTGAGGTTTAATTATGCCCTTTGTGTTATTATATTTTTCTTCTCTCTTTGTTTAACTTTTCTCTGGTTTCTATTTAATCAGTTTGAGAGTTTTAGAAGTTTAGTGCCATTTTTGTTTTCTATTTTTATCATTTTACAGAGCATGTTTTGTTTATGTAGATCTATAAGTCCATTGGCTCTAAAGTGAAACATGGAGGGGGTAGCTTTAACTGCATCATAGTGTTGCTTCCTCGAAGGGGGACTTTTCCATGTGTCTGAGAGCAGATCTGGTGAGGCATGTGTCGATGGGAAAACTTTGTATTAGGTCATCTTCACCACACGTGCACTTGATTTCCTGTCCCTCTGCCCATCACTGCTCCACAAGCTTGTCTTGAACCTTTCCCTAAAGTTTCATTAATAATCTAGACCTGAATTTAGATACCAAAGCACAGTTTGTCAAGAAGTTACACAATTGGACTATTTTACAAAATTATTCCTTCAGTTCTTAGTTAAAGATCACTTGCCTTTGTCTTGTTCACGAGGTGTATACTAGTGTGTCTTTACAGATTGTAATGTACCTAACAAAGCCTTAGATTACTGTTTATGGGCCTCAGCCCACTCCAATGTAATTTTTATCACATGCACCAATGATGTTTTATAGTTTCTCACACATTGCTTATAATTTGTTTTTCTCTTTGTGTAAAAGTAACAATTACTCTTAAATATGTGTTATATACTACTTAAGGATTTGAATATTTGAGGTATAGTTATAGATTGTTTCTTTTTGCCTTACTATGTATGACTTGACAACATTGATATAGCCGTTGTAGATAATTAAGGTATTATGACAACCTTTTTCCATATACAATATAGATTATAATCTGGTGACTTCATTTGTCTTTTCAGTTGATGTCACGTCATTATCGGAGAATGTTTTATTAAGAAAGAAATTTTTGGATGCAAAGAAAAATCCATTATTGAGTGTAGACAAACACGTGTGTAGTAATCCATGTATTGTGTTTAAAATATTGTAATGGAAAATAGATTATCCATGTTTTAGGGTATTTTTTTACTGTATCCATTTCAAAAATATGTGTATAAGAACATGTTTGTTTTAAATATTTCTTAAGTTTGCCCTGAGTGTCAGGCCAAAATGAGCAGTAAGATAGATGGGTGTTGATGTTTGTGGATGATGAGATTTGAGGACAGATTGACTTTTCCAATGTGGCGAAGTCTGAAATGCTGCATATGATGAGTTCGAACCTAAGGGAAGTGGGTTGATTTTTTGCACTTCTGTATATAGTCAAATGAACAGAGAAAATGTGTATCATATTGAGATATTATTTTGAATAAAAAAAGATATATAATTATGAGGAATTTTGTTAGATTAATTTAAATTCTTGAATTAGAAGACCAGCTTAAATTGCTTGCAAAGAAGGGCACTAGTTTTTTTGGCCAACGCATTCAGAGAGAGCTATGCGCTTTTTGTCTTATTTTATCTGTACCTGATATTGCCAGGGAATGTTATATGGGGTAATACCCATGTCCTGCTAACTCTTATAACACCCTTTTAAGAGGCCATATCCATTCATGTTTAAAATCCTGTATTCTTACATAGATTGATTTTATTGCATGTAGAAAATAAATCAGTAACAGAATAAATTAAAAAGCTTGTAAGGAATTACATGTCCAGAATGCACTCAACATCCACAACAATTGGGGAATATTTCTTCATCAATGAGATAAATAGTTTGTCAATAAAGACATGTATCCACCCCATATGCTTAGCCACAGTCAACACTCGAGAGATTGTTTCTTCATTGTGCACTCAGCAGGCAAGGTCACCACAACACCAAAAATATTTGGCCAATTAGCTCTTCAAATGAATGTAACAGTAGCCAATGTCTGCAGAACTTGAGGCTGCTGTGTTGATGCTAGAACCAAAGCACAGTTTTGTCCAAACCGGATATTTAAGGTTCTCCTCCCTGCTGGGGGCACATAGACTTTTTCCTTGTAAGTGCAACCACCACTTAGAATTGCCACAAATGCCATACAATAATGCATAACTATTTTGTCTTCAGACTTTTTCATGCACATTATGTTGTTGCCATATATCTGACTCTTGCTGTATGGATGAAACAAATCTGAATAAAACTATATTTCATTTGCTTATGCAGATTTGTGTCATTGCCTCTTTTTGAGCTAAAGTGTCTTTAAAGTGTAGTACTTGACCTTATTAAGAACAAATGCTGTGTCAATGCACTTGCTAGAAGTGAGAGGCTACTAGAGGTGAGTAGTTTGCATTCTAACCATGTAACTAATTGTGTTTCATAATCCAGTTTAAAAAGTATGAGAGACAAGTACAGCAGCACAAGAGCGTGTCATAAACCAGCTTCTATCCTCCACTTATCACTGCTCTGATTGATCAGAGTTCCCATTCTCCAAAATTTTGTTTAATTTTGTAGGACATTTTCACCATCTGATGATGATCAGTATTTGTGTTTTTTTGGGGCCCTAAGCAGAAGTCAGCGAAGAGTGGGATTCTCCAGACAATTAAAACAAAGAAAAAAATATCATTTATCAAGAAAAATACCTTTCTAATCCAATCTTTTTTTTCTTTTTTTTTTTACATACAAGCAAGACTTTTTTTTTTTTTAAACATACCGAAACATGCTGAAATCTTGTCATTACCACACATTATATTCTAGTACTCTGAATAATGAACAAGTTAATGATTTTCTGTATATGTTGCTATAGATTATATCATATGTATAGAGAGAACTACAATGAGAACTGCTGAGCCTGTAGATGTCATTCATCTGTAAATAAGTAAATACTAAAATCATGTGCAATGTGCAATACTCTTATCATTTATCAGCCATAACAGTGTTTTAATACAGTAAATACGCAGATTTACTGAATATACGCAGCCCTGCCACTTTAATGGACATAGATGTAGGTGGATATATTTTAGTCTATAATATTTTTTGTATGAACTGTTATTACGGTAACTTGGAGGTTGCGGCTCCTTTAAGAAAACGGAACTGAACGTCGGCTTTTGACGCTGCTGACTGAGGATGTGGGCAGGAAACGCCATGCAAGAAGAGACAGGCAGCGATCACGCTTTACAGCGCTGTTGCACAATGCAGTACGATCAAAATGCGCTGTAATTGGCGTCGCTAAATGTGTGGGAGCGGCCGTTCTCCTTGGATCCGTAAGCCGCCTTCAGACACGTACAGGCCGGAGCTTTGGCCCACACAGAGGCGAGTCTCCGCGGCAGTGGGCAGCCCCAGACAGCTCTGCTCGCCGTGAAAACATTGGGGCTGGTCGTAGGGTGGGAGCAGCAGGCTTCTTCGCGTTAAAGGACATATCTGCGACATTTGAGGCTATAAACAACCATGAGGGAGTACAAAGTGGTTGTGTTGGGATCGGGAGGAGTCGGGAAGTCCGCACTCACGGTCCAGTTCGTGACAGGCTCCTTCATAGAGAAGTATGACCCCACTATAGAAGACTTCTACAGGAAGGAGATCGAGGTGGACTCCTCTCCGTCTGTGCTGGAGATCCTGGACACGGCTGGGACCGAGCAGTTCGCTTCCATGCGAGACCTCTACATCAAAAACGGCCAGGGCTTCATCTTGGTCTACAGCATGGTCAACCAGCAGAGCTTCCAGGACATCAAGCCCATGAGAGACCAGATCATCCGGGTGAAGAGGTACGAGAGGGTCCCCATGATCCTGGTGGGCAACAAGGTGGATCTGGAAGGGGAGAGAGAGGTATCCTCAGGAGAGGGGAAAGCCCTGGCCCAGGACTGGAACTGCCCTTTTATGGAAACATCAGCCAAAAACAAAGGCTCTGTCGACGAACTGTTTGCAGAAATAGTGAGACAAATGAACTACTCCACTGTTCCCAGTGGTGGAGACCAGTGCTGTTCCTGCGTGCTGCTCTGAGTGCACAAACCTGACAGCACATGCACCCCAGGGGGTGAACCGTGTCCTTTCGTAAAAGTATTCTCACCTCACACTGCTGTCTTATTGTTGCACAGAAATTGACAATGACAACAATCGGTGATGTATCATAGTCTGGAAGTGTTTACATGATAAAGTACTTGAATGTTTTTTTTTTTATATAGCTTTGTATTTGACACTTCTCTGGAAATGTGCCTCAACTATAGACTGTATAGAAAGATGGATCCTGTGAGCTGTCAAAGTCTCAACATCATAGTATCTTTTTTTTTAAAATCGAAATATATGGTTTTAATATGCTATCAAAAAAACCAAAACATTTTTCTTCGTCATAATCACACCATCAAGAAACAAATTTTATGGCAGATATCTTTTTCCACCTTTTTGGGTCATCATAATGCAGTAATAGCACGTCTATCTTTACATACAGTCTATGGCTACAAAGGAACCCTTATTGACCTAAGAGACACTTAATTTTTCGTTGCTTACTCCAAGAACATTAGTTTTCAATTTGTACTGTTGTGTATTTTGGCCTGGTTATTACTTCTGCCTTGGATGTTTGGTGATAATGGGGGAGGTGTTGCTTGTATCAAAAACTGGCAGTGCAGCAAGAAGCAGAGATGGACCACTTTTTGTGACTTTTGGGAGGGACAAATCAACGAGGCCTGTTTTTAGTATTTTTAAAACTCTAATTTCACTCACCAATCAAGCCTTGCGTAGGTTTTTTTTTTTTTTCTCCAAACCCAGCCTCCCAGGGGTCTAGGTCCACCCACCCATGTGCTTGTCTGTTTAAAGCTGTGGACCATGCTCCCACACATTCAAAAATACATTGTTTTTCTTTCCCTGGTTGCACTTACCTGATGGCATTTCTCCTCAGTGTGCACAAGCAAAAAAGAACCATAGTTGAATTGCTATCTATTGCTACATGAGGGATACATTAAGCCCTTATGTAAAGTGCCTTCCTATAACAAATCTCCTGTGACTGTGCCAATAAATTTGCCCGGCTTCCTCTGCAGTGCGTCTCAATGGCAATCAGAACTTTTTAGTGATTAAGTGAACAAGCTGACTTTTGCAAAAAGGTCTCAAGGTACTATTTATCAAAATAACATGTACTGTTGCTGAGTATATTTTGGATCACTGAATGGAAAGCCATGTTTATCTGTATTATCTATAGGTTATCGTTTTATTTCCTATTTTATAAAATGTGACCTTTTTAGTTACTGTAATTGTACCTAATAACGTGGCAAATGTTCTGCCATGCATCTGTCGGTTAAACAACTTGTAATACAAAACACATTTTACAACAGTTCTGTCTTTGTTTCATCAATACAGGACTTTGTTTGTGCTTTTTACAGAATAGAGAAGGTATTAAAAACCCTTCAGTAAAAATTATGCCGTTTTTGTTCCTTTAGTTATTGACATATTATTGTTCTTGGCGAGAAAATGGACACTATATCCACATTTTAGAACTTTGTGAGCAATTCAGAGTATTTTATGAGCAGCAACAGATGGCTCTATGTATGTCAAAACTAGAATCAAACACAGAAGTACCCTGAACATAGATTGATTATAATTCTAAGGCAACAAAATATTACATATAACAACTGTTCTAAATTTAAGCTTACAGCCGTTTGATATACTTAAAGTACCAAACCTTTTTCATTAGTAACACATGATGCAATTTTTCACAGCAGAAGTAAAAGTGAATCAGTCCACAACAAGCTTTATGAATCATTTAAGAACACATGTTATCTTTTGCATACTTGTGAGTCACTATTTGGGAAATAGAAGATATTCTGTCTGAAAAAGCTGGTCCATAGACAGAGCCCAAAAACCTGCAAGTGGAATATAGTGATAGAACCAAACTGTTTTGAGAGCTTTGAGTCACATGGATTTTGCGTTCAACAATCTGGGGTTATTACAAATCAATGTGAAACCAAATTAATAACAGATCATTTTGAAACCAAAATGCAGCACATACATGGTGTAATGACAACCTGAACAGCAGGTTCTCAAGCTTCATTCTTTCTAGCAGACGTAAATAAACAAATCATTGTAAATGCTCAAATTGAATCTTTTATTGGACAGAATAGAATCCTCGCTGTTTTCATATGGATACATATCTTTTAATACCAAGTCCTTATTGTTGAGTAAGTGATGGTGGCTTTGGCGGGAGAGCCCAATAAAGACGCTCTCATTGCATTTGTTTGGCTTGTGGGAAGAGTTTCCAGTAAGTGTTGGGCCAGGGCAGAGCTGTTTCTCTCTTACCTCTGAGGCACAGAGAGGCCTTTCTGTGGCCGCAGCAAAGTTCAATCCACCAAACATACCACGGCCTAGTATTTGTCCAATCAGACCACAGCGATGCAAAATACACGGCCAGATATTCACATTTAGTCAAAGGACTGGGTCTTATCACTAATAATATACATTAGGCCTGACTATGTGAGCAATCTCAGTGCTGAAAACCCAACAGTACAATATTCTCATCCCTAAAACAATTTGGTAATTTCTACCAAATTACCAATCACACGTCTTCAGAAAAATCCCACCATCTCTGTGCTGTTAAGATCAGTGTTAGGTTTCATTATTTAACACTGCTGTTGTAAAAATAAAAGGGAACAAAGTCTAGACAATGGCTGACATTGAGAATTGTCACTGTGACATGCTGATGTTACTGTTGTAAGCTTTTTCCATTGTTAAAGTTGTGTGTTTTAGACATTTAGATTGTATACATTTGGAAAGAGATACATGTACTGTATGATAAGTGTTCACAAACTGCCAATACATGTAAAAATCCAACCTCATTGGATTGAGGTTTGGTAAGTAAACATTTTACATTGATGTTTTGAAATGACTAATAGTTTTACTGAGATACTGACAGCTCCTCTTATATCAGACATCTGTGTGAAACTCGTTTCATGCCTGCAGGGCTCCTGTCATATGACTTGAAACTGACATCACCAAAATACTTCTCTACGCAGTAAAACATTGTGCATTAGTGACACTAATTAATAACATTTTAAGTAATTGTTACAATTGTTTGAGCTTGATTTGTTTCAATTTATATCCACAAATCACTACTGATGATATAAGAAGCCTAGTGATTGTGATCAGAGTAAGTCTGATTTAGCGCCATGGCTGTTGACCTCTGGTCCCCACTCCGAGCCTGATTGGACTAGTAGTGACTTCCTTGAGTCAGAAAATGTTTGAAGTTTAATCTTCCCTCTTCAAAGATGACTGTGCTACTTCAACAGCAGCAACATCACAGTTTGTGCTGAACATTTATTACTGACAATAAATTCTTTGGATGGTAATATGCACCTATGTCCTCTAAAGAATCCAGAATCAGCTCAGTTAACACTTACAGCTGTTTATCTCATCTTAGGGACAAGCACTCTGGAAATAGACTCCTTGATATCGTTGGGCGACAATAGCTCAATTGGTAGAGCATTGGGCTTTGAGCCAGAAGGTTGTGGGTTCGAGCCCACCACAAGACTTTCTCCACCCACTGCTGTCATTGTGTCCTTGGCAAGACACTTAACCTCTAGAAACACCAGCCACAGTGGGGTGGCTGCAGGTGTAAAGAGCCAAACTGCAGTGTTGTCCTTAGGCAAGACACTTTACCCCCATTGCCTAGAATGAGTCTTTTGTGTGTGGTCGGAGGGGCCGCTGGCACATACTGGTTGCCTCGCTTCTGTCAGTGTGCCCCAGGGCAGCTGTAGTAGTTTATCACCACTATGTATGGAGTGAATGAATGACATGTAAAGCGTCTTTGAGTGTCCAAAAAAGCGCTATATAAAACCGATGCATTACTATTATTATTATTATGCACTGGACTACCTGGCATCAGAACCAAAAAACCCAGTCTGCTTTGCTTTCAGTTTGACCTTAGAAAGGCACCATTTTCAGGATTCCAGCATTATGTAAAGAAATAAAAGTAAAATACTATTAGTAATCTATTATAACAATGCATTTTAAATTGCTCTTGACAGAAAAAATAAAATAAATAAACAACTCTATATATTGTTTTTATAGCGTTTTTTCATTACCCTTGAATGTGGTATAAATATCCACATTGTATTGGAGTTGAAAGTAATTGATGAGGTATCATATTGTAGAAAGAAGGGATAAAGAAGTTGTATCATTTCTCAGAACATCTCCCTGTCTGATACTGAGATTGCATTAGTGCGGGGCTGGAGTCAGATTGTGTACAAGTGTGGATGAGTCACTGCTCTTGGAGGGAACAGTGAAGAAAAGGCTTGAAATAGTCTAAACGCTGTGAGTGGGAGGACATAGCAGACATGGCTCTCTTAGCTGACACGTATTCCCACACTCCACCAGTATATTAAATATTCTTTTCATCAGAGGGAAGCAGGTATAGCAGAGACCTTTAGTCCACAAGGAGAAAAGTCAATATTCAGCAAATCAACCATTTATGGATAGCCTATAGCTGAAAGGTCGCACAGTATAAGAGATCGTTATGCAACTGTTGTTTGATCATCCTACCTGTCCCTAACCATCAGACTAAACTTAAGCTGTAAAAGAACAAACTGGAATCTCATTGAGTGTCACCTTGTTGTCCAACTGGTACTGGTAAGAACCTAAAGCCAATAGGTTGGCTTTTAATATCCTGGCGATAAAACATAGATACATTAGCTTTTTTTTTTAAGCAATATTGAATTATTTGGTGAATGTGAAGGATTTTTTATCTTATTATAAGAAGTAGAACATTAGATACACATACATACAAGTTTAGAATTATTGACAATTTAAGTGTTTTATTATTTATTGTTTTATTTGTTATTATTATTACATAATATTACACGTTAAGGTATGAAGATTGCATTTGAAATCATAGTTTAAAAGGGATAAAGTAATATAAATTGTGTTTATTTGCAACACTGATCTGAAGGGGGCGCCCCTTACTGAAGCCTGTGAGGAAATAGTTGTGTGAAGTATTCAAGCGTCACTCAGTCACCTCTAACTGAACTCGAATGTGGCCAAAAAAAAAAGAAAAATAGAATGTAGAAAATGATAATGCCTGTGATGACATCACTGTAGTCAATCAATAATAAGAATGTCATACATTATTCATACCACACTCAGAGCCACAGCTGCCCTGACTAACGAGAGTGAGGCTGTTTAGTCCAAACATTGTTTGCTTTCAAGATCTGATGAGTAGCAGAAACTTAAAAAATACAATAAAGTCTGAAAGGTTGGTGACCTGCATCTCTAAAGAATGGCCTTAATAACTATGACAAATATTTGATAATTATTATCATCTTATAAATGAATTATCATGATACTGTTGTTCTTATTGCAAAACATATTTGTATGTGATGATTTTTCATAATAGTATTTAGTGCTTTCAACTGTATCTAGTGATGTTTGCCTTTTATGGGTTTATGTCAGCCTGCCTCATGTAAATGAGACTGGCAGTGCACATCGTGTGGGAGGACAGCCTCAGTGGAGAGGTGCTCTCATCAGCTACAATGTTTCTGTCTTGAGTTTATGACCACTTAATAAACCCTCCTTTCTGATCAAATGTATGTTGTCTGGTGTGATGTAATTTGTTCTCTGTTTATAGACAGTCCACACCATCAGACAAATGTAATGGTTAAAAGTTTATAAAGTAATAATGACAACAAATCATTATGTTCCTTTAAGGTTGGTTGTATTGCATTTGTCCACACGATGGCAGTCTAAAGCAGATCAATGAAGACAGATTTCAAGCCACAAACAGTAAACACTACACGTTGATGCTTTTATGAACTGTTCATGTTACCTCTTTGATTATGTAAATAGAATCTCATAATGTTTATTAAAAGGTGCATTTGTTTTACTTTATTATTCTTATAATATGTGGAGGTAATGAGGCGCAACTGCCTTTCAGTAACAAATTTTTAAAATAACAAATAACAAAGATTGTCGCGTCTGCTTTTTTGAGTAATAATATACATACGTAATTGTCTATATTATGAGTAGAGGTGTGACTTAGGTGTGGAGTTATATAAATGTTTGGTTTACCTCCCCAACTCTGTCCCGAGCATAATGGTCAGGTACTGTATGTGAACACCTCTTTATACTAATATTAAAGGGCTTTGTCCATGGCTTGATCCCTGCATACTAATTTTAAACATGTTTCTTTCTCACAATGATTTGACGTTAGTAAACCCTATCACACAATGTGGATCAGCAGATCTGAAATACTTCTCTTCTAGTGCAGATGGAAATATCCCTGCAGCTTTGTTGGGCTTCTCTCACCGACAAGCCAGGCTTTTCCCCTGGAGCCACGAGGTTTAACCTTAATCCCCCTTTGTCTTCTAATTTGTCTATGAACCAAGAATAAAGTTGACATCACAGGTGTGTTTCTGCTCTTGTGTCTGCATAGATACTATCACAATGTTGCAACAGAACACCAATGTAATGTTAAACAGCTGCTGTACAAACCACTGAAATTGTGTTAGGATTTCACAGCCTGGAACTGGCAGAAGGCAAACTCCAACACCAACCTCGCCTGTCCGCATGTACAGCATTGCTACTTGGCCATGCTTTTTTTAAGGTCAGGACTAAATATATGGTAGAGATTTACTTGCAAAGGAAAGAGGCCCGGGGCAGCAAAAGTCATGTACCTCAAGGCGGCCTGCAGTGAGATCCCCGTCCCCAGGCAGAGAGGTGGTCCCAGGCTGGAGCGCTGTTCCAGTGTACAGCAGACACAGAGGCAGGGGTCGGTGAGCAAAACGCAGCCCTCCAGTCCCACCACTTGTGTGCCTCCAAGCTTTGATGTCGGCAGGACCAGAGAGCGGCAGAGTTTTGAGGAGCTTCTACGTGCACACAGGCACTTTTTCCAAGGCGCAGACCTGAGTGCTGGCATGGTCTACAGGTAAGAAGATCTTCACTGCAATATCACATTGAAAAACAAATAATTTAGATTTCAGCTTCACTGACCAGTTCCTCAGTTTTGTAGTAACAATGCTCAAATCGATTTGATTTTGACTATAGTTCACTAAAATTTGACATTGGTTATACAGATATACAAAGTACAACAACATGTTGGTCTGTCTTGAGAACTATTTCAAGTTTGCTTGTCCTTCATTTCTTCCTCATGAAGTCAACCATTTGTATCAGTTACTAAAAATATGTGCCTGTTGAAGAAAATGGCTCAGAAGAGATTTTGTTTAATGGAATAGAGAGCACTTTCATCTTCTGAGCATATGAAGTGTTTGCACAAGGAGACAAAGAATTAATACCTTCTGTAATTAGGCTGGAGTTAAAGGCACTCAAGGCCATCACCCTCTATATTTGCAAAATGTGCACGAAAGTATGTCTATAGGAATGTGATCAAAACAATCCAACAAACAAATTAGTCCTCTCCCAGGGTTCTCAGTCCTATCTCCTGAAACCCCAGTCTATCTCCAAATAGATGGACTGAAACATAATCAGCAGAAGAACCCGTCCTCACCTTTGACACAGAAACGGAATGTATCAGTCAAAGTCATGACACGTAAACACATGTTATACTGTGTAGTACACCAGGGACCACAACAGGATGCTTTGCATTTGGCTTCTGTCCTGTTCATATGCAATAAACTAACATTTAGAAAATAAATAAATCTTTGATTAAGATTAAGATTGAGATTAAAATAAATGTCAGTGTTGGATCACAAGTTATAGAACAGTAGGAAAAAGGTGCACACAGCACAAGATAAGATAAGTGAACAATAGCTATACTAATTAAATTAAATTAAATTACATCACAAACTTAACATTACACAAACATTCCATAGCACAATTGCAAATATTGGACGCAAATTAAGGCTTTTGCAGTTCAGTTTTTTATTGCAAAAATCAGTCTTTTTCAATGGGAATTTGTGTGTCTCTTTTAAACTAACATATTTTTGCTATTCACTGGGCAAATCTTGTTTTAAGACACACATTTGATTATTTATATTCTTCATTGGTCAGACACAAAATTAATCCAAAGCTTCCTTAAAAAAAAGAAAATCCAGACAAATTTGCAGCAACTTCCTCCTGTCTTTCAAAATCAGCGGCATGAGGCTTTGTGGCCGCTGGGTAATAACATAAGGTCAGTAGGCATCTGCAGGGACCCATCACAGTACAGATGTCAGCCACCATCAGCCTCACTCTGTGCAGCTATTTCAATGAGGTTTAGGCTGATTTCAGACTCTGCAGTGATCTTAATGGAGGTAATGGGAGATCAGCCATTGTGGGAGAATAAATGGCACTAATAATGCGAAGAATATATTACTGGGACACGGAGTGACAGTAAGGTAGCACACCATCTTTCACAATTTCAGTTCTGATTGTGAAGAAGAGGCATTGTTTCATAACACTGACAATTACATCTGCATACTGTCTGGCTATTAGATGAGATTAATCCACTCGTTTCCCCGCACAGTGTTGTATGCTCTACGCATCATAATAACAGGCTTAATCTGCGGCAAATGCTCAAGCTATAGACTGGAAAGATGTGGCGAGGGAGGTTTAAATGTGTTAGCGGAGAAGCAGTGAAGGGAGACTGTTGCTGCAGCAGTGACGTCACGCAGGCTTCCCCGCTCATTATCACCTATTCTCTCAACAGGGGGTTATCACTGAGAAGAATTATATTATAATCAGCAGAATATCCTTCAGTAGATAATACAACAATAAAATACTTAATTGCCCTCTTTTACATCACCTGCCATAAAGAGCTATACTTGGGTATTATGCAGTGCACAACAGCAAGATGTTCCTGGATATGATACCTTACAACCTCCCAAAAGTGTGGTATTTGAGTCTCCCAAAATGCTACGTTATGAAAACCTGTCAATATGAAGGTTTCAGTAATAATTCAGAAGATAGAGTTAAACCTGCTTCGGTGTAACACCAGCAGACTTATACAACACCTCAACATGGTGTTTTTGAGTGAGAAATGTAATTTGTAGTAGGGGAGGCATTGTATACAGTGTTGAACATTTAAAGTAAAACAATAACAATGAGATTGTTGGTATTAACAAGCAAAAAGCAGTTCCAAACTAAAAAAATAAATAAAAGTGTCAAAAATAAGATGTATTTACCAAGAAGCAGGTTACAAGGAGGAGTACTTGGGCCGAAAGAAAACTTGGATAAGAAAAAGTTTCCTGTAGGATATATAATGTACAAAAGACAAGGCAAAAAAGTCATTTGAATGATAAATACAAAGGGAGAGACCTCCACAGATGTGCAGAACTAGAGCAGAATAACCCTACCTTGCGTTTAATCACCCTGTGACTTGTTTGGATTTCAGAGACCAGATGCAAGCCGACACTGCGTCGCTTTGCATCCTTAATGAGTATAGAGGGCATAGCGAGTGTGTTTCATCCCTGTTCTCACCATAGACCCCATAGTTCCAATGTCTGACCCATATGTGTATTGTTGCTTCAGTCTGGATTTAACAGAAACGATGAGAGAAAAGGCTTTGTGTTTTCATGATAAGAGGTGGAACGACAAATAGTAGTTGATAAGTCTAAACTCATCTTGCAGCCACAGCACAAATATGAAAGTTGCTAGTTTTAAGGATTATCAGTTGCATATTACAAACATGTATGTTATTTTCTTATTCATTAATAAGAAGCAGTTTGGTCATGGTTTATCCTCTATAAGTGTTTGTAGCAGAGAAGATGCTCTGTCTGCATCATAAGCATTTCTCTCACACATACAGTATGTAAACAGCATAAGCATGTTTCAATTCCATTTTATGAAGCCCCAAGGGAAAATGCACAGGCTACAGCTGATTAAGTTTACTGTTCCAATAGCTTGTAGAAGACTACTGATAAATACGGATTTAATTTTCCTCGCTCAACTTGCATTAATTACAATGTTTGGGGAACTTACTTCCTAATGGAATCCCTTGTCTTTGTTGAATAATCACGAAATAGCCTACTGCAAAGAGCCAGAGGTATGTCCTAGTCTCCTGTGATTATAACAAATTAGGCTGAAACAAAATAAAACAAATGGTGTATTCAAGAGTTTAAGTTGAAACATGCTACAATTGTGTAATACTGATCTATGTTGTATGGAAAGTTGTAAACTGACCTGAGCACATCCCGCCTTTGAGTCTCCCATTATCAGATGTTATCGTGGGATATAAATACAACCAGGGTTGGCCTGGAGGTTTGTGTCTGTTCAATGAACCATGGGATCCCGCATTACCTCTTACCATGGGGGAGGGAGACTGCACAGACGCGTTCACTGGAACTAGTCTTTGCACCACATTGTAATGTCTTAACCATAGTCATAGACTGTATATAACTTAACTGTGCTAGTCTTTCAAAGTCAGCTGCTCTCCTGGTAGTGCCGTTGTAGGCGGCTGTCATCATAGATCCATGGCTGTCATGAAGCTAGGAGCCCCTCTTTGTACATGTTAATGTCAGTGGGAATGAAGTCAACACCAATTCAGAACTGGAAGGTTAGTTGCAGTTCGATATATATTAACTATTTTAAACTTTTTTAAGGCTTGTTTGTTAATGATATGTTGAAGCTAACTTTTCATGTTGTAGCTATATATAATCTAGCACTAAACATTCTCTAGTCTACGGTCTACTCAAGTTACTCGCTCATTTAGGCCATACATTACATATTATTTACATTTTAACAAATTTTGAGCAGTGTGCGACGTTATGTTTATTAATGGAACAGTTGAAGAAAGTAACTAAAGATGACAACCAGAGTTTTTCAATGTCCCCTCTTCAAGACAAAAATACCTTAGCTCGTCAACATCTGCCACGGTGCCTTTTTTTTACAGTCTATGCTTTAGATACGTTTGCGTTTACCTTTAGGTTAGATAACCAAAACATCGTTTCGACAGCAGACAGTTGTAATGACGGCTATAAAAATAATAATGCATTGGTTTTTACTTGAGTGTCACTTTTCAGGACGCAAAGGACGCCACATGTCATTATTCATCTACTCCATACACAGTGGTGATAAACTACTACTGTAGCCACAGCTGCCCTGGGGCACACTGATAGAAGTGAGACACCCAGTATGTGCCATCGGCCCCTCTGACCACCACCAGCCATTCACACACACACCAGATTCAATCCAGACAATGGGGGTGAACTGTCTTGCCTCAGGTCAAGACAACAGTTTGGCACTTTACAGCCGCAGCCGCCCCGGCCCCCGCCGTGGCACCTGGTTTTCCCAGAGGTCTCACATCGCAATACTAACTAGGCCTTGCCCTGCACAGCTGCAGAGGTCTGCTGAGATCTGGCTTTCGAATGCAAGTTTTGCCTAATTACACAATAAGTCTCAAAGAAGATCCATACTATTATGTGCCTGCTGTACTCTCAAAGTAGAGCAGCTTTTCCTCAAGTGCAGAGCCCTGTTATGGGCCCCATATCAATTGAAACATACCTCAAGGCGCCCCCTAATACATTTTAGAGTATGACCTTAGAATATGTAATGCATGATATATGTTAAATACAGACAAACCCACATAAACGTACATTGTTTAAGTTTTTTCTCAGTAGATTAAATGATAGACACAGTATAGTAATATAGACAAGTCTGTACTGAATATCAGAAATCTTCTGCTATGAGTTGCTGGTAACTAATTTCCAAAGTTACTTCAGTGGAGTGGGCATGTAAAATTATACAACAGTTTTCAACTAGTCACTGTATGTATTGCAGGCCTTTCTTGAGACATCCATTGTGTTACTTCTTTCAAAGTGTTGCACATAAATTACAACAACATTTCCGCTGGTCCTAAACCGGTGTAGCTCCACACAAATCCACACTGCACGCTCTCTCTCTCTCTCTCTCGCTCTCTCTCTCTCTCCATTCACTGTGCAGCCCTTCGCCTCCTCGCTGCATCTGTGCTCTCATTCTAGTGTCTGAACTGAAGTACCATGCTTCCTCCCATCTCATCCTCTCCTCTGTATGTCCGCTACTGTTGCAGAGACGTGCTACCCAACAGAGCTCTTTCATGGTATAAACAGAAGAGGACCACAAAGCTGCTGCATTAAGGACTTTGGAGATGGGACACTGGCGAATGTCACATTTGAGGACAATGACCCCTGCTGTTCTTTTTGAGACGTGAACCTTCCAGCGTCTACTTTGCTCATTTGAAAGTTAGGGGAGAGGAATCAAATATCCTGGATTGTTTTAAAGCGATCAACCAACTAATTTCATGTAAGAACACATGCTTACTGTGATGATTTAGAGTTTTTGTGAAGCTATTTTAGATGCTTTCATATTGCTCCAAAGATACCCAAGTTCAGGCTGCATAGCAAAGTGGCTAAAGGAAAAGCAATTTAAAGGCAATATATAATTATCTAGCCGAATTATCAATGAAGATGGCTTTCTTGGAAAAAAACACTGAAGGATAGAATGAAACAAAGGATAAAAGTAGGACAGAGTCTCTCACTGTAAATAGTATAAAAATCATGGCTGCTTCCTCTTATTTGTTCAACTCTGATTTATAAACTGAGAGAGTCTTCAAGCAACTTAAAAGTTACGTTTATCTTTTATCTTTCTCCTTCTCTTCCATCCTTCCCATGTTTTCAGGTGGCGTGACGGAGTAGGAGCCAAATGTCAGCTCTGCATTCACCAAGCTACACCTCTGCTGCAATGTTCAGTATAGACTCCAGGCCGGCTTGAGATTCCATGTTGTCTTATCTAAAAAATATCAGTACTCTATAATAAAATCAACACTGTGCGATTGAGTCTTAGATCATTCACACTACTCCTTCACTTGTGGCCTTTGAGCATTCTCATAGCCATGCAGGTGTCTTTTGCGTGCACAGACCATGGGCTAAAGGCCCCAAGGAACGGTGAGCACAGCAAACAGAACGCCACCAGCCCCAACACAGCCAGCCAGGCCCGTGCCCGCTTCCGCACAGTGGCCCTGATCGCCCGCAGCCTGGGCTCCTTCACCCATCGTTACCACCACAACCTAAAGGAATCCACTGCCAAACAAACAGGCATGAAGTATCGGTATGTACCCTCCCACCAACAAAACCAGTTGCATTCAAGTTCTGCATTTGTATAGCCTGTATAACCTCTTGATTATAGAGCTGCACAATTTTAAAGAAAAGATTTTCTGATTATTTCTGTAATTAAACTACAAAATATGTTTTACAGGAGAATTCAAATTTGAGATAAAACTGAAACCTGAAGGAATTTGTATTTCTTTTTTTTTTACAAGCAAGTTCTCACTCCCACTGTAAAACATAGATAGATTGTCAATGACAAGAATTTCAGAGAAATCATCATATTATATTATAGCTATTTGTGAGTTTGATGAAATTTCCGATTTCAAATATAATGGTTTGCACAAATATACAATAATAATACATATCAACCCCTTAGTTCAACATTTTCCATTAGTCCTTGAGTTCTCAGAATTTAATAATAAGCTCTAAATGACTAGTGTTGTTTAATATATTAAAGCAGTAACAGGTGATGTGTGGGATGTGTTGGCTTGCAAGTATGAATTTGATTATCTTATTTTCTACCTTGATTATTTGTATTTGTTCCATTATTATTGTGTTGAAAAAAATATGTCGCGATAGTTTTTGAGGATTATAACTTCCATCTCTGCGCTTCAATGGAAAATATTTTTGTGGCTGCTACAGGCAGAAGTGCAAACATGGGCCTTATTGAATGTGTGTATTTTCTGTATTTGTAGGGTATCAAAGCTTGGCATAGTAAGCAATCCTGTCTCTATGAATGGGCTGTTAAGATATACCACACTTGGGATATAGTATCACTCAGGTTGTTATCTCTAAAGATCTTGAGGGTAGAGCAAGAAGAAACTTGTCAGATAATCTACTGCTGTATTGAAGCACAAATTGGTAAATAGCCATCTCTATTAAATGTTAGGTCTCTGGGGGTCAGCTCTTGAAAATTGCAGTTGCCTGTAGGTTGCGATCAAATAGATTGAGTTAAAATTTATGAGCTTTTTGTGCAGTCTCTTCTCGTTTCCATAACAACATTGAAATGGCCATCTCCAATCTGTTAACAATTTCTAACAAGTCCAATGACGCCTTTGTGCAAGATCTGGCTGGACACTCACAAAGCCTAGGTCCAAGTTGCTATTTTGAAGTTTGAAGTTTTTCTGAAATTTGCCTGTATACAGTTTATTTTCAACGTTGCTTTGTTGCTTTGAGACCAGTATTAGTTATACTCCAGGTGTGACTGTTGATCTCAAGGGAAACATGTGGTTGGTGTATTGAGAAAGCTTGACATCAACATTACACAGCTGCAAATCCTGTAGATTAATGTGATTATGTGCCTCTGAAAGCATGTTGGCACAGCAATCAAAACAGAACTTGATATTACATTAGTTTCCAGTTGCTGCTTGGCCTTGCCTTTAAGTTAAACACTAAACAAGTCAAATTGTTATTGTTGCTGTGATGGAGAGCAGTGCACGGGTGCTTGCAATGTGTGAGGGTCATTCGGCAGCAGAAGGCCTTTTGACAGTTCAGGAGTTCTGGAGGCTTCCGCTTGGTTTGTTCCCTGCAGATGGGCACGCAGAAATCCCTTCTGTTGGCTTTGATTTACCAGCATGCTGCTGCAAGATAAAGTGCACAATATACGTGGCCTCTATGTTTGCTGTAGTCTTATGGGCTATTTTTATTTGTTTTTATACTTTTGTGACCTGTTATACTCATTCATTTATTCATTCATTTTTTTATCCCTTAATTCATCTATTTCTGGGTCAGGGGGATGGCAATCAGAACTGAATTCACAATGCACCAGTCCCTCGCTGATCCTCCTGCAGGTGGTGGGTCCACAGGAGGATGGCTGCTCCTTCAACAAAGTTATGTCCTTGGTGTTTCATCGGGGGCTTCAGGCAAAGTGGGATGTCTTGCCCAGGGACACAACGACAGCAGACATCAGTGGGAGCAGATGACATAGGCCCACGACCATTAAGTCAAAAGACCAATGCTCTACCAACTGAGCCACTGTGACCTATGACTGACATTCAGAATTCCTTCTTTCCCTTCTTTTGTCACAGAGCTAATGTTTGTAACTGTTCTGAATAGATCGTGCATGCAGAAGATCTTGCTAGTTTCATTATTATATAACGTTAAGACCCCCTCAGCCCTTTTAAATTTGCCAACTTACATGCCGTCTATAATATCCTATAGCACTTTTTTTCTTCAAATGAAATCTCAAATATGTGATGATGTGCCATATATCCTTGTCAGCTCAGAAATGCCAAGGTGCATAATCTGAAGCGTGAATGGAGGATTAATTATACAACAAGTATTATAATACAGCATACAGTATGCGCGCAAGTCAGCAAAACGTATAGACAGACCTCCTGCTCACTTCAGAAGAGCGCATGCCGTTTTTCACAGCTGCAGTGGAGATGAGCTCAAGCTGTCTCCTTGTCTCCATTTCCAGATGATTCAAAATATAAATCTTGATCAAACTGAAGAGCGCATCTGTGTGCATAGGTGTTTTTGCGTGTATAAGGTTGATTTGTTGATACTACTGCCCAATCAAAGTTTACATCACACACCACTGAAATAAATGTTTTTTTCTTTTCCCATTTTGAGTGTGATGTGATTTACAGCTGAAATAATGATCCTGTTACAAAAGAGGATTCTTTGTTTGTTTGCCTTTGCCTCTGGACCATCCAAGCCGCAAGCTGCAGTCTCTCTGTGAAACCGCCACCGCTTTTGTGCTTTGTGCGTTTTAATTAAAGGTCCTAACAAAAAGCCTTTGTGAAATGATGATGGTTTTATAATTTCACTGTTTTACAATTACAGTTTTGGCTTTATCTTCTCAAGTGGTAATAGAAAAGAAAGCTGTGAAATTATATATATATTATATGTTTGTATGGACCAATTTTCTCTTGAGTCTGAAATAAAGATTAATAATATCTTGACAGTCAGAATGTGTCAGATATAGCCACTTGGTAAAAAAAATCAAGAAATGCATTTAGTGAGTGGGTACATGTTTTACTTTGTTATTTGGTCTTATGTTATGTTCCTTATCCTCCAATTATTTTCTCATTCAATTTAGATTTCTGGTTTATAGGATTTAGTTTGAACTCTGCTTTGTCCTCATGCCTGCTCTTGTAGCGGCTTGAGAGTCAAAAGACCCAAGGATGTTTTTCCCAGATCATTAAGCAGCTGAGGATTAGCGTAGTATGCAAGTATGCAAGCTTTAAATTGACAGCTGGGACTTCTTATTAGAATATCCATTGGCGCATTGTAAATGTTTTTGATGACATTTTAGCTGCACTGCGAAAATTACATCTATTTTTTCTCCCTTATGTTTCTTAGATAGCTTCTTTGCTTCTGCTCTGTATCTAGGTCTTCCCTCAAGCTTGAATCTTTCCTCATGTGCCTGTCATAAATACATATGGCCTGATGTTTTAAGCTTTATTGGAGTTCTCTATATACTCAAACTGCCGCTATATGAAAACCCAAGAATTCAAGTCCACATTCGGCATTGCAATCCACAGTCTCCAAACATTCCCGTGGCTGGACCCTGTGGGAGCTTGCTGTCATTTCCCTTTTCTCATTCTGTGTTATGTTTTATCTGCACAGGGTATTTGATCTGCTCAGACTTGGTGCTCGCACTTGCTACTTTGCACGCCTCAGTCCCTTCTCTTTCCTCCTCTATGTCATTTATTAAGAATGAAGCATTATGGCCTGTAGGATTTGTAATGTTTCTTTTTTTTCTCCCTTTCTTTCAAAGCTAATCTCACTTTCCACTCAAACTCTTTTATTTCACTTCCCTATACTTTACTCACCCCCACACTGGCTTTGACTGCAATATATTTAGAATAGAGCCACCTTTTTGTCTTTATATTACTGTATTTTGATAACAACATTACAGTTGGCATCAAAGGACAGCAATGGGAACCGTATGTGGGTGTTGGTTAATCCCTCTGCCCATCATGTTGCTTTGTGTGGGTTTTTCTATGGTTCGCACTTATTCCTATATTCACGCAGTCTCTTTTTATCTACCATATGGATTGGTGCTCAAGTATTGATTTGAACAATCCATTAATAGTGGTGTAAACAGTACATGTTGTAAACTATATTCTAGACGAGTCCAGATTTAGAACATCAACACGTGTAATATTATGTTTTCTTGACGACATGTGAATAAGGATTTTGTGGCTGAGAGAAATTTAGTCTTGACAGTAACTTATGGTAGCTTCAGGTGGGAGTATGGAATAAAAATTGTAGGATTTGGATAACCACATAACATGCTCAATAGTAGCTTGAGCAACACTGAATGCCCAGAAAAACTAGACTGCAGCAGTATTCAACAGCAAGGGGCTATATAACTGTTGGAGAACTAAAAGAGGAACAGTATTCACCCCAACCCTAAATAGAAAGCATCTTAACTTTATGAAAACCCAGCTGCAGAGTGAGTTGAGTGATTATCATCTTTAGGCACTGACAGATGTGCAGATGTTTATCTTATATTTTATTGCATTTGGAGAATCACTAAGAATAGCAGTATTCTATACAGAAACCGCTCACTGGATGTTTATAAGTGGTGACAGGTTGTGTGAGGGGGCGTCTTCCAATGACTCATTTGTCATTTTACTTCGAGGCTTGTTTTGGGCCCCATCCAAGCACAAGGGACAGGAGCACATTGACTTCATGTAGTGTTGTTTATGAGTATATTTATTCAGACTAACTTTCTCTTTAACCAATCATTTCATTTTTGTTTGTTATGACTGTGTATTTCAAAGTGTGATTAAAGATTAGATTTTGAGGTTTCTTTTCAAAGTGGGTGCAATTTCAAAAAACTCTTATTTTCCATTTTAAAAACAGCTCATGCAAATTAAGTTTGAATAAATTATTTCCAAAATACCGTCCTACAAAGACAGCTTTCCGTTTTAGAAAACTAAACATGACTGTAAGCCTGTTCATTGTGGAATGAATGAATAGAAACAATAGAATATCTAAGCTGATCTATTTTCCATTTGTATTTCAGCTGATAAAGGGAATTCGCAAACAAAAGGAAATACTAAATGTGTCTTCTCATTGTTGTTACTTTGTGTTATCCTGCTCACTTAGACTTTGATATATGTTCTTAATAACTGGATTCTTTCCTTACTAATTAGCTGTATTGCAAAGAAAGCTAAAAGCTGCTCTCTGTTGATAATGGACCAGAATCAAAACTATAAATGATCGGTTATAATTAGGCATAGCACCCTTACACATTTTTGACTGAGTCTACACTGAAGTGAATTAGCCCTGGGCACATTTATAGTGAGACTATGGATTAGTGGGCCTTCATCTTGATGGGCACAGGCCATTACTCAAAAACAGCTGGCGGCAGTTTCACAGACTTAGTTATTGATACGAGTAAATGACTGAGAAAGACCCATACTTGTTACGTATACGTAGCTGTGGTATTTTTTAGACAGCACAGGATTAAACTCGTTGGGGATACATCTCCTGTCAAATGCTTTCTTTTATACATGACTAATAGCAGTGTGCAGCTCTCCTAATGGATTTGTGTGCAAGGCTGCCGATCCCCGTGTGACAGTTTGCCTCCCTCCTACAGACCACATACATCACACTATTGGAAGACACCTGTGGCGGCTGGAAGGAGAGCAATCTGTTCTTGCTGTTACACCGTCTAACGCTTGTCATTAAACGTTGGCGCCCTGTGAATTTCCCCCTCTCCACTGAATTCATTGTTGCAGTAAAAGTAGATGTAAGGCTTTAAACATAAATAAATTAAGGCAATTTACTGTACGATGCAATTGTTTGCCTTGCTTGGTGCTAATGAGTCTTAGAATATTATGTTACAGCACGTTTAGCTTGCTGCACACCATGTGATGTTTTAGAGTTTGGGAGCAGGTATATTAAAGTGTGAGGAAAGGAACAAATTGTGCTTGTTGGAAAAATGCTGATGTTGTACAAAGACATCAACAGCCGTGCTCAAGTGCTGCAAGCCTGCTTTTTGTGGAGGGGATGTAGTGAAAAGGAGGAAGAGAGAAAGTGCATACATGCCAATCTGACTGAAAATAAAGTGATGACTTCTCCATAGAAAGTCTAATTGAATAAGAAAGACTGCACTTGTCGCGCAGCGCTGAATACAACTTCACAACTTGAAGCTGATACAAGCTGTAATTGGATTTGGGTTCCTAATATGAGTAGTATATTATTTTCGTCCTCAGAGACAAGATGTAGAGACTTTTAGAGACTATTGCTGAAATAAGCCTGACATCCTCTAATCTTGCCGTTCATGCTTCACGAGTAAGTTTAAAGCTTGCACACACACATGCATGCTGTTGTTATTAAACTTACCACTGAAACATTTTTAACAAAACTATAGATAATTTATTTCAAGACTTTTCTGCCTTGGTTAAGAACTATTTTTGCAAGTCACAATCTGTTGTATTTTGTATTGTTTGTTTTTCTTTATTAAAGATGCACTGCCATCAGTCCATCATGAATGTTTCATGTTTCTGTATTAAACTAAATCTCAGGTTTCTCATTTGCAAAAAAAATTTGCTGTTTTTGCACCTTCTAGAATCTGGCAAGCAGATTGATAATACAACTGCAATTGAATTAAAAGCAAGGTTTCTTTTATGCCTCAATGTGGAACATGTTCCATATCATATTTATTTATTACTAAAAACTAGAACGCTTATCTGCATCTGCTTTTACTTTCTAGGAATCTGGGAAAGTCTGGCTTGCGAGTCTCTTGTCTGGGTCTTGGTAAGTACATTCAACGTTAAACTTTAGATGTGTGTGTTTGCAAAAGAGTTGATGAAGCAAAAGAATAATATAATATTAAACCTCACTCTAAAGCTCATACATATTTTAAAGATGTGGAGTCCCATCACAAAGCTGTTTGCGTGCTGTTAATATCTGCATGTAAATATTTAAAAAGCAGCTTGGGTCTTAGCTAACAAGTTTCTCTGTTGTTGCCAGTGTGCACAGAGAATAAACACTATTGTTCATCCTGATGAGTCTCATTCAGACACATAAATCTTTCAAGTGCATGACTCAATTTGCATCACCACTTGGCAAAGAACAGACTGTAAACCAGTGTTTTTCAACCAGTGTGCCATGGCATGTTTGTGTGCCTTGAGATTTTGCACACCTCATGGCACACAAACATGCCATGGCATAGATGATAATGGATCATCTTTGGAAATTATCCATTATCATCTAATTGGTCCAAATAATGTCAAAAGTAAACAATGTGAGAACATCTGAACAAATTATTGCGCTTAGATTTTTTAAAATTTTCTATTACATACACTTAAGTTTAATATTTGCATCAGTTTTAGCTGGTGGTGTGCCATGAGATTTTTTCAATGAAAAAGATGTGCCACGGCTCAAAAAGGTTGGGGAACACTCCTGTAAACAATCAATCAAGCGTAAGGATTTTAGCTGTAGCATATTAGTCAGATACTTTACTGTATGTGGAGGTATATTCTTATAAATAATGATGAGGTTCAAGTTCAGCATTTATCATAGAATTGGAAATAGTGCCTTTATAGAACATTAGAACTTTTTTATTCTTCCACAGTGGGTAAATGCCAGTGTTGCATGGCACAGTACAGAGCATAGAGAAAAGCAAGCGATAAAAACCAAATCTTTGTCTTTTTTTTAATCAATCAAAATTGCAAAATCAATGTCACAGAAACCTAATAGCATCGAAACAGACAGATAATTAAAGCCGCAAGTGCAATCTAAAGTCCCATTTACACAGAGATGCCATCCATCCATTTTCTTCCTCTTAATCCATTTCTAGGTCAAGATGCAGCCAAGCAATTCGCAAAATCAACCGCTCTCCGGATTTAAAGCGCGAAGCGTCTACTCAGCAAGTTAAAACTGTGTAGTTCTTGACTCCGGCCAGTAGTGGGCAGTGGAACTTTACAACGTGACAGGCGCAACCCCCACCATTGTAACCACCTCCTCAACAACATCCTCCTCAGGCCACCTCAAAGGTGGAGAAGAATGCACCAACATCATTCTGCATTTAACAGAAGCAGCGATAATGGAAACTGAAACTACAGCTTCTTATCGTTTTATTTTTGAACAAAGGAGTAGGATTGTTCCTCTGTGTAGCGCTCAAAGCACACATAGCATAAGTTGATCCGCCGCCATTGTTGTTTATGATACTGCGCATGTCAAAATATACGTGCCAGGAAGTGGTGAGGTCATTGCAGCCCGAGAGTTCACACCTTTTTCTTCAAACGGCTGTTTTACGGGGCTTTCACACCGCCAACGCTGAAACGCTGAAGCCCCGCTCACCAGACGCGCATTCTCTAGTTTTCAGATGCAGGGGTCTTCACACTAGAACGTCCTGACGCAAGCCGGAAGTACCGGAAGTAGCCGGCCGGCTCTGATGCTAACAGAGCTATGCTAGCGGCTTCTTGTGTACAGATCTTCTCCAATATGCAGCTTTGCAGCGTGTCTTTGCTCACAGACATTCCACGGGCTTTATATAACAGTAGTATGTGTTCACAGAGGGGCGCCATTTAGTTTTTTCATATTATTAAACGCAATTTCCGCATCGGCGAACACACTTGAAGCAGTTGCATAAGGTCACGGGAGCATGACAACGCGTATTTTCACAAGCACACAGTCCCCCATTGTCAACCCTGGTTTGAGTTCTGGTGAAGCTGGTGAGTCCTGTTTTGGCTGTTTATGAGTATTTTCAGTCTGCTCGCTCAGTCCGCTAATGTCCCTGTGACCACTTTGCTGCTCTCTGATTGGTTGTCGCACGAACGTCGACCAACCCAAGGCAAGGATGAGCAGAATCCATCTCCTGTGGGCGTTGATTTTTTGCTCCTGCTTCTCCTTTTTCACTTTCCCGCCAAGTCCGTGCGTCATTATTGAACAGTCCGTTCGTGCGTGCCGAGAGGTCCGTGCGTTGTGACGGTCGAACGCGCACCACCATAGACTTTGCATTGAAACCCGACGCAATGCATGATCCGGTCTGAAAGCACCATTACAGTCCCCCGCTGCGCTGTGTATACGTTTTGTTCCACTCTGGAGGCCGTTTTTCAAAGCTTACGTATTCACCCCCGTGAAACACTATGAATTTGACAGATTTATTGATTTTCCCATTAACACATAATGGGGAGTGTTTTTGCCACAACAACACGGTAAAAAGTTATGGGTCTTATTGACGTTTCAGGATGCCAAATAAATCATGTAAAACTTTGGCTTACTCTATAGGGGGCACTAATGCTGCAATTTCATATTCCTACAATTTTGAACAGATTGGACTTTGTATTTGCAAACAGAAGCAAAATTAAAATGGTCAAAATTAAAACCAGTCAAACGCGATTTTGAGGCAAATTGACATTTTGCATACGACGTGAGAGTACTAAATTATAGACTTCCGATTTATCAGGGGTGACAATACATTTATTTTGGTTTATTGAGTTGACAAATATGTGCATATCAAATTTTGAGGCTCTACAACGAACTGAACGTTAAACCGGCTGAATTTTGTGTGTGTTCTCCATGAAAAAACACACAAAAGTTAAAGTTTTTGCCAGAACTGAATTGTGTGCAATTTTTTTTTTTCTTTGTGCTCAGGGGATCCAATTAGATAGATAGATTGATAGATAGATACTCAGGTGTCCAGTAGTAGCAAAAATAAAAAAGAAAATGTATCATTCTAAAAAAAGATAACTATAGTAATAATCAGCCACAGCCCTTCAGGTCACAGCAGCAGAGATGGAGTAGCCTCTGGGTGGAGCAGGATGGGTCACAGCAGCAGAAATGGAGTAGCCACTGGGTGGATCAGGACGGGTCGCAGCATCACAGATTGAGTAGCCTCTGGGTGGAGCAGGGCAGGTCAAAAGGTGGAGTAGCCGCTTGGTTTGGACCATTTTCTCTGCTCTAGTCCAAAGTAAAATGCTAAATGCTTCATTAGCATTTTTCAAAAAGTGTCCTTTCCTCCAGTGGATTTTCACCTGATCCGCTTGGTTTGGACCATGAATCCTCTCCGCTCCGGTCTGGACCAGTGCAAAACTTTGCACATTGTACTGAAGCAACATCTCAGGCAGAAAAAAAGCAAGAAAAATAAAAATTGTAAAGCACAAAACAACAACTGTTAATCAGAGCTACTAAGGACTTGCAGCCGTTACCCAGCGCATCTTTCAAAAAAAACAACAAAATTAAGGATCAAAGAAAGTTTTTCTTTTCCTGAAAATACTCCAGCAAAAACAATATACATTTCCATAATAACCTTTACAACAAATGATACACCGTTTGAAAGCGGTGGAGCCGACACACACAACCGTTGCTTTCTCTTGTTGGGAAAGCAATAGGTCCTATGCCATGTATTTATTTACTGTTTATTTGGTTGGGACAGTACATGTTAATGAACACATCACTCCGGATTGGAGCCATGGGCTAATTTGCATCTGTTGTCCCACATTCGCACTCACAAAAATATTCATCCTGGACTATTGCACATGTTTTTAGTGGTAGGGGAAACTGGATTACCCGGAGGAAATCTACGCAGACACAGGGAGAACATGCAAACTCCACCCAGAAAGGCCCTGTACCGACTGGGATTCGAACCCAGAACCTTCAGAACCCAGAAGCGATAGTGCTATCTACTCAGCCACCATGCCACCCATGTATGTTGTTGTTTAGCTAACTGAGATTGTTCAAAATGTCACCAAACCAAACTGATTATGCGCCATTGCGTTATTTGGTATTAGGGCAGGATAAACACAAGCGCTTCATGGCAGGATCTGAGGTTGAGGAATTCAAGGCTGGGAATTGTAGTATAAAGCTTAGCTTGGATTTCGAAATGACATTATTGCAATGTGTGTGACTGGAGCACCTTGAATAGCCCCAAGCTAATTTGAACCATTGCAGCCAACTGAGGTGTTTATGGTGGCCCATAATAAACACCAGTTATAATAATTATGTCCACTTTAACCTTTCACATTTGACAGAGAAATCCACCAGAGCTAAGCTATAGTAGTCATAATACTATGTACTTTCCAAGCATAAATGAAGATAAATGTATTCTCACTACACAGCGAGGGAAAACTCATCTGTATGTCTTAGATTGTAATCAGTTTTAGCCAGGAGAGGTGCTACCTTTCTACTGGGGTAATTAAAATGTCTTCAATTATCGTACATTGCATCGATCAAAATCCGTATTTTCCAGTGGGGAGCAGAGATTTTTTGCTTTTCCGTTCAGCAAATAAGCTTAACATAATGGAAATTGGTAGTGTGCGTTGTATACTACAGTCATATGAGGTACATAGTAAATAGTATATTAAAATATATCTATGATACTACTGACCTGCTATCTATGATATTGTATAAGACCTACTTCACGACTCCCACTGATGTCGGCTGTCGGCAACACACTTAACCCCACTTTGCCTGAAGCCCCCGCTGAAAGATCTCAGCTCCTGTGGACTCAACACCATTAAACGTCAATCGGACAATACAGTATACATATACATCCTTAACACACATGCACGGACGATTTCAGAATTTGCTGTTAACGTTTTCATGACAAAAATACTGTTTTAATGTGACAAAAAGCGACAAAAACCCGGAAGTTACCATGAAACAACTAACAGCTAGCTAGCTTAGCTGTACCTGCCTAGCACGTCCCGGTGAAACCTTTGGGAGCTAACTATTTTATTTGTAGTCATTAAATACATTTCTAATTATAAGGGTTGTCTAATATTTGTTCAAATATCTAAATATTTTTTTATTTTAGAATTATATTTGAATTTTGAAGTCGAAGCCCTGGTGTTGAGCAGCGCTGTAGGGGCTAGAGGACGCAGGCTGTTCGCTGCTCGCTCTGTGAGCGGAGGAGAAAAGAGCGTCCCGCTAAGACTCTACTCAGCACTTTTCACTGCTTGTAATTCTTACACAGCTGAATCAATTACCTCAAGTTTTCAATTAAATGATGTATTATGATACAACTTGTATGTAGTAAAAAGCATTTTTATGAACTACTTAGAAAAAAAATTGGGTATAGCTTCTTGAATGAGTATATATGTATATATATATATATATATATATATATATATATATATATAAATAAAAAAAATAAAAAAAATTGTCCACTCACCTTTGGCCCTCCGCGGGCGGTTATCCCTCTCTAAGCTTGGGTCCTCTACCAGAGGCCTGGGAGCTTGAGGGTTCTGTGCAGTATCTTTGCTGTTCCTAGCACTGCACATTTCTGGACCGAGATGTCCGAGGTTGTTCCGGGGATCCGCTGTAACCACTCTTCTAGCTTCAGGGTCACTGCCCCGAGTGCACCGATCACCACGGGCACTACTGTTACCTTTACCCTCCAGGCCCTCTCCGGCTGTCGTTATTATATATATATATATATATATATATATATATATATATATATATATATATATATATATATATATTTTTTTTTTATTTTTTTATATGATTATATTTTTTTATTTGAATTAGTTTGAGGTGCGTGCAGAGAAATTAATCAATGCTCTATTGAAAATAATCTTCAATCTGGTCATGGATGGATTTATTAGGCACAGATTTACTCATTTTGGAATTTGTTTCAAGTCTTGTATCTGACTAAACCAACCACACTATGAGATGAGGACCTACACATCTGAATTGACCCTCCCCATCTTCTGAAAATGCAAGATGTACTATGTGTGTCCATTTCTTTTCGAAATGATTTGATATGTTAAAGTTATGAGTCGAAGTCCCTACATATTATATATTTCATGATACATGATATTCTTAGTTGGCCATTATGTCATTGGCCAATTAGTCCACTAAGCCTGTAGTTCCCCAAAGAGGGAGTCGGGGCCCCTGGGGGTCGCGAGATTAGATACAATGTATCTATTTATGTATTATAAAATTATTTTTTGTATATAATTTGATGAATTAACTCTATATTGTAAGAGAAATCAGGTCAGATGACATGACATGATTCAAACACAGCTGCTTGAAGTGATCAGATAATGAGCTGTATGGAGGGTTTGAGAGATCCATGACTTCTATCACTGTTTTGTAAATGAGACCCAGTTCTGCCAGCACATATGTATCATAGTTATAGTTCTAACCCAATTATTTATCAAAAAAGTAAGAGGAAAATAGACATGGATGGTTTTTACTTTAACTCACAATTCTTATGGACATATTCAGGATTGCCCAAAAGTAGTGATCACCTACTCTGGAAATTAACAGATTCATTTTCTTACTGGCTGTTGATTCACTCTGTCTGGATATTTTGATTGGATTGTATTTGGACTGTTTGTAATTCCGAGGAAAGTTGGAGGAGGCGTGGTAGAGGAGAGTCTCAACGGTAAAAAGCGTTTCCCCACAGTATCTTCATAAATATTGAGTTACAGCTGAAGCACCTATGTCTGATCAATAGTTAACAGCCTCTGTTAAAGGTGCCATATTTCACTTTTCTTAATTTTTCACAGTCCTTCCTCTGCACATGTGTGATGATAATTTGGGTGATACACCATACAACACTCAAAACATGTCAAATTATAGCCATTTCGTGCATAGAGGTGATCTCAGCTCATGTGAAACGAGCTGATCTGTGCTCCACTGTCTGTGAACCCACCTCCCCCCACCCGCGCGGTGCTTTCGCTGTTAGTCATTTCACACCTGAGAATAAACTTTTTCCAACAAAGCCAACCCGTCACCTAGAGCCCTATTCTCGATCCAGAATCAGACCCTAATTATTTAGTTCACAGGGACATACTGCGAGTTAATTGCATTGTACTCACAGAGGCTCCCGTTAGCGTCTTTTATGTTGGAAATAGCACCAGGTTTCCAGATCAGCTTTTGAGTAGGTCCCGTTTTAAGGTAACTGTAGTTCTGGAACAGTCTTTGCTGGTGTCAACGTCACTCCCAAACAAAGATCTGCAAGTTTTGTCGCGGATTTCAGACTTGCGGATACGAGGCAGATCCCTGTGAACAAAGTCGATCCCCATTCTCTGTCTTCAGCCAAATACTCTCGTCACAGTAGCCTGGCCATAGCCATCCGTACACTCCGCTCAATCATCGTTTCACTGCATGTAACCGTCTGGGTCTGGTCTCTGTGTTAGCAAATATAATCGGTTGTATTTCAACCGGCTACTCAGCGAGCGCAGAAGGCGGGTGTTGTAGGTCGGTGCCGGTGATGTCAAGAGTTTGCGCCAAACGGGCAGGTTGTAGTTTGGCAATGGCGAAGAATGCGATAGTAAAGTATTCCGGTCTGTTTCTATCAAGAAATTGAAGCAGGAGCAAGAGGAATGTTTAGCAAATGTAATCGCTGGTCAAGATTGTGGCGCTACTCCCCACGGGCTCCGTTAGCAGCAAAGGAGATGGCTAGGCTCAATGCTAAATGCTAACAACACACTCGGGCGCATTACATACGCCACGGTAAACTCAGATCCAATTGTTTCAATCTGCAAAAGGAGTTAACCCCTCCCACCTGTTCACGGAGCTCAATGGAGCAAATCCAGACCTTAGTATGAAATGTAATTTGTACTAAGGTGTGGTACAACCAGGCTATCGTCACATATTTACACCAACAGCATATTTTCTCCAAGTTGACATGAAGCTAGCACAAAAAAGCACAGAGGCTTATTTACTGTCTATGGACCACACGCTGGACTCGGAGAGAGGCTGCATTGACGGCGCTGATTCGCTGGTTCAGTTTCTCCCCGCTGTCAATCAGTGACGCTTTTGACGTCACAGATTGTGCCACGTCACGATTTGAATCAGCTCGTTTCTGTGCCTCTTGAGAATTAAAGAGAAAGATTGCCCTCTATCTAAAGTTTAAAAACTAAAACTAGTTTAAAAGTTTAAAAAGAAAAAACTACTCTGGGCATGTGTATGAAGGGCAAATAGCACTGTAATCATGTTTAAAGTAGAGAGAAGTCAAAAAGCGTCAGTAATATGGGCCCTTTAAAGACCAGAAGCATGAGGTTTGTCAAATGTATTGTCAAAATTAAACAGTCGCTTGCAACGCCATCATCAAAGTAACAGGCTTCATCAAAGTAACAGGGCGGCAGTAGCTCAGTTGGCGTTGGCCTTTGAGCCAGAAGGTCGTGGGTTCAAGCCCCGCTCAAGACTTAGGCAAGACAGTTCACCCCCATTGCCTAGAATGAGTCTGGTGTGTGTGTGAATGGTTGGTGGTGGTCAGAGGGGCCGATGGCACATACTGGTTGCCTCGCTTCTGTCAGTGTACCCCAGGGCAGCTGTGGCTACATTAGTAGTTTATCACCACCGTGTATGGAGTGAATGAATAATGACACATGTGAAGCGTCTTTGAGTGTCCAAAAAAGCGCTATATAAAACCGATGCATTATTCATTATTATTATTAATTTGGCATAAGTTTGTCCTTAGGGATAAGGGCTGAGGGTTGTCAGTGCCAACATTGCAAAATTAAAACTCTTTTGATGACTACAATTCCTCAGTTATGGCCCAGCTCACGTGTATTGTTCTTCTGGTTTTTGTGGCATGCATTTGATCACTTAAAGTGTATTCAGTGGTGAAATGTGTAGAAAAGATACAAGCATTCCAGGTGCTTTGTGGGAGACAAGCTACTGAGAAAATATGCCAGTGCTATATTTTTCTTACACTTGAACCCCCTGGGTAAAGCATCAAACTACAAATGACATGTCCAAAAAAGTACAACAGCATTCAACAGTCAAGACATTTTCCCAACAGTCAGTCTTAACTAATTCTTTCACCTTAACAACAGCCTGTGGAGCTGTGTTGTCACTTCAATAAGTAATATATGACTGATTGCTTTGTTATTTGTTGGTGTGTTCCAAAAGGTAATTTTATTTTTTTTATTGATTTTTTGACAGGCACATGGGTAACATTCGGAGGCCAAATCACTGATGAGGTAAGACATCATCCTTCAATGTGTCAATGTGCCTCTAAGCGGGTGTGAAGTTTTTATAGCAGATATCCATTACAATGCTCTCGTGGGAGGTATTTAAAATAACTGGATGAAAAACATTTAAGGGCATGCACATGCTATTTTATGATTTCTATAAGTCCCTGTTGGGATTGTCCAATATCTACAGGTCAATTCTTATACCCCAATTATTTAGAACAAACATGCCAATGAAGACAGTGGGACTCTTTGCTCTAGTGAAAGTTCATCATAATCAGAATTTTTTTTTAATGTCATTGTAAATAAAATGAAGTCACAAACTAGGTATTTTCTTTGGCTCAAGGTAAAAACAGCCGCGCAGTGAAGTGACAGTAGCAGAAGGTGGTTGTGAAGGACAGGGGTTAATGATGAGAAATGAGGTGTTCATGAGTCCAACTGCAGAGGGGAATAAAATGTTTTTTTGTCGGGAGGTTCTGGTCGGGATGGACCATAAAAGGGTCGTCAGTGATACGATCAGCCCGAGCTCGAGTGACGTACAGGTCCTGCAGCGACGGAAGATTGCACCCAATCACCTTCCCAACAGAGTCTCTGCTTGTCCTTGACAGTAGTTCCATATTAGGAATTGGGTTAAATCTAAATTAAGGAGATATAGAGGAGTCTTTTGATAATATTTATAAGATAAGATAAGATAAGAATTCCTTTATTCGTCCCACAGTGGGGAAATTTCGAAATTTGTGGCTTTTTTAGGTTTCCTGATTAGTTTGCTCTTTTGGTTCAACGTATAATCTTTAGAAAGATGGCATCATCTAACTGTAAGCAGTGCTTCACCGTTGTCTCGTGTCATTGTCAGGTGGCGGAACAGCTGATGACTATCGCCTACGAGAGTGGGGTCAATCTGTTCGACACTGCGGAGGTTTACTCCGGGGGAAAGTACGTCAGGCCTCTGTAGATTGCTCACACTGATGGGCTCCCTTCTCGTTCAGCTCCTTTTTCCACATGGACCCAAGGTGTAGCTTCAAACAAGAATGTTTTCACCTGAAGTTTAAAACGGAGGCTATTACCATGACTCGAAACCTATTTGCATAATTGTATTCATCGCCCAAGGCTCACAAATTTGTTCTCAGCTCTCCACGTTAACTTATCAGAGAGCCAAACATTATCTCCTGGATAGTGTAGGGCACAATGTAGTCAGATGGACATGAATATTCATCTCAAGATTGCCTGTGCACACACACAGGACAGTTTGAGTGAGGTATGACAATCTGTAGCAGTAGTGTACTCTAGATAACAGTCATGTGCTTGTGCCACATCTAATCTTATCATCTTTCTTCACAGAGCAGAGATTATCCTCGGAAACATCATCAAGAAAAAGTGCTGGAGGTACAGTCCGCCCCTCATAAGAAGTTTAAAGATTGAAATTAGGCCGCACGAGCATATATGTGGGCCAGCTCCAATTAAAAAAAGCAATTTAGCCACTTAATTTTCGGAAGTAACAACACCATAAATGTTATTTCCTTATTCAAATATAAGGCTAATTATTGTTTAATAAAGTCTTATATTTGGAAGTAGAGCTACAGTTCAAAGCTGTGCATTTTTAATGCACCAAGGTTGCTTCAAGCTGTGTGTTGGAAAAATAATATCAAAATCTAAATAGAACTGAACATACCATTCCTACCAATTCACCAATACCAGTGGTTTGCTTGCTCAGTCTCAGTGATCAATGCATGGATGAGCCTTCTTTAAATATTCATCTTGCAAGTTCAAACTTCATGCAGCTATGTCTTTGACTGGCATTGCTGGCATATGTCTCATGTTAATAATAATCATGCTAGTTAATTCAAAAATAGCAGATTTTGTAGTTTAGAAAAACATTGTTTAAATTCTTTACTATGAAAACTTCTCAATCTGTCCTACTTCAACTGAAAAATCTTAGTGTCACTTTTTATAAATAATTCTTTCTCTGCCTGCTCTGATGCATGAGCTGGCATTGCACAGGTGAGTTATGTGTATCACCCTTTCATTGCCCTTCGAAAGCTCGGCAACTGACTTTGCTTTTACTCTGGACAGTCCTTAAAAATGTATAAGCTGTGCAAGAGGTATTGTAGTACACACTTATATGATATCTTTAACCAAAAAAAGATCACTGGTTTCTGTCATTGTCAGTTTACAACAATTTGCACACGGACGATCAGTAAAGGTTTGGTCTATCAATTGAATTGAATGATTGAATTTAGGCTGATTCTGGCCTACATGTAGCTTTAGTCTTTTGATGTTTGTCTTTGTACTTTTTAGGAGGTCCAGCCTGGTCATCACCACAAAGCTCTACTGGGGAGGAAAGTAAGTGTGTCTGTGACATGTTCTGCAAGTTGCCATAGCTTTTTTTAACCCCTCAGCAAAAGGCAATACTTAAAACGCTAAAGTCAATCTCCATTTCTCCACAAGCCATGGCCTTGAGGCCATTAATGTCGACACACACTTTACAGTACACACATGCTCTGTATTCTCACCTCCCTCTGCTCCTCAATAAACTGCAGACAATCAAAGCTTCTTCAGTCACGCTGGGGTCTTCCGTGCCCCATCTGCATTAGTTATATATCCTTTCTTCACAAAAGGCCCTGGGCTCTCGATGAGATAAGAATACACAATGTCAGAAATTCAGTATTAAACCCAAGACTAGTTTGTTTTTATTGATTCGTTAATAATCTTTCATACAGAATGGTTTCTGTCAGTTTTGATTTTACAAGACCGACTCAATTGAGCTTTTGTTTATGTCCATTCACTACTATTGTGGAATTATCATAATCAATAAACAGTTTACTCTACCTATTGCACTATTATTTGAGCGCACAAAGCCTGAAAGCGTCTGCCATCAGTTTTGGGTTGTACTTGTAATATGTAAAATCAACATTCTGTTATATCAAATCATTAAAACAGTTTCATGGCAGACTGAGAAGAACCCCATGCTGTGCAAGGTGCAATGGGGCCGAAAACCGTTGTCATTCATATAATCACTTTTACAGCGTATTGTTATTTCCCTACATTGTAAAGGCATTATTTGAATTCAATAATCAACAACTTTCTCAAACAATTAAAAAAAGTCTTCAATCCAAGAAATAGCAAGAAATCAAACATGGTTGAATCACAAATTTAAGATGCAAAAATCATTGCAAAGATTTTACACATGTTGATAATACATAATTATACGTCCCCAAAACCACTGTACATCGCTGCAGGCACACTGCAGGCCGCCGGTCGAGTGGGTGTATTTCTCTTCACTTCATTTGTAACTACTTTGTTATGCAGGCTTTGGTTTGGCATGTTTAATGATTCAGTTCACACAGCCTCTGTGTGTTGGTCCGTGCTGCTGCGCTGTTGCTTGTGTGGTTGGTTTGTGAGATCACCCTTGACACGCATTTTCTCTCTTGTGTTGCAGAGCCGAGACCGAGAGGGGGCTGAACCGAAAACACATCATTGAAGGTAACAAGTAAATTTTTGCACCACTGCACTGTGTCCCTCCCCTCAACATCATGTGTGCAGCCATTGCCCTTGTGCAATCCTCCTCTTTTATCTACTTTGCATTGTTTGGCTTTTAGCACTCTTCTCTGCCAACATTAATCAGAATTTGCCCTTAGCTCTTTTTTTAAACACAACAAAAGCAATCAAGCAGAACAATATCATCACTTGTACATGTTTATTATTATTTTGTGTGTTAGTTCAAGTAAACAGTGCCTCAATTAAATGCAGGAGATAAGTTGGGTTGAGGCATAGATTGTTGAAAAGTGATCATTATATATCACATTATCTGATGTTTTCACTCTCTTAAACAAACCCTCATGGGTGTTTTGGAAAATCAATTTTTGTTCTTGTCGTAAATAGTGAACACTTTTAAACCTATACATCTAATCTAGTGCTACACATTTTATGACAAAGAGATAGATACCCTCTGGATACTGCTGTCCTAATCCATCCTATTCCCCGAGTCTTTGGTCGACACAGCGCAATGCACCTCCTGCAGTGACTCAGCTCTCTCAAACCATATTAACATTCAGTGCAGCTGCTGCTATTTCCCCCAAAACAAGAGTTACTGAATACACTGCGCTCAAAGGGCAAAAGGACACAGGACAGTAAAGACAAAACATCATTCAGTAGATACCGATTAGCTCTCTGCTCTCTGTCCGGTAGTTTTAGATACCTGGCAGGTTGGTTCAATCTACCCTTGCAGAGTTGCATGCTGCCCATAGTTTCCACCTGCTCATAGTTTGGCCAGTGTAGTGGGAGCAAATGGGAAACTTGCAGTTCATTGTGTTTTTGACCTTGAATAACAGTAGGAAAGGGAAGTGTGCTATTTTGACCTGTTTTGGATTTTCACCGGTGAGGAAGAAGTCCTGCTCAATTTTATGCAAAGGAAATACACTCAGTTTTTTAGCCACTGCCCACTAAAATAATGCTAGTTTGAAACCTCTGAATTGAAATGCATGGTAGCGGAGAGGCTTTTCTATTTCTATTGAATTTCTATAAACATTCCCATTCATGGAAGCAAAGAAGAGAGCAGAGATGCGAAGAGTGTTTAGCTAAGTAAGTAAGATTCACGTAGGCTGTTACATTGAGACAACACAGATAATAATCCAATGCATACAGTTCCAATCTTGAAAAAGTTTTCCTGGTTGGATCTTAACAAGGATTTGAGTAGAGCTTCAATATGCAACTAGAAGAAATGGAAATGAAAAGAGTATGCAATCCATCAATCAAAGTAGTCAGTTTTTGAAAACAACAGTTCCTCTTCTCACTGCAAGTGTATTTTTTTCTATTGTTCAGCAACAGTCTGAGAGTGTAGCTACTTTAGGAAACTGACAAAGAATAGACATTTTTCCACAGATTGGCCTCTCAAAGGCACCTGTGGTTGACTCCTGTTTTATTTGTGTGTAATGTATGTAATTTACAGATTTCTGCTCAACCTAAGTAATAATTATTATTAGAAAACCCCACTCAATAAATGCAAGATGCATAGATATAAACACATAAATAATGTATTTAAATTGCTTCCAAGAAACACAATATATATGACTCAATACATTTAAATTCCTAATAGCACCAGTTGGATTGTCCTATCCACACAGTGCTTCAGATGCTGAAGAACAACTGGCAAGTTTTTTCTAATTCTAATTTAGTTTAGCATTTAGTATCGTGACACCATCTTTCACTATGTTGTTCTCCAAAGAAGCCTTTAATTAAACATGAATATCTTAAGCTTTTCACTAACTAATGAAGCAGCATCGAATGGAAGAGAACCTCAATCAAAGCATGTGTCTTCTGGTGTTACTGGGCTGACGGAGGAAGTAAAGACGTGGATGATGGTGGGAAGTGTGCAACTCTCATCTGGGATTAGTGTCGATGATGAAGCCCTTGGCTCTAATCTGTTACGCTCACTCACATGCACTGAACAGAGCATCTCTGTCCTTGTGTCTGCATTACTTTTCTGCAATCATGGGGACTGGCACAGTCATATTACTCCAGTTGGCTTGCTTTATTCGTACTTATAGCTTAGCGATATAAGAAAATAGACTTGCTTATTTCTGATCCTCTGAGCTCTTCATTGTTTGGTTCTTCCCCAGCCGTAAACCAACAACAGTCAATTATGTAACCAGTAAAAATGGAACTCACAGGTGCACACCTATTTACAATAATCTACTTTGCAGCACATGGAAGTGTGAAATAGATCTTAATGCTCTGGCAGCTCTCTAGTTTGCTCATTCAGCTTTAGTTGATCAGGGTTCATGCACACTTGAGTTTCATAGCAGGCTTAGCTTTGACACAGAGAAGCACTCAATCAATCTGTAAAAATAAATACCAGCCAACACCTGGACTCCAGAATTCTAACTATTTCATGTTGTTATATTGAAATATTCAATACAGACTAAAGATATCATATAACCTAGATTTCACAGTTTTTGTGATAATCAGTTCAAAGCTATTTGAGCATGTTTACCTCATACCTTTGGACAAAGATCTTTTATTTTGGATGTTTTATTACATCTAAAATGCAAAACTAACATACCCTTGCTTTAAAATGTGGCCGCTCAGATCCAGCTGCAGGCCTTGAGTCACATGTGGTCAACTGTCACATTGCCATGTTTACCCAAACGTTGACTTAACCCCCTCAGGATCCACTTCAGCCTAGTTTCACTCCACCTTACCGAATTCTGTTTTGTTTTTAAGTATAAATATGCATGTTCTTACTAACATTTTGAAACTACAAATTTGACAGTACTCCTTGTATCTTGTCAACTCCATGTCTGACCTACATTTCTCACCATATCTGTGCTCAGGCTTAAAGGGCTCCCTCCAGAGAATGCAACTTGAATATGTGGATGTGGTTTTTGCCAACCGACCAGACAACAACACTCCGATGGAGGGTGAGTGATTTATGGGCATCCCTGGAGAGCTGCAGAGAGGTTGAGGCTAGGGCTTTGCCATGTGGTAATGTGATAATATAACTAGAATTTACTCTTTTTCTATACTGACAGTAAAATTAATCTTTAAAATAGTCTTTATTTTTGCTCTCCACTTTACCCTGTGGGTTTATGAGTGTCCACATGGGTGCTGAGTTGCCCTCCTCTGCTGTTCATCACATGTAGGATTATCCGACCCCCCCAGGATAGATGGTGTATTTTTGGGCTCGTCTCAGTTGACTCGAGGCCGGCTGCACTATAACTTCAGCATATTTCCTGCTCGTCTTTCCCAGTTTTCTTGTTTGCAATTGCCCCTCGTCTGAAGGTGTGAGAGAAGTCCTACTGGCCCCTCTAAAAGTGTTCCCAGTTCTTGTGCTTTGCCCCCTGTGTTTTCTTCCATGTGTAGTGAAGGCAGCAGACGGCAGGAGGCCAATCTGTCACATTTAACACATCCTGGGGCCGTGCTGTCGCTGGTATCAAGAGTGACTGGCAGACAGATCGCCAAGTCCAGCCTCGAAGACACTTGTCTCTCTTCATAGAGTCATCCTCAATGACAGGAAATGTCAGTGAAGCAATACGAATGGTGGACTGATTCAATAGAGACTATATTTTAACCTTTTAACAAGTTTGCACACCCTGAGTGATTCTATCTATGCTGCCAAATGTGACATATAAATCTCTTCATAGTGAGATCAATAAAGTTTATCTTATGTTATCATATTTTGAGACCCAATGTTACACACTGTACAATGGGGATCTGGCAACAAAATAGAATCAATAATTAGGTTATTTTGTTTGTTAATAATGAGGTGCAAGGATAAGAGAGTCTCTTTGCAGCAACTTCAATAAATGTTTTTGTTTATACTCTTTAGCTATAAAACCTTATATGTTTTCAAGCAGAAACCTCCTAGTGTCTAGATACAGTGTTCATATGAGTAATTATGTTGGCCTCAGATACTCATTAACTGATTTGAGCTTGACAGAAGGAGTTAAAGTTCTTGTAACTTTCATAACTTGTGTCTCCTTGGGAACAAAAAGTCATAGCCAGCAAGTCTGTCTTTGTTACCATCAGGCCTTTATTCTGCTGTCTGAAGATCCCTCACTGGCAACTATCCTCCACTTGACTTTGTCTCTGGCTTCTTTATTGGCCATTATCCAGGAAAACCCAAGGACAGGCCCTATTTGTGCTACCAATAAACTGACACTTGATTGCTTGGCAATATTTCAGTGTTTTGCTTAAAAGTGTTAACACTTTTGCTGATAGCGCCATGCTCCATGCACAGTATGCGTTTAGAACTGAGATGGTTCAAATGCAATTATTATGGGAAAGGGCCTAGAGAAAATTGAACTAAGGACCAGCCATCTGTGCCACAATCCATCCGTTTTTGTAATAGGCTTTGCCCCATCATGTCCAACTCGCCTCTCTTTTACGCTAGCCAGTCAGCATCTTTCTTATATGACAGAGCGATATGCAGCAAATTGAATCCAGTCACTCAAGTGAACTCGGAAATACCACAGACAAACTGGAGGAGAAAATACAGAGCCACTGACACTAATAAATAGTCTTTACACTCATGCTTGCAGCCAGGCAGTAAGAACTCATAAAATTGTCATCTGTACTGTGCTGAACATACACTCGTCTGTGTTGCTACATTTCTTTAAGTGAAAGAATGTCTTTGCTGTACACTATGGCATCAGCAACATGGAAATATTGCGTGTTCTCCATAGATAGGATGTGTCTATAGAAATATTTGGGATTTTCTGTAAAAAATAAAGTCTGCTGCTTAAAGTCGTAAGCAAGCACAAAGACTTCTGTGCAAGAGCCATTCCTACAGATTCAAATGCTTTAATTAATCGATCCCAGAGGTATGAAAAAATAAAGAGTCTGAGAAATTCTTTTATTGTTGTCAGAGTATAATTGCCAAATACCTTCCGTTTAGGCTGTAATGTCAGACAGGTTTTTGTCAGTTCCTTACTCCCTTCCTATTAATTAAGGGAAGATTTTGCATTAATATTCTCTCCACAATATACAAATGTATCTTTCCAGCTCAGATCTTTGAAGTGTGTTACGTGATTAATATTTTTACTCAAATGGAGCACCGAGTTATGTAGTGGGATTGTTAGCGTTTTTGTAATTCCAATACATTGTTGGGCTATAATAATCATCTCAATAGCCTCTTGTTCACAATACTAGGGAATTAGTCAGCGCATTCTGCTATGGGCCATCAGTCAACCAACTTTGGATTAAACATTCAATGTAATGTATAGATTCTGAATGCACTGATGCACTAAATGTACTTTAGTTGGTGCTTCTACTGTATATACTTTTGTTACTTTTGATAATAATTTATTAATTTTGGTTGGGTTTTTTTTATCAACATAAACACAGTTTCATACAAAACATTATTCGACATTTTGTTAGTCTTTTAACAATGAAGTTAGCAAAATTGACTACTCAGTTGGAATGAGACTGTGCTTGAATAAAGACAGTTCTGCTTGTCCCTTTGGAAATTCTCATTTCAACAGGGTCAAAACATACCTAAATTAAGATAAAAACTTTGTGATTCAACCATGGGCGGCCTTTCATTGTATATTTTTTGCAGTGTAAAGCCGAACTCTACTCAGTTTGCCTTTGGGCTTTGTCAGCTTTACTAACCTTGCCTCTGTGATGTTTGTATGTTGAAGCCCAGTGAGGTTGCATCGTCTCGATTAAACAGACAAATATGTAATAGTTTGCAAAAGATGAGAGGAGAATATGTCCAGAATCTTGAATCATTAATTTTTAACAAAAAAGTATAGTTAGTCAACCAGTAGATTGTTAAGAGACAACAGTAATAATTAACAAATGCAGTTAGCTGTAGGTCTAAGTCAGAGTCATTTATTGCACACAAAAATGTGTCGTCACACATATACATTATTCTTATTTACTGTAAGCTGTAAAGAGCACCCTTCAGCTCAAACTTGCCGTGCCTGATTCAACTGTAAAATCCCACCACATATGACAAAATATTTGTATTTCATCCATGACGCAAATGATTGCTTTGAATTGAAAGAAATATTGAAAAAATGACTTATTTTTTTACCTATTTTACAATAGTAAAGAGATACCTTAGTTATAACTGTAATAGTGACTGCATAGATGATATATTATTTACCTATAGCTATAGCTTCCTGCGATATGAGCGGTGGAGATGTGGCGCCCCCCATTGTTCAGTTTATCTTACACTAACATTGTGTGTTACAGAAATCGTCAGAGCCATGACCCACACAATAAATCAGGGTATGTCCATGTACTGGGGAACATCCAGGTGGTCTGCCATGGAGATAATGGTCAGTGGAATCATTTAATTATTGTATTCAGAATGTCAATTCCATATTCTGACTTTCTGTACTCTTTTGTTCAGGAAGCATACTCTGTGGCTCGACAGTTTAATCTCATTCCACCGGTGTGTGAGCAGGCTGAGTACCACTTCTTTCAGCGAGACAAAGTAGAAACGCAACTACCTGAGCTCTATCATAAGATTGGTAAATTTTCAAATGCCAAAAACAAGTTCTTATATACATTAATGGAGAGCTCTACTTATAATGTATGGTTATAATGTTTAGGTGTTGGAGTGGTCTCATGGTCCCCTTTGGCGTGTGGAATTATCACTGGAAAATATGACAATGGCATCCCAGAATCTTCCAGGGCAGCATTAAAGGTATGTATATATATAAAATCTGTTTAACTTCATGTTCTATCATGTTTTTCCTTATAGCCATATCAATGGTTAAGAGACAAAGTAATGAGTGAAGAGGGGAAAAAGCAACAAGCCAAACTAAAAGAATTGGGCCATATTTCAGAGAAGCTTGGGTGTACTCTACCACAGCTTGCCATTGGTATGTTTTACAGAATTGGACTCATAATGAGTTGTCTTAATTCAATATATTTTATTTTATTTAAGCTTGGTGCCTAAGAAATGAAGGAGTGAGCTCCGTGCTACTGGGTTCTTCTAACCCAACACAGTTAACAGAAAACCTGGGAGCCATTCAGGTGAGAATGAAGCATGTTTCCGCTGGGTGTACTGTGAACTGACTGCGACTCGAGTGCGGGAGCTCCACGTCTTCTAATGTTTGCTTGTCCAATCGGAAACTCTGGATAAGATCTGTTTAATTTACTTTAATCAAGATTCAGAAACCACTGGATTCAAGTATGGGCTACTTTATATTGTATCAGTTTGTGAATTTAATGTGGCCAAAAGTGCCACACCCACCTCGTATTCAATGCACATCTAACGTTAGGCACATAAATGTACAAATGCATTAAGTTTACTGTTTGCTCTCCCTTTTTTTACACTTTAGGTAATTCCAAAGATAACGGCAGACATGGCCACAGAAGTGGATCACATTCTGGGCAATCGCCCACACAGCAAAAGGGATTACCATCATTAAGATTATATTTCTATTATCTAACATTCAGCCATGGCACAGTTGCAAGTGCCCAACTTCACTTGTGTGTTGATGACTGACTGTGACAAATGCTGTTGCTCCTTGTATGAACGTCAACATGTTGTCATTTTTTGATAAAGCTTCTTGACAAAGTCTGCATGCGATAGCTATAGCTAACCATATCGTGCCAGTACATTAGCCAAGAGACATTGTGCCCTGCACAGTGACACTATGCAGAACAGATTTCAATGTTGTTAAATCCCAGTAAAAAAATATTAAAAATAATTAAAATCTTCTCTATAGAAAGAAAATGACAGCCTTATAGTTAGTATTTCTCTTGCTCTGGGCAGTGGAGTAAGTGCATGAACTTTTTTAAAACATACTGGTAGTTGGATTTTTTCCTAATCTGATTTACTCAAAGAGATAACTCTCAATAACTGGCGTCCAGCACACAATCCTCACACTTAAACATAGCTATGACTGTTACATACTTCTTTAATGTCATATTAGTTTGTCAGTCTTCATTAATTGTGTTTATCTCCCAACAAAGATATTCATTATTTACGAATAATGAATATCTCCAGAAATGCACTTAGTTATTTCAAGTGAACTGTGAACATAACATTTGTGCAGTCACTGCAGGTATTCCTGTTGCTAATACAGAGGATACAGAGCAGCATATGGACCCTGGAGCTTGTGCACCTGGAACACAACTATTGCCATAATTTTCCAGATGTCCCTTTATATAATAGGAATATGTCACATTCTCTCTGTTCAAATGTTCATTTCACCAGAGACTATGAAATATGTAAATAAGTACAATGACTCATGGTTGTCAACTTGCTTAGATATATTTGCTTGATTAATTTTATTGCAAGTTTTATGGCTTCTAGTGTAAAGATAAACAGTGCTTGCTTATTTGCTATAATTAAAATTGGGGTTATTATGTGTAATTCTGTTTTGTAATTAATCTTAATGAATAAATTTAATTTTGTTTACTCTTGTTTGAATGTTATCATTATTTATATGACGGTATATTCAGTGAATTCCCCCAATTTAATCGTATGTTTATGTTTATGTTTATTGTTCATGCAATTTTTCATAATCAATTTGCAGTTGACACATTCATACATGCTTTTACCTGAACAAAAGGAACAGAAAGAAGATAAATCTTGTATATCCTGTCCTTTGTACAAAAACAATAAAATAAAATAAGGAAAGCAAATTGAATTTCCCAATTTAAACCCCAAACACCAAAAACCCAAGTCACCAATTGCACAAACGCATCAACAGTCCTCATTGTCTCACATTTCGTCAGATACAATCCTCTTTTTTAACCTAGATTATATTCATTCAAAATTTTTACTTTATACATTCTCTTAAACTTCCACACACTTTTACAAACTTTGAGTTCTTCATTCAAGGAGTTCCACAGTTTAACTCCATAAACTGAGGGACATTTCTGTTTCAGTGTTGTCCTGGCAAATTTGGTTCGGAAGTTGTGTTTTCTTCTGTGTCCATCACTCACGCAAAATAGATCTTGCACATAATTGGGCAACATTTTCTGTTTAGCTTTCCACACAAGGAGCACGATTTTCAAATCAACAATATCCTTAAACTTGAGTTGTCCAGATGCTATAAACAAGATGTTTGTATGCTCTCTATAATGTTTATTGTTAATAATTCTTATAGCTCTTTTTTGCAACAAAAACAAGGGTTTGGTGTTGGTGCTATATGTATTACCCCAGATTTCAGTGCAGTAACTGAAATATGGGAGAACCAGTGAGCAGTACAGCATATGTAACGAGCTACAATCAAATAAATCTTTCACTTTGTACAAGATACCAATAGTTTTACTAATTTTTTTCTTTACATAGTCTATGTGAGCTTTCCAATTAAATTTCTCATCTAAGACAACGCCCAGAAACTTAACTTCATTAACCCTTTCAATCCGAACTCCATCAATCGTGTAGTTGTTTTATTTATTTTACTGTGCCTCTCAAGCAAATCTTGGCCACGTTTTCTTTTTTAAGTGAAAAAATATCACAATATACATACAATTTGGCATTAACCATAATGAAAATATTAAAGTGCAATAATTAAGGCACACACACACAGAGGTCAATCTAATATTCTGACATTTTCAAATGTTTCTATAAGTGACAATGCATTTTTACAAGGTCCTTAATGGACACCTTTTGGATCTTTTTTCTTGTTATAAAACGTATCTCTGAAAACGTGTGACTTGAGATCTGGTGTACATATTGGCCAAAGAAAATAAACTACTACTACCTTTCATATATTTTAGGGATTTTAAGTAATTTATTTCCATTTGTCTTTGCGCTTCACCTTTATCCTTAACATAAATGAATACATTTCATTCAGCAACAACAAATTGTTTACAGTACATTTTGGCATCCAGGATGATGCCAAAAACTATTTTGTCCGATGTGTGTCTTGTTGTAGCTGGGCTTTACTCGAAAGCCAGTCCTAAAGGTCAGAATGTGTTTGTGTACATGCGATGATAAAACAGTTTCAATATCACGTTCACGGAATGCACAGTTGTTATCTTGCTCGTTCTGTGTCATGTTTTCTTTTTGTGTGGGCGTGTACTTCCTGTCTTTGGTCCAATAAGAGTCCTCCATTGTATTTCTCACAGTTTGATTGGAGCGTACTTCTTCCTGCTGTAAATCAGTCTCAGAGCCCGCGGATAACAAACACCTCAATGTTAAATCCATATGAAACTCGTTTTGAAGCTTTTCATCAATGCTTTTGTTTCTAATGTGTCTTGGCCACGATAATCCTCTATGGAGTAAGTGATTTAAAAGCAGTCTCGAGCGCAACACAAAAGGTTAGCCATTTGTTTAGCATCGGCTGTAGCTAACAACAACTGGGGCATTGTTGATATCCAGGGAACCATCTTTTATAGCCTCTCAAGTACAGTAAAGGTATGTATGATTTAATTTAAACATACGTTGAATAGTGCTTGCAAGTTGTAAAATTGTTTTAATTTCTGCCTTAAGTCATGTCGTTTTCAGGTGACTTTCTCATCTGGAACAATCCGGGTGCAAAACGGAACAACAGAGGAGCAACAATCTGTGCTACAGGCCTTTCTGACCCCAGTTTCGCAAAGGACGACCTTGATCTTAATAAGTCATACCCCTGTGCCCAAAGACCACAGCTAAAGAGGAACATTTTAACTTTGCAAGATCAATTTGCTATTGGGTCTTTGACAGGTAAATATTTGTGTGGCATTGTATCAACTGTTTTAATGCAGTTTATGTATTTAGTGATGCAGGTACAGTCAGTTTATACTTAACAATAGTGGTTGTATGAGTTGTGCCAGATTATAGTATATGTATCTATTTACAACTGTGGTCGCAGGGCAAGGTGGTGCTATCTTAAAACTCAAAGAAGAGACATTGCAGGGAAAGGGCTCTACGTCACCAAGGTTAATTATAACAATCAGTACATTAGTAGTAGTAGTAATCTTTATTTATATACCGCCTTTTCACTGCAGATCTGAGTCTCAAAGCGGTTTACAATTGTTAATTTTTGGGCATTTGTCTCTCACTCCACACAGAGATGGGAGCGGGGTCGCCAGTACAGGAGGCACATGCCAGAACTATTGGACATATTTTTAGTGGTAGGGGAAACCGGAGTACCCGGAGGAAACCTACGCAGACACGGGGAGAACAGGCAAACTCCACTCAGAAAGGCCCTGGTCCGACCTGGATTCGAACCCAGGACCTTCTTGCTGAGAGGCGAGAGTGCTATTCACTCAGCCACCGTGCCGCCCGAATATTAGGATGTTATTCAAATTTAGGCCTGCAACAAATATTGTCATTATGATTGCATTAGTGATTTGTATGTTGTTTTTAATTTGTGTTTATCACTGGAAAAAACACTCCAGGGACACGATGCCGAAAATAATTGTCAACCTAATTAAATATTAACATTATGATTTGCCTTATTGGTCAATTTTGTATCCCTTTTGCTTGGAAGCGGATTTTGTCTACTATACCTTGAAATTTCTCTATCCAAAGGTTTTTTGTTTTTTTTTTCAAAGGATAATTGGTTTATTGTGAGTTATGTCTACTGACTAGTCTCATTTTAATCTTTTTTTTTAAATGTGTTTTTCTTCATATAGGGGAACTCCATAAAGAATGTTCTGCAGCATCAGCAAAAAATGGCAAAATATCAAAACAGCGTTGGTCCCCTGCCACATTTCCGCATGTACGTTCTGCTTCACAAACGGATGATCTGTTTGGTCAGCTCATTAATAGTCAGTGTGTCCTGCCAAAGACTCCTGCAGTCCTGAATCTAAATAAGATTATTCTGATCGTTGACCATAAAACTCAAAAGGTATTTAGAAGCAGTTCTGTTGTACGTTCATAGTAGATATAGTGTGGTATATGTATTCTATTGATGTTCCTGTTCCAGATTATTTCAGTCAATAATCAGGCATGTAAACTGTATGACTGCACCGCCAAAGAGCTGATTGGGAAGACGTTTTCACAAGTATTTACAAAATGCAGTTTGGCTATCATGGATGTTTTGGCGGAAGACTATCTGCTCAGCGATGGAACTGTTACATCTGTTCTTGGAAAATTGGTATGGAGTGAGCAAAAGTATGATTTTATTTTTAAGGAAACCTCTGCCTAACACAGTTTTACATAGGTGGATGCCGTGTTGCCGTCTGGAGAAGTTCCTGTTTCTATTTCTACCTACAAGCATCTGCAAGAAAACTGGGTTATTGTGGCGGAACATGTAGAAAGACTATCGGCCTTTTTGTCATTTTCTCAAAAGGTAAGCAGAAAACATAAAAATGGCATTCTCATTATAAGTCATGTTATTCAATCATTCCAGGGTGAAATTCTGAGTTGTGACACAGAGTTTGCTCACCTCTTTGGATACCATCACCCTCAAGAGTTAAAAGGCATGTCGATCAATACGCTGATTCCTTCTCTTCAAATCCTCCAAAGCCATGGATTGCCTAAGGTAAATTGGTAAAACATGTCATTTGACTAAGTTGTATGTTTTCTGTTTTTATCCTAAGCATTTTTCTTTTGTAGTCACTTAGAATGCAAAGAGTTCAGGGGAAAGGTCGACAGGGGGCATCAATTCCACTGTGCATTAAACTTCAAGGAGCATTTATGTGCGAAGGATCACAGCTTAAAACATGCACAAGTCACGACACCTCTGTTGGTCAAATTGAAGGAAAACGGGAGCACACAAACCTAGAACATTCTCCATCCTCAGGTTTGTTTCTTGACAAGAATATTGACAGACACTGCTTCATTGTGCACATAAGTAGAACTTTCTTTGTTCTTTATTTTCCTCCCGTAGAGAAAAAGGATCACCATAATCTCTCGGATGGTCCATCTCTGGAATACTCTGGTAGCATTTGGGCGTTAACTCCTCTCACTGGTCTTCTCCTGCTCCACACAAATGGGTTAATTTTTAGTATTCACAGCCACCTGGCTCTCAGGCTTTTTGGCTACAGTAAGGAGGAACTGGTGGGCAAGGTATAAAAACATATTTAAAAATGTGTCTTTTCTGTCTTGGTATCAAATTAATCCTTATTCTGTCTTCTTTTTTTTGTATAGAATGTTTCCTTTCTCATGCCTGGTTTCTGTGGATGGATGTCTGACACTGGTGGAAATGAGAGCTTACTTCGGGATACTAACAGTGAAAGGGCTACCCAATCTAGAATTTCTAAAGCAGGTATTAAAGTGTCCCCCATTGTTCTGATTTAACCATCGTTATAAACTAGATATTGTTGGAGCAAAACTATGCATCAATGAGTATTTTCTTCTTATTTTAATGAAATGAGAATTTATCTTGATTGCAGACCCCTCCTCGCTGGTGGCTGGTGACATGGCTATGGTAAATCAGGCTGCTAAACACAGGACCTCCACTGGACGAGGCAAGATCTTCACAGGGACGAGCTCCAGATTAGACCACCAAGAAAGTGCCCTGTCTCACCTGGCTACTCCTGCTGTTACCTCTACACGCGTGCCCAGGTTAATTCCCTGTCCATATTGATCAATGTTTTCATGATTAAGGGTAATATTGTTCTTTTTCTTCTTTGCGTAGGCTTGATGACACAATAGAGCTCCTGGAGGAGGCTGTTTGTGTTGCCCCATGTAATGCAGAGCCATCCAGTGCTGACAACACTGAGGAGCTGCTTCAAACTTTTGCTTTGGTGGACAGTTCAGGAGAGGATGCATATTGCCTAGTTTCCACCAAAATGAAACCTTGTAGTCGTAGAACAAAAGGCCAAATGCAAACTCCTTGTAAGTGCACAGGCCTTCCATTATTATAATTATTTATCTATTTCATCACATTTATTTGTTTGTTTAGATGATGATGATCTCCAGGACTCCAGCTTTGAGGTGATTTCAATGGAAAGCAGGTAAAGGGAAACGCCTTTCTTTTTCAAGGTTTTTTGTGTTATTTTTGTTGAAATATTATCTAATGGATTTTCCTGTTGGATATTACAGGTCCTCCTCTGGTTTCTGTGAAAGATTTGCTGGCCCTCCAGGTACAGAGCCCGGTCAAGCAGAGCATGGTTCAGCCCAGGCGGTGGACTCTGGTAGCTGTTTTCTAGATCTGAATAGTGACGGTGAACTCGTGACTCGGGCCTTAGCTGATCTCAACATAAATAATAATTCGGAAAGGCAGAACCCCCCGGAAACCCAGCGCTCTACAACCACTTGTGACACAGCAGAGCTTCTCCGAACTCCTTCTCCTTGTGCCTTAAATCACCAAGAAAGACGGTCGCCAGCTCAAGTAGAACATTCCACAAGTGAATGTCTTCCGAATGAGCATAAGCAGGTGGTCAGGATACATCCTCTGTCTGATATTCATGCCACGTCAACGCCTAAGAAGCAAAAGGATCATCTCGATGAGCTACAGATAGCTGAAGGACAGTTTGAGGGCTCTGCATATCATAGAGATGGCACGCAGATGGGTATGAACAAGTCAGAAATCCTGCTCCATCTCGAATGGAAACTTGAATTGACCCAGGATTCTTTTCTAGATGTGCAGTGTGATGTTTGCAAGACCCCTCTCCCTGATGGAAGATTTATGTATTGTGTGTGGATGAGTAGAACTGACCACCAGGGGTCAATGTTGCTCACAAACAACTCTGTACACAATGAATCAGAGGCAAGTTTAAGGGAAGTTTGTGTCTCTTTCCAATAGATGTATAACAAATTGTTTTTATTTATTCCCCTTCCCTAGAGAAATGGTGACTTCTCTAATGGAGAAGCATTGCACACTACTATGGACCTTGAACACAGTCGTGCTTGTGAGGGTCAGTTTGAAGAAGAGTATCAGACTGTTAAAGCCATTGGTAAAGGAGCCTTCGGATTTGTTTGGAAAGCAATAAAGCGCAATAGCGGACAAGAAGTAATTTCCTTTTTATATTCTTACATGTGTTCCTCGACTGGGGATATGGCTTGTTTATTATTTGTAGTAATTAATGTGGTTTATACACTCATCTCAGGTTGTTGTGAAGTTCATAAATAAAACTAGAATAGTGAGTGAAAGCTGGGTGGAGGATCCCATACTTGGAAGAGTAAGCCAGGAAATCGCCATCCTCACTAGAGTACAGCATCACAACATCGTCAAGGTAACAGCCCCAAGACAAGTCTATACGTTTGGTAAATTATGTGGTATTTCACTCATTCTACTGTTACAGGTGATTGAGGTTTTTGAGAACGGGGCATATTTCCAGATGGTGATGGAGAAGCATGGGTATGGACTGGATTTGTTTGAATTCATTGACCACCAGCCAAGACTAGATGAACCTCTCGCCAGCTACATTTTCAGACAGGTAGGCGCTCTTTCAATGCAGATTAAATTGTTTGTTTTGAATTGTTTTGAAAATTATCCTTTGTTGTTTGGTTTTAGCTAGTGGCAGCAGTGTTTTACCTAAGAACTAAGGACATACTTCACAGAGACATAAAAGATGAGAATATTATTATTGATAAATGTTTCCACATTCGCCTCATTGACTTTGGTTCTGCTGCCATCATAATTCCTGGAAAACTGTTCTATAATTTCTGTGGCACACTTGAGTATTGCTCCCCAGAAGTTCTTCAAGGCAATCCGTAAGTCATTAATACACGTATACATTTATTTTTTATAATCTGCTATTTTGTAACCATTTCTGTACATTGAGCAGCTATGAAGGTCCAGAGCTTGAAATGTGGTCTATTGGAGTTTTGCTTTACACACTTTTGTTCGGTGAAAACCCATTTTGTTGTGTGGAGGAAATTCTGAATGCCAAGCTGAAGCTCCCCTTTCCATTGTCTCATGGTAAGAATTCTGGTGTGAGAATTCTTCATTATTAAGGCTTTATTGAAATCCTATACATGTATTGAATGTACAGAGCTAAAAGAGGTGCTGAGCGGGTTGTTGAACCCTGATCCTACACAAAGAATGTCTCTCGACCAGCTTCTGCTTCAGTCTTGGATCAGTCAACCCATTTCTCTGTCAGAGTACAGCTGGGCAGAGGTGGTGTCTACAAGCCAAAGCCACTGTGAGTTTCTATTGAAAGTGTTTTTCCTTTGCATAGTGCACATGTAATGCATTTTTCTAATGTGTCTATCTGAAGGTTCAGCAAAATCTTCGGAGTCTGGACCCGAACACTATCTTGGACAAGATTTATTTCCAGATTATGGAGATGAAACTCTTCCTGAGGATGAAGAGAATGAGGAAGATGAAAGATTTGCTCTCGAACTTGAGCTCCAGAAGTACCTTTGAAAAATAGACGAGAACATAGAGTGCAGTATAGGGTTCATAATAACTTTTTAAATTGGAGAATTAGATGTTGTAGACTGAGTATATGGTGGGGAGTGGCAAATCGGAGCTGCCACCCAATTCACATTTTATGGTGCCTATTGTAATTGCTAATAATGTCATCTTGTTTCATTCAACTGTTTTATCACCATCACCCATTTTATCACCCATATTTATTCCACAAAAAGACATTTATTAAAGTCACATTCTTGTGTTGTGCCTGTCGCACCACCCGTTATCAATGTTAGGCTTTGTTTTTGTAAATGTGGCTTTTTCTGAAATGCTTTGTGTTGCAGTAAAGACTAAATCTTCATCATATTTATTTTTTCCAATAATAAATATTTTAATGCAACTATCGAATCAATATTGTTGTTTTTTTTTAATATTATTTTATACTGATGGGAACTATTGTATTTATTTGTTCCACACGGTGAGATAAAAGACGCACAAACATGGCGTCCTCCATTGCAATGCGACAGGTAAATGGTGTTTGTAATTGTCAATCAAATGTTATTACATTTACAGTCTTATTTATTTCCCTAAGATAGTTAACCGACTGCGATCTTTTACGAATAATATCTTGCGTTGTTTTGGCATAATGAATGAGTATACCGGTTACTCGGTGCTAGAGAACTCGTTTTCCGCAACCACCATGTATTTTGCAGCATTACTCTTTAACAAGTCTGCTTTCTATTTGCCTTATAGGTTGGACGGATAGCACGCTACACCATTTTTCAGCCTCAGCTCTGTGTCCCCAGAAGAGCACTCTCCTCCCCCGCAGAGAACAGCCCCCTGAACCAAGGACCCAGCGCGGAGCTCTCTCTGCGTGGTTTACTAGACATGGGCTTTACGGACACTCAAGCAGAACACATTTACGAGACTGTTTACAAAAGCAGAGGAGGGAACACAGCCAAAAACACTTTATGCACTTTGTCAACTCTGATTGTCCTGGGCCTTAACCCCTCAAGCGTCCTGAAGCTGCTAGAAAAATGCCCTGAGTTGTACACAGTCAAGGAAGCACGTCTGCAGCAGCGCATTGCAAACCTGAGAAAACTAGGCCTTCTCGAAGGTATGGTTCCTGTAAGTTCGAAGGCACCTAATATGCACATTTTATATTTTACACATTTATCTTTAGGCAGTCTTCAGAGAGTTGTGGCTCATCACCCTCAGATCCTGATCATAAAGAGGAAGGTGATCAACAATGCGGTGATGTTTCTGAAAGAGAAGTGTCTGTTTACATCACAGCAAGTCACAGATATTCTCAGAGACAGTCCAGCCATTATACAAGAAGACTTGGCTCAGATTCAGTTCAAGTTTCAGGTAAATGCCCCCTCCGAGAATGATTTATACAATGGACTAGTTAAGTACAGCGTAATCGTGCAGGATTGGCTAATTCTCGGCTCAGATTTAATGGAGAGGAGGAAAACAAACATGTCTTTAGTATTGCATTAATACAATTAAATGGAACCATAATAATGTGCATGGGGGAAAACGTTTTTAAAGGTTTCAAAGATTGGGAGATCAGCACAGAAATTTTAAGCCTTATTTCCATTTACAATTTTTTTTTGCAATCTCAAAAACTTTAGACAGATTTTGTGGAAGAGCTAAAGGGTAATAATTCATTGTGAGAAAAGCTGTGCAGTAGTGCGGGGAAAATGTCTCCCTCTGGTGGTCATAATTTGAATGTGGGTTTGCTTTTTTTTCCACAGTACGTTTATTTTCGAATGGGCGTCAAACAGGCTGAGATGGTGAAGTCCAGGCTGTTCCGCTTTTCCTTGGATGAAGTGCGAAATCGTCACTGTTTTTTGGAGCGTAGAGGACTTTATGAAACTCCTGACAAAAAGGGACAGACCACCATTATCAATCCCAAACTCAGCAACATCCTTAATGTGGATCAGGACATGTTTGTTACACAAGTGGCTAAAGCTTCAGTTGAGGAGTTTGAAGTTTTTCAGAGACTGATGGCAAGAGAATATGAGGAGGAAGATCACTGGGGAGACTTAGAAAATATCAGTGAGGAGGAGGAAGAGGAGCGGGTGGAAGGAAGCAATAATGGGAAAATGGGATACATGAAAAGAAATAAGAAAAAGCTGAAGAATTGATCAAAGTGTCCACAAATTTGAAGTCTTTAATAAAGTAAAATACATGAAATATTACCTTTGCACCAATCAGTTGGTTATATAATCCAGTAACACAACCTTTTAATTTTCTGTGACTGTTTTGACTGCTACAACGTTTTAAACTGAAAATATAAATTCAACAGATCTTAAGTAAAATCTTATAGTGGAAAAAGATGTTCTGTTCCACAACCTTATTATGTAACTCGATCCTTTTACAGGGGCAATACATTAGGAGCTGTGTGAAAGCGGCAGGTGTATGCTTCACCCTGTTGCTATGTGATGTTCAAGCATCTTTTGCTCCTTGCATCGCTTTATCTCCTGCACAAGTCAACAGTCCCCCATCAAGCTACTGGACTCTTGACTAAGCACCTATCAATTTATTTAAGCGTCCAGACCAACGGGTGTGGAGTGGAGGTTCACATCGTGCTGGCCACTTGGTAAGAGACTTTACAATCAATAATAGGGCGGCACGGGGCGGCACGGTGGCTGAGTGGATAGCACTCTCGCCTCTCAGCAAGAAGGTCCTGGGTTCAAATCCCGGCCGGACCAGGGCCTTTCTGAGTGGAGTTTGCATGTTCTCCCCGTGTCTGCGTAGGTTTCCTCCGGGTACTCCGGTTTCCCCTACCACTAAAAATATGTTCAATAGTTCTAGCATGTGCCTCCTGTACTGGCCCCGCTCCCATCTCTGTGTGGAGTGAGAGACAAATGCCCAAAATTAACAATTGTAAACCGCTTTGAGACTCAGATCTGCAGTGAAAAGGCGGTATATAAATAAAAACTTACTTACTAACTTACTTACTTACTAATAGGTCAAATATGTAACACAAATATTAATGCAGGCAAAAACCTGTTTTTTTTTTATGTTGATAGTGATAACAATTTAGTTTGCGTTTCATACTGACGAGTTACGCAAATGGTTACATGCACATTTGTCTGCATGTATTTGCATACTATTCTCCACCTTTTCAAAAGTAACAGTGTATATTTTGAATCCGACAGTTTTAATGCTTATTGTGTTTTGTTAATAGACAGTTCCCGGTTGCAATTATTTAGGATTTGGTCGATATGAACCCGACTCTTCAGGTTTCCAACATCACAGAGGAATGGGCCGAGAGCTTCAGAAGTTGGCACATGGAGTTCTTTGTCATCCCTACTACCATCTTCACAATGTTCTCTTTGATGTCCAATGTTGTTCTCTTGGCATGCATCTACCGGACTCCAGTTTTGTGTCAAGAAACGCGCTACTTACTGTTGGCCAATACCCTTATAGCGGATGTGCTATTCATGATTTTTCATTGTGCGACCCAGCTCTGTAATGCCACTGGAGTTATAATCTCCTGGATAGTTTGTGAACTGGTCACTGTTGTCACTATCACTGCCTACTGCTCTGCCATTCTCAGCATCACACTCATGGTGGTGGATACCTTTGCTGCTGTGCGCTGGCCACTGAAATACAGGGAATTCCTGCCACCAGCTCGTACCCATCGCATGCTCCTGGGACTCTGGCTCTTTGCTGCTATTTACCCTTTAACTCTTGTCATTTTTTTGATCAGTGGCAGTAAACAAAGTGAAAAAGTCAATATCTGCCTTGTAATCATCTGTCTTGGATTTATGGAAACCAAAAACACAGTTGGATACAATCTCTACTTTTTGGTTGTCCCCATACTTTGTGCCGTGCTGATTTCTTACTGTTATATCCGGCTCTACATGGTGACAAAAACACAGGGAATCTGGCACAGCCGCTTTTCCAGAGCCAGAGTCACACTCTGTATACATGGCATTCTCCTGTTGTTATACTTTGCCCCGGGCTTTGTCTTCAGTATGGCAATTATCTTATTCCACAAGAAAGACATAAATCGGGATATTCAGGTGTGGATTAGCGCAATCAATATGTCTGTTTTAATGTTTGTGCCGAGGGCCTGTGCTCCTTACCTGTATGGCCTTAGGTATAGGGAGATCAATGAATCACTAATGCAGCTGCTTCATCTAAGGAGGCTAAACCAGATCACAAACTTATAGAAGGAAATCATATTGTATCTATTTATTGTGGATTCCACACTACCGTACCTCTAGGAGTCATAATAAGTGAGTCATAATTGATTACTTTTAGTAAGTACAACTTCAGGAAGTGTTTACATATTTAGTACAATGGTTTTTGTCTTTAGCAATTTAAAGATATGTATCAAAACTATTACTACGTATTAATTATATATCGATACAGGGATTCTTCAGAGGTATAAGTTTGTGATATGTTAAGATGTTTGTGTAAAATAAATATTGTACAATGTAACCAAGTTATTTGTATTACGATGCAATGTTTGTTGTTATTCTCACCATATTTGTCCGTGGGGGTTATGTGTTCAAGCACAAAACATTGATCTCGATACTGAATCATGGCTCTCACGAAAACATTCACTTGAACACAGTCGAACATTTTGCATCAGCATGCGGAAGTTGTGACATGTTTTGTTCCCACAGCTCCTCCTTTTTCACCTGAAAAATACAGAACTTGTTTTCAGTCTCGAGCCCAAAGACTGTAAATATTACAGGATATTACAGGATTCTGGACGTTGAAGCCATACACCGTATAGAGTTTGTGACTATTTTGACAATAAAAACATTTATTTCGCTTTGTTTTTTGTAATTGATAAATTATTGTGTGAATTATTGAATTGTGTGAACATTTGACCATATTCTGTTTACACCTCGGGATTCACTAGTTCGCGATCGATATATTGGTTTTTGAACCATTATTTTCGCATGAAGTTAGTTTGTTTGCAAACAAAGGGGAGCCACGTGGAGAACTGAGGTCAATGGGAAGTGTTGTTCCTTCCTTGTTCTACTGAACTACCAGTCATGTCTTGGACACTCCATTACCCAGAATGCACTGCTCACAGCAGCTGTCGCAGGAGTGGGCTGGATTTTCTTTTTGTTGACAAGTATATAATAGGTCTGTACAGTTAGGAGGTAGAAGCCTTTGTTTGTCACCTCGTCAAAATGTCTTGCTTGTTTCGGAACAACGTTGGATCTGTTCAACATTTTTATCTTTAGGGATTTTTATTATTTTTTTTTTTACAGTAAAATAAGTTTTCAGAAAACTTTTTTCCCCTTCAACATTTTTGAAGAGCAAATTGCGCCACCACCGAAAAAACTCCGGGTAATTATTATTGTTGTATAGTTTGGTTACGTATTTAGAACTTTGCATGTGTTTTGTCCGTGAATGATCTGATTTGTTGCTTCACATTAACAGAAAGCGGTGCGAGGGAAGCCTCCTTTGTTTGGCAAGTCCAAAGTTCGGTAAAGTTAGCTTGATATTCACAGATTCGGACTTCCGCGGTGAATATCTTACGAAAGCTACGTTGTTAAACGAAAGTAATTGTGCCAAAATGATCACCTCTACATGGGCTAACTACTACAACATCGATTTTTCTAATCCAATGCGCTGTTTTAATGCAGAGAAATCCATTGAATCCAATGCGCCGCAAGTGCCGAGAAAAGCACTTAGGGAGCGTCAACAAATGCCAATACCAGCTGTGTAAACGAACAATAGTTTTTATTTTAAGCCAAGTACACGCACTAAACTCTCAAATACTATAAATAGCTACCATATCTAACTACTACAACCTTTGTTTTCAGCATTTGTTTCTTTTTTGTATTTTTTATGAATAAATAGGATTTAATATGAATATGAATTTTGAATAACTTTTTTTCAAAGAGGGGCGTGGTCACCAAATTCTCAGGTATGATCAATAACTGCCATATCTAACTACTACAACTTTGTTTTCAGCAGAAATATCTTTTTTATATTTTTTATGATTAAATATGAATATGATTTTTGAATAACTTTTTTTCAAAAAGGGGCGTGGTCACCAAATTCTCAGGTATCATCAATAACTGCCATATCTAACTACTACAACTTTTGTTTTCAGCAGAAATATCTTTTTTATATTTTTATGATTAAATATGATGAAATATGACTACAAATCTTGAATAACTTTTTTTCAAAAAGGGGCGTGGTCACCAAATTCTCAGGTATCATCAATAACTGCCATATCTAACTACTACAACCTTTGTTTTTTGTATTTTTCTCTTTATATTCTTTGTGATGAAATATGACTACAAATCTTGAATAACTTTTTTTCTAAAAGGGGCGTGGTCACCAAATTCTCAGGTATGATCAATAACTACAATATCTAACTACTACAACCTTTGTTTTTAGCAGAAATACCTTTTTTCATATTTTTTATGATTGAATCTTCAATGGCTTTTTATAAATGGAGAAGAGTCCTTTACGAGGGTTAACAGGAGTATGAATTAGACAGACTCTAATGTTTTAAAACATTTATTAAAGATTGATTTGTATGTGAAGGTGCGGACCTGTAAAGGAAAAGAGTGTGAGTTAAGGAAAATGAATAAATGTACAACATTTAAATATACTTATCTTTTACTCCCTTGTCTGCCCTCTTTAGGCGTTCCGGCCAAATAAGTCCTGAGGAGCCGGAGCACCTAAAGAGGATTCCGGGTTCATCCACTCTGCAGAGAGGGTGGAGGGGTTTCCTGGGTTTTATCTTTCCAGTTTAGTATAGTTTTAGAATAAATAAATCATTTGTAAATTTAAATAATAATAATAAAAAGAGTGTAAAAGCACTACTTTAATTATTGCTGTAGGGCTGCAGTTAGTATTGCTTAATTACTGTCATATGCTATAAAAGCAGGCCACCAACTCTGAACAGAGAGAGTGTTGCATGACATGCTGTCCAATGTAAATAAACCTGCACCCTGGGTGTGCACTTTGTTCCTCCAACATCTTCATAAGTGCCATCCTGACATGACAAGTGTCACAATCTTCAATAAATTTTGTTCTAAAAGGGGCGTGGTCACCAAAATCTCAGTTATAATCAATAATTAACATATCTAAGTACTGCAACCTTTGTTTGCAGCATTTATCTCTTTGTTACATTTTTATGATTAATTATCAATCTTCAATAGCTTTTGTTCTAAAAAGGGGGCGTGGTCACCAAATTCTTCAGAATGTGATAAGAGAGCAGTGTTGTGTCCATTGCACAATGGTATGTGATATTTGATAATTGTATATACTATGTGTATTTGCATATTACTCATAAAATAATGAAATGTAATTCCTGTTACAATAGAACATTATTTTATCTCCGTAGCAGTGGAACTGGACCACATCCAGCTTTGTGGAATCAGCTTCAACACCACTGACAAACCCATGAGATATTTTAATTATTGGTTATACCTGAGAATTTGGTGACCACGCCCCTTTTTGAAAAAAAGTTATTCAAGATTTGTAGTCATATTTAATCATAAAAAATATAAAAAAGATATTTCTTCTGAAAACAAAAGTTGTAGTAGTTAGATATGGCAGTTATTGATGATACCTGAGAATTTGGTGACCACGCCCCTTTTTGAAAAAAAGTTATTCAAAAATCATATTCATATTTAATCATAAAAAATATAAAAAAGATATTTCTTCTGAAAACAAAAGTTGTAGTAGTTAGATATGGCAGTTATTGATGATACCTGAGAATTTGGTGACCACGCCCCTTTTTGAAAAAAAGTTATTCAAAAATCATATTCATATTTAATCATAAAAAATATAAAAAAGATATTTCTTCTGAAAACAAAAGTTGTAGTAGTTAGATATGGCAGTTATTGATGATACCTGAGAATTTGGTGACCACGCCCCTTTTTGAAAAAAAGTTATTCAAAAATCATATTCATATTTAATCATAAAAAATATAAAAAAGATATTTCTGCTGAAAACAAAAGTTGTAGTAGTTAGATATGGCAGTTATTGATCATACCTGAGAATTTGGTGACCACGCCCCTTTTTGAAAAAAAGTTATTCAAGATTTGTAGTCATATTTCATCATATTTAATCACAAAAATATAAAAAAGAGAATGCTATTTTTAGCTTCATGAAGGCCTGTAACATAAATGTTACTTTTATTTAGTAATACTTCAAACAACACATAAACCGTGTTAATTCTGAATGTACCGAATACAAATAAATATATAGAAATGCAAGTACCCTAATTTTATTTACACTTATAGTTTTATCATTACAACTTTGCTATTATTATTGAAGTGCGCAATGTACTGTTAGTGTCAGTAATCTGATTACTGTCTGATTTGGCGAATATGTTTAGCTTTTAACTACATGAACACCTACTCTTCATATCATGGTCATAAAAGAAACACCATAAAAAGTACTTTCTAACAGTCTTTCCTCTTTCCTCCTCTAATAAACACGTGTGACAGATAAACCAGTTTTCAGCATGGATCTGGGTCCTCAGGTTTAGTCAGGTTTAGATTTGTCATAGAAGGTGCTTCCGTCAACTTCGACACGTGATGTTATAGGACATACAAGCTACCTGCTCCCACTGTTTACCTGTATGGCGTGAGCTATCTCGATTTTGAACCATTGCTCAACCCCATCCTTTCTGTCCTTCCTTTGAGTGTGTCAGAAGGTTCATTTTGCTGCAGGCTAAATGCTGCAACACGATGAATCGGGGAATTATTGCACAGACAAGAATTAATTGTGATGCTTTACTATCCCCTCAACCTTGATGGGCTTGTCTTAAAGTTGCTTTTCACTTTTTGTATGTTGTCCTAAAATACAATATTTTGACACTGCTTTTGTTTTGATGGGTGATTAAAGTATAAAAATGTATTTGTTTTGTCACTGTATTTTGTTTCAGATTGATACAGCATAGTAAAGGTCTACTTTGAAGGTGGCAGCATGGTGTTGATTTTGGGCAGACGAATGAACAGAGAGGACTCTGGGATCAGAGATTCTCCAGCCGTCAAGCGCAAGGTCTGATTTTATTATGGTGGTCTTTGTATGAGTGTGATTCTTACTATTATAATGGAGTAACTATAATACTGTTTTTAGGTCTTTGAGGTTGACCCCAAAACTTTAACTAGTCAGGATGTCCTGGACTTCTGCTCTGGAGCGTCCCACTCTGATGGAATCCTGCAGGTGTTCAATGAGTTCCGTGATTGCAGACTATTCACAGATGTGGTCATCAGCGTTCAGGGTCGCGAGTTTCCCTGTCACCGCGCTGTCCTGTCTGCGTGCTCCTCCTATTTTAGAGCCATGTTCTGCAATGACCACCGTGAGAGCCGCGAGATGCTGGTGGAGATCAATGGCATCTTGGCCGAAGCCATGGATTCATTCCTGACCTACGTTTACACAGGGCGCGCCAAAATCACCACCGAGAATGTGCAGTTTCTTTTTGAGACTTCCAGCCTGTTCCAGATCTACACTCTGCGTGATGCTTGTGCCAAGTTCCTCGAAGACCAGCTGGATCCATGTAACTGCCTGGGCATACAGCGCTTTGCCGATGCCCACTCCTTGAAGCAACTGGCCAGTCGCTGTCGCAGCTATGCCGTGGCAAACTTCGCAGAGGTGGCTCAACATGAGGAGTTTCTTGACCTCCACAAAGAAGAGCTGGAAGAGTATATTGCCAGTGATGAGTTGTCCATAGGGAAGGAGGAGGTGGTGTTCGAGGCTGTCATGCGCTGGGTCTATCACTGTGCGGAGCTAAGACGACCCATGCTCAAGGACCTGCTGCACCATGTCCGCCTGCCTCTTCTGCACCCAAACTACTTTGTCCAGACAGTGGAGGGAGACCAGATCATTCAGAATGCTCCAGAGTGCTACCAGCTCCTTCATGAGGCCAGGCGCTACCATGTGCTTGGAAATGAGATGATGTCACCAAGAACACGCCCACGCAGGTAAAAGAAAACCTGTCTAAAGCCACACTCAATTATAATCATTCCCAATCTTACTTTTCATGATGTGATTATGTATTATATTAGTGAACTACTGTTGATGATTGTTTGCTAACTGATATAATGATAGATGTCACAACATAGATTGTTGTTGGCCTGCTCCAGGAAATTAATTTGAACAGAAAAAAGGCGGAAGTCAGGGCATGTCTCTACACAGAGGTTGTCCCGAAAACAGAAAAATAATGTGACGCAATCTTGAAATGTTGAGTCTTGCCTATTTACCCAATGCGTTCAATATCTTTAAAAGTAAAATACTAAAGATGCGTTAGCTCATTAGAAATACTAAAGAAGCCATATGGCGAGCAGTGGGACAGTAAACAAAAGTGCAGCTGTCTCGTGTTAAGAAAGCAGGACAGAACCAGTTGTGTGTGTCAGTTATTATTGGCGCCTGATTTGTATTTCAGTTCCTTTGTGTCTTGTATCTAGGCAGATGTATTCATGAACAAACCAATCAGATACCACGCTGTTGGCTTTGTTTACCTTCAGGCCCTGCGCTGTCTCAGGTTGAAATGTATTCAAACCTCTCACCCTGCACCTGCAGCTTTAAAGCTCCATCTTACAAAAATACGTGTTCTCCTGCAGACGTCCCAGGGTCCTTCAATAACCTCACATGGCAACACAAGTCTAGATTTACACATTGTTTAAGTTGTATTATGTATCCTGCTTGTATTATTGCATGTAAGCATCAAACTGAACTTATGCACTTAGATAAGTATAGGTGGAGAATGCTATCCGTTGAGTTTGTCTGTCTAGACAAATGGTATGAAGATAAAAACAAACACATTAATTGTAATGGATCTGTTTTGTGGTATCTCCTTCAGGTCGACTGGTTTCTCTGAGGTGATTGTTGTGGTTGGAGGCTGTGAGAGGGTCGGAGGCTTCAATCTGCCTTACACAGAGTGCTTTGATCCAGTCACTGGAGAGTGGAAGTCACTGGCCAAGCTCCCAGAATTCACAAAGTCTGAATATGCTGTCTGTGCCCTGCGCAATGACATTCTGGTGTCAGGTAAGCCCCCTAAAATAAATTTAACATATACATGTGTTTTGTTGGAGTACATCATCTATCTGGTGTTCCTGCTGCTCATTTAAACGCAGTGAGAGAGACTGAGGGAGAGCTGCTGTCTAATCTCCCTGAGGACCAGCAGGAAAGCAGTGTTGGCTGTTTGCCTTGTGTTATTTTAATGCCTTACACAGTTGGACTTGAAGGAAAAAATGAGAACAACATCTGGATGCACTCTGAGCTCAGTCCTGTGAGAGGAATTCTGCCAGGCAGTGACAGTGAACTCTCATCCATGGTCATTGCTTCTTAAAGTTGTTTTGCAAGTTCCATAGATACAATTTATGAAATACATTTATTTATCTTTTACTGTTAAACATGTATACTAGCTTAAACTTGCAACAGGACCTGCAGCTCGTCAAAACAGCTCCCTCAGAAATATGAAGAGAAAACTATTTAAGGCAGTTCTGAGAAAGAGGACTGTTCTTCCCTGCAGCCAAAAGTGTGCAGTGTGCAGTGTACAGTGTACAGGCACTGAACGTGCCAAGTCCTCACGTGTGCAGTATCAATCTCTTCAGTGTCTGGAAAATCAACAGGCTGCACCTCCCCCACATACATTCATCAGTAACAAACCCTACAGTCAAACGTGTGGTCAAATGTTTGCTTTGGCCTTTTCTAAGTGTTGTTGTAACTTTTCCCCACCTCTGCTGTGTGTTTTCTTCACTGTACTGGTGTAAATTCTTTGACCACAGTTGTTGTGAGCCATCACGCAGATCAAATATGTCAGCTGGGTATGCACTGAAAAAGTATCTGTACTTACACTTCACCACAGGCCAGCACATACAGTGTGCCCAGAGCACACGCCTAGAGAAATATGTGTCCGATAATTTGCGTAAGAAAATGTTTAAAGTCATTTTTGAGGTTGTTGTTGTTTGGTTGTGTTTTTATGGAGAACATCCAGGGCTATTATTTGAATGCTGGTTTTAACTGTCTTTTATGCCTAAAGGTTGCAGACTGTCTGGCTCACACTCAGACAGTGATTACATCAATCAGATAAATTATTATTAACATAAGGCTTTGCAAAATATAGTTTAATTTATTCAATAATACAATGACTGAATTCACTCAACTCAGGCTCACAATATTTGTATTTCCTTAAACATAAAGACTTTAATCATTTAAAATAGATTCAACAAACAAAAAGTCAATAAAATCAGTAAAAGTACTCCAGTTTAGACATTTTAAAGCTCCAACATTATACAAGGCAGTACAGAGAGTTCAAATTTGCCAACCACAATTTTAGTGAATGAGTATGAAATTAATTTCAACCTTGCTATCTTGTTCTCTGTCAGTTCCTCTGACGGTTCTTTGTTACTGCCTCACGTCGTCCTGCCCCTTATGTGCATTTATTTGCATTTACTAAAACTTGTCCTTCAACAAAATCCAGAATTTCACCAGGTTTTGGTCCAATGAAGCATTGAACTTGCTGTGCATGTACTTTGTTTAGAAAACATTTTCTTGTTTTTCTTGTTTTTGTTTTTTTAGCTTTCTTTGAAGAGTAAACACATGTCTGGGCCCAACCCTAACATTTCATGTATTGTCCACTTTGTTCATCATGCTGTGAGCCATTTTAGTGAAAGCATTATTGAGACGTTGAACGCTACAAAGACCAATCTCTAGTATCTACTTAAGGATGATTTCACAACATTAGTTTGGCCCACAAAAGCGCCAAATCTAGGTATTATATTTCTTCTATTACAGTTGTGATATAATCTGAAACACTTACAACAATACAACGGTCGATGACTATTTTGATTGACTTGGATGCTGTAAACTGATGAATCAACAGCGCCAGAGATTAGTCACGGTTGTAATTTCCTTTCTTTAAAGTGTATGTCACTCAACTACTTTTCAAATTGAGAAGAGGAAGAACACATATGGCAGTTAGACACGCCCATGTTTTCCCCCACAGCTTCCTGATTTGATGATAATAATTCAAAGGCGTTAAGTAAAATATTTTTGAGAAATACTTTTTAATGAACTAGTCACTTGTAAAAATGCATTGTTCTGATGGGGTCTGCTTGAAATGTCACTCAGTTTGGTTTATAATGTAATTATTATTATAATGCTTAATAACTGAATTATTTTTGTTTGGAGTCATGTGCTTGTTTCCATTGTAAATAGAAAATTGAATGTCAGAATTCTTTGTGTTAACAGGAGGGCGCATAAACGGCAGAGATGTGTGGATGTACAACTCACAGCTCAACCTTTGGATCCGTGTGGCCGCTCTGAACAAAGGTCGCTGGAGACACAAGATGGGAGTTCTCCTGGGCAAGGTTTGTACCATTATTCACAGATCAGGAGTTCTGTACTGTATGGCCTACCTGTAGAAAAGTTAATGCATGCTTTGGTAGCTGCGTGACAAAACTGTGGCCTTTAGAAGATGAGATGATGTGTAAGCTACTACTTTGAGCACCTGTTATTACCCTAAAATATCATAAAACTGACAAGACATCAAAACTCAGAGAAAAACAACCTTTAGAGTTACTCACCCACTGGAATCTTTGACAGAGTATTTGCATGTTTTCTAATGATTCGTCTTGGTCTTTTGCTGTGAACACTATGTGACTTTATATTGTCGCAGTCAAAATAAGATACTTATAAATATATGTACACATATTTAGAGACACATTATTGACCAATAAGAGAGAATGTTTATTTAATTTGATAAAAAATGGCTTATAGTTTGTATATGTTTTAATTTTCAGTACTCCTAGGTTTTAGTTTTTGTGCTTGTGTTTTAGTTTAGAGCCAGGTGTGCATTTTTGTGCTGGGTCATTGGGAAGTGTGCCAAAGAGCTGTTTCTTTTCAGTGTTTCTAAAATCATTCTCACATATAAGACATAGTTAGACAATCACATAGTCAGTTAAGATGTGTATTTATCAATGCAGAGTAACACAGTTGTTACATTCATGAATTCACCTCAGGAATGTTGCTGTTGAACATAAGGACTGAAGACATGGTGGCGCTGATAATAGGACATATAGATATTTCATGAGTATTTCCTGAACTGTAATTACATGTCAGGTAACAGGCAACACATAAGCAGATGTGGGCAGCCCTTTGCTTTAAGAGCGTGCCTGTGTACACAAATTGCACACAGAGGACTACTAAAGAAGCATTTTACATAGTGTTGAAAGCAATCTACATTTTCATATTTGTAAAAAAAAAAAAAAAAACGCGTAAACACAGGTCTCAGTTAACTATAGCGGGAACCGGAACTATATATGTTGAAAGAATTCTACTTATTGTCAGTGCACCACAAGCCAACACAAATCTGTCTGCTCAGAGTTTTCCTCAACAAGTCTGGAGGCTGCAAGCCAAATATGCAGAATTGATCCCCAGAGAATCCCTCGTGTGGATCCTGTGGCTGTTGCACACATGTGAATAAGATCCTTTTCTTCATGTTTTCCTTCTCAATCCACAAGGTTGAGACACTGGAATCATGCCTGTTAGATGATCTTTAGTTTAATTTCCTTGAGGGTTGTCGTGCTGTAGGGTGTTGTCTGCGATTAAACTCAAAACAAGACTTCTCTTTTGAAGCTGTCATTTCTTAACACAATATCAAGCTTCTCACTTCCGCCTCCGTCGAGCAAAGACGTGTCTCAGACGCTCCTGCTTCTGACTGCTTGCTATCTCATTGCTCTCTGCTGTTTATTCTACTGTTTGTCGCATGGCGCCGTAAAGATGGCGCCGTGGCAAGAGCTCTGGTGTGTGTCGTCTTCTCTGTCTGGTGCACTCCGGGGTAGTCTTGCACAGTTTTCCAATGTGGTTTTACTGCAAATGGCAAATAAATGATTCTGATTCTGATTCTGATATCAACACCATGAAAACTTGAACGTGGTAATTTTTGCCTCAACCTGTAATTTCCTTTCTGTCTAAAAAGTGCATATAATAGCAGACACAGGAGGAACTCTAGCTAACTCTAATATAAATATATTGATTTTTCACAATGACAAGCTACTAAAGTCACAAAGAAGCGATACTGCCTTCTTCTAAGTGTGACGTCTTCTGAACTAGACTTGTTTGGAAAGAGCTCAGCTGAACTAGGTCATTTGTTGTTTCTCTTTTCACCCACTCACTCACCAAACTTTCTCAGTCTAAGTGTATGTCTGTTTACGTTTTCTTCAGTCTGCTGGGTGTAGTAAAGCACATGGTTAACCATTTAGCTTTAGTGAGTGTTTAAAGTCATAAAATAGGCAGCGACAGTGCACCAAGTGCTTGTCTTTACAGCATGAATCATGTTTGTAGTGCAGGCTATGATGGCTCCACATGCCACTCTCTGTTACTACTACCATCATAGTGTGTATCAGTCGTTAAAATGTCTTCTTTTTGTTGTTAGTTTATAGTGATCTGACTGCTCCTAATTGAGTGCTCTATGCAAACGTCCTCTTTTTCTTTGTTCACCTCCCTCTCCCTCTCGCTCATTATACTTCTGACTTTGGTGAAGCAAAGAGAACAGCCTTAGTGGTTTCTGTTGCAAAAGGCCCCTGTTCTTTAATTGCCTGTTCTTCATTTAGTCAATGTTTTCATAATGTTTGATCTGATTTGAAACTTTTTCTCATGAAACATTAGAATAAAACATCTATTGTCCAGAGCTACATACATATTGTGTATTTTCCTATGACATGGCGCCATCACTGGTCTGTTTGCTGTTACTTGATAAACCGGTTTAATCTGCCTGACGTAAAAGTATTCATAGTAATGAACTATAAGCCTGAAAGTCAAATGGTAACAAATGGGTATTTACAATGACGTATGTTTCTGTCCATGACGTGTGTGTGTGTGTGTGTGTGTGTGTGTGTGTGTGTACACGTGTATGTGTGTGTGTCTCTAGGTGTATGCTGTGGGGGGCTATGACGGCCAGACCCGCCTTAGCAGTGTGGAGTGCTATGACTCGTTCTCCAACCGCTGGACCGAAGTGGCCCCTATGAAGGAGGCTGTCAGCTCTCCTGCTGTGGCCAGCTGCGCAGGGAAGCTCTATGTGATCGGAGGAGGACCAGATGACAACACATGTTCAGACAAGGTGAGACAATAAAGAGTCTTCTACCAACACTCATTAAATATAAAGAAAATCAGATAATCCAGATACTTTCCCTCTTACGGTTAATCACATATTCTTATTCGTTCCTTATTCTAAAAACATACAATTATAAGTTGAAAAAGATGTTTACTGTATTTTCTTTATTATGCACTCATTGACACAAGTCACAGGATAAGAGCAGGTGGAGCCATCTTCGTCTTCATGAAAGTCCAGACATATGCTGATGCCCTTTTTTTAACAAAAGGTTCTGTGTAGTCAGGTCATTGTTTTAATGTCTAAGTGTATTATAAAATACAGTATGTATATGCTTAATAAGTTATTTTCATTTTGTCCTAGGTTCAGTGCTATGATCCAGAGTCTGACACATGGCTGTTCCGTGCTAACATACCGATCGCCAAGCGATGCATTTCAGCCGTCTCTCTGAACAACGTCATCTATGTGTCTGGGGGTCTGACCAAGTCCATTTTCTGCTATGATCCCAAAGAGGATTACTGGATGCATGTGGTTCATACCTTTAACAAACTGGTAATAATCAAATACTGACAGCAGCACCAATGATGATTGTGATCACTTGTGTCTGAACTTCGTTTTTATTCATTGCAGGAGAGCTGCGGCATGTCGGTGTGTAATGGCAAGATCTTCATCCTTGGAGGCAGGGAGGAAAATGGAGAAGCAACAGACACAATTTTGTGTTACGACCCCTCGACAGGCATCATCACAGGAGTGTCAGCAATGCCTCGTCCCATCTCTTATCACGGCTGTGTGACCATTCACAGGTACAACGACAAGTACCACAAGTCATAGCCCCAAATCAGACCTGCACATGCTCTCACTTAAAAGCACTCTCTTCAAATGCCAGATCCACTGAAAGGAGACCATACAGCATCATGTAGCAGCAGTGAAAGACGTGCTGTGGAATTGTACTCTTTGCTCTTCAGTGGTTTAGGTTCATGCTCTTATTAATCACGCATTGGACGTGTAACTGTACTTTAGCTGTAAACTAAACTTTTTTTTGAAAATCATTCTCCAACGAGTTTTTTTGCAACAGAGTACTCTTTTTGACTACCTGTATCTGGAATACTTTTATTACTATTTATTTTGGTTAGTTACTTTTTATAAATTGAAATGAATACATTTAGGTATTTTTGTGATGCATGAGAAAGAAAAAAAATCATATCAAACATGCAAGTAAAAGTATTCCAAATTGTCAGAATACAGTGCTCTGATTGGACCATGTAACAAAATGCTTTAAAAAATACTTTTTAAAACGGGTATTCCATTTTCAAAGTATTCTTCCCAACACTGATTCTAACAAATTCGTCATTAGGAAATGCCTAGAACAAGTCTAATTAATTAAAGTTACTGAATTACATACAAAGAGATTGACAATTCAATTGGCATGACCAATCAGTCGTCAACAATCTGCTTTTCCATATTTCTTTGGCCTTGTCACAGAGTTACACTTCCCATGCAGTTTCTCATTGACTTTGTATGCTGTATAATAAGGCAGTATCTCCATTTTTTGCTCTTTTTCTATACATTATTGGTATTATAAAATGTTATACTTATGTTTTCTTTTTAATTAAGTTATATTGCATTTTTATATTTGAATGTTATTGTATTGTATCTGACAGTAGAGTTAGTAAGTATGTCTGTTCTTTTGTTTGGGTGTATGGTTTTGTGGGTTGTTTAGTAGATCAGAGACGTGGCAGATCAAAAACTGCTTGGAAATGTGTGTGACTGTTGTTGTGGACGTGTGGTGTAGCCAATGCATGACTGCACTGTAACAGCGTGATCGTAATCAGCTGTAGACAGTTTCCTCTGATGCTGACACGGGCCGTTTTCCATGATACAACCCGGGGCAACCATTGATACCTCCAGTTGTGAGTGTTGGATGGCATGTTTACTCGTCAGGTAACAGAGATGTAATTTGTACCTCACTCCAGAAGTGAACAACACAACAGAAAAGGCTTTGGCTCATGGTCAGTAAAAGTCACCATCTTTTCCGTGTTGCTAGATTAGAGATTTTGCTGTGAATATATCAGATTGATTTTTAAACTATATTTAAACTACTTTTTTATACTTGTGTTTTTTCTGTGAGAGCCCCAATTGTGCACTTTGACAGTATCCTTATTTAATTTTCTTTTGTATTTTTGGTTTACTGTATCAGTAAAAAATGGACAAGCCACCACATCTTGTTTTGGCTGTTGTGCTGTGGTACTTTAGCCACAACCTCTAAAACCCTAGAAACCATAAAGTTGGGAAGCTTGAGGTTAGTTTTTGACAGTCATACAGGCTTGTATGACAATGTGTCTATATTGGTCTCAGTGTGACAAACTGTTTTCTGTGCGCTCCATTTCTTTATGAATTTGTGGTTTCATTCAGCAGGTCAACAAGTTGTACAGCCTCATAGTAGGAGATGGATGGGTGATGATGTGTTTGTGTGTGTGTCTGCGTGCGCACAACTGTATTTTCCCTGAAAGGACACATAATCTTATTGATTATATTGTGTTATAATCTACCGAGGCCCTTATAGTGTACATCACTCCTTGTTTTGTATCAAATGTTTATATTTTTTGTTGCTTGTTGCTGTCTGTGTGGGGTTGTATGTGACATGAAAACAGTTAAATCATGAGGATGTTAGGTCAAATCCATAATCAATTATGCGCTGACATTCAATATTCTCACATTGAAAAGACGACATTGTCCTGTGCCTTAATTAACAAAACTGAAATCAATTTGTAACATCAGAGGTTTGTTTTTGGATGAGATCTGTGGAAAAGTGAATGTGAGATTTTTTTGATGAATCAACATGTATTAAAAAATAAAGCTTTTTGAACCAAGTCCTGTGTTGTTTTGTTCATTGTCATACTTTTTTCTTGTGAATTATTTAGAAGGAAAAATGCTTTCTATTTACCACACTACACAGGCCTATAGTTTAGGGTTAGCCAACACAAAATTAAGTTGGAAATTGAAGCTACAAATCATTCTGTTTTTATTTATTCTCACATTCTCACTTTGATGTGTCACTAATGATTGAAATCTTTAAAGATGAGTTGGGTGAATTTAACCGGGTTCTACGTAGAACAAGAGAAATGTATTTTTCTGACATTATTGGAGGTTGCAGTAACAATTTTCGTGTTATGTTTTCAACAGTTGGTAGATTAACGAACCCCCCTGTAAAGTTGCCCCTAGAATTTTCCTCTAAATCTAGGTGTAATGAGTTCGCACAGTTTTTCGATGACAAAGTACAAGGAATCAAAAACACTATCACCTCCACAGCACGTATAACAATGCAACAGCCAGAGAAGCTTTCTGAGCTAACTCACTTTGCACCTGTGGATACTGAAACTGTCAAAAAGATAATCATGAGTCTGAGCTCCTCCACATGTAGCCTGGATATATTGCCCTCTAAATTTCTGAAGTCCGTCCTGAGCAGTTTGTTACCTTCACTGACACAAATAGTAAACATGTCTCTGTCGTCAGGAACATTTCCTATGGCCCTAAAAACAGCAGTCATAAGACCTCTCCTAAAAAAGAGCAGTCTGGATCCTGCGGGACTTCAAAATTATCGCCCCATATCGAATCTGCCATTTATTGGAAAAATTCTTGAAAAAGTGGCCTCCCAACAACTTACTGAATTTTTAACAATGAATAATTCTTTTGATATGTTCCAGTCTGGGTTTAGACCCCACCACAGCACTGAGACCGCTCTAGTGAAGGTAACAAACGACATTCGACTTCACACTGATGCAGGTAAAGTCACAGTTTTGGTCATGTTAGATCTTAGTGCCGCGTTCGACACTGTCGACCATGAGATCCTCATGCAGAGACTGGAGGACTGGGCTGGTGTCACTGGCACAGCCCTAGACTGGTTTAGGTCTTACCTGGAGGATAGGAAGTACTCTGTGGAGATTGGAGACTGCGTCTCAGATGATGTGGCCCTGACCTGTGGTGTACCACAGGGGTCGATCCTGGGACCTCTCCTATTTAATCTCTACATGCTGCCGTTAGGTCAGTTAATACAAAGAAACAAAGTGTCCTACCACAATTACGCTGACGACACTCAGATCTATGTCTCACTGACTGCAGGAGAACATGGACCACTGGATTTGCTCCTTCACTGTATCCAACAGATCAGTGACTGGATGCAAAATAATTTCCTCCAGCTAAATACAGACAAAACCGAAATCATTGTCTTTGGTCCCCAGAAACAAAGAGAGGGCGTCATTTGTCAACTTCAGTCTCTCTCCCTACTTCCTTCAGACAAGGTCAGAAATTTGGGGGTAATACTGGACTCAGACCTAAATTTCAATAGCCACATAAAATCAATAACATCAACAGCTTTTTACCATCTGAAGAACATTGCCAAAGTTAGAAATATAGTGTCCAGGGCAGACTTGGAGATTCTTGTCCATGCATTTGTCTCCAGCAGGCTAGACTACTGCAATGGCCTGCTTACAGGTCTGTCCAAACAGACCTGTAAGCAGCTGCAGTACATCCAAAATGCAGCAGCTAGAGTCCTGACAGGAACCAGGAAGTATGACCATATTAGTCCGGTCCTCAGGTCTTTGCACTGGCTTCCTGTGGCTCAAAGAATAGATTTTAAAACGGCTCTGCTTGTGTACAAGTCTCTCCATGGCCTTGCACCAGAATACATTAGTGACATGTTGGTGTCATATGAACCAGCCCGGACTCTGAGGAGCACAGGGACTGGCCTCCTGCTGGTGCCCAGAGTGAGAACCAAACATGGGGAGGCTGCGTTTCAGATCCATGCAGCTAAGATCTGGAACAATCTCCCTGAAAATGTGAGGGAGGCGTCTACTCTGTCAATGTTCAAATCCAGGTTAAAGACTGTTCTGTTTGCCTGTGCATACAACTGAAGGATTTTATCTCCATTTTTAATGCACTGCTGTCATTTATTTATTTTTTTAAATTTCTTGTGTAATTTTGAAAGTTTTAATGGTTTTATTCTTTTGTGTGATTTTAATGTTTTAATTGTGTTTTAATCTTTTGTGTGATTTTAATGTTTTAATTGTGATTCTGGTGTTTGTTTTATGTGATGATTTGTGATGTGGACTGTGAAGCGCTTTGTGTTGCCATGTGTATGAAAGGCGCTCTACAAATAAACTTTGATTGATTGATGATAATGATTTATGAGCCAATTGTGTTGAACATGCTGTATTGAGCAACTATGTGCCATAAAGATTCACAAAGCCTTGACACAATTTTTTCAGATGTATTATTCGTGGGATATTTAATCACACATGGCATCATATTCCAAAATTCTACCACTCAAACAGAAGTAGACTGAATTTATACAACACTGTGTCTCATTTAACCGAGAAAGTCTCAGTTTTGCGCCCTGTTTCAAATGTTCCAGCATATAACCAGTCCTAGTATCCTGAGATGACATGTACCATTTGCCCATTTGACACCCACTAACAGAAAAGTATATTAAATCCTATCAAAATAGTGAAAGTTCTGAGTGAACGTGGGCCAGCTTGATTGCATTGATTTGTTGTTGTTCATTTCTCCATTATGACAATCTAGTCACACAAAAATGATATAATAAATAAATAATCAAATAAGATCATAACAATGTAGAAACACAGACATTTGTTTTTATGAACACGTCCACGATCAATGCAAAATTACACTGGGTTTGTGTTGTTCTCCTGTGTCTGTGGAATAGTGTCTCCTAGTGGTGATTATACTGAATGGTTTAGCTAGCTTGTACCACACAAGACTTAGCATTATGACTTTGTTAGATTCTAACATTTAACCGCATCCTCCTTGCGATTCTGGTCAATTAAAACACTGCTCTGAAGAAGCACTATCCCCGGTTAAGATACAAAGCGTAAGTAGAATGACTACAACCATTACTTTTGGATACGGTGCTGTATGCTAACAGTCTATGATGCTAACACTAGCGTTAGCCACCGCGAGCTACAGCAGCCGCAACACCGTGTTTACGAGGCATTCGTGCTAACTACGATTTAGCGATATTGTAAATCATTAGAATTGTTATTTTGCCATGTATTCAACTTAAACTGGTCGAGAAATACAAGAAAATAATATAAGCACGAAAATCACATTTTGGTGGGTACCATACACACGCTATCTTGAAAAGTTGTTTATTTATTAGGAACATGTTGTATTTCACATTTAATTTTCTATGGACCTCAATTGTATGTGCTTATTAGTATGAAATCGTGTACTTTGACCAGTTGTATGTATTTATGCAACCAGATAACCATGTCAGGGGTAAAAAGGAAAATTGAAGGAAATGATCCAGACTATGAGGACATTGCTCTTGTCCAAAACAAAAAGAGAAACAAAGCGGATGAACACAGTGGTAAGTTACTCTTTGCCTCTTAATTGTTAAAGATGAGTAACAATACTTTATCCACGGCTGACAGCTCGAGAAGCAACAGTACTTAAGATTGAAAACATAATAAGGGAACAGTTTTCAATGGAGATGAAAAACAAAGAGCATGAAATTGAAGTGATAAATCAGGTAAGTCTATCCCTATCCATACCTTATCTATTTTCTCGTTCTTCTACCAAAATGTCTTAATATTTTATTGCAGAGACTTCTTGAAGCCAGGCGGATGATGGACAAGCTCAGGGCATGCATAGTGGCTAACTACTATGCAAGTGCTGGTTTATCCAAGAACCCTGAAGTAAGTGTTTAGCAAGTATAATTCCCTAACAAACATCTACAATATAATTTTATTCTGACGGTCCTTCCTGGTCACAGCAGACTGCAAAGAGTGATCCTGCTGTATTCAATCATCCTGCTATCAAAAAGTTTCTAGAACCACCATCTCGGTCCTCCTCTCCTCTTAACCAAGATTCTGAGACTCCATCACTGGGTCATTCTGAGTCAGAGTCCCTCTCTCAGCAAGGAGATGGAGCTGAAAAGGATGGAGACGTGGCCTGGAGGGAAAATTGCAGCAGACAAGAGCGTAGGCCTGGGCGGAACACTGGCAAGGTTGGATCAAAACCTTTAAAGAGTTGTTCTTAAGTCAAACCGTTTAATAATTGTTGTAATATCATTTTGGTAGGATACTTTTGGTGTGCCTTTATGTCTTGGTGCGGAACCTAGAGTGACTTACCACACTACAGGAGATGAGGCTTCAAGACTTTATGCGAAGAAGACGATAGTAGTTGGGAACGTATCAAAGTAAGTTAAAACAATGTCCCATTTAAAAAAAAAGTAGACTTGTTTAAACTGTAGACTTTGTAAATTAGAGCAGGAGTGGTAAACTATGAGCTACAATGGCATGTTATATATAATTTGAAACCAAATTATCTCAAGAACGCAATAATATTATTATTCATTCTAAACATTGAACCCAAAGTATCAAAAGGCTTACAATCGGTATTAACAATCCTTCCTTAAATCTCATTTCATTTGGAGAAAAGCAAAGATCCAAACATACCGGTTGCCGGTAAAAATATTTTGTACTTTGTGAAAAATGTCGTGGGAGTCAGAAGCTCATGTAGAAATTATAAAACTAGTAATAGTCTATACAATACAGTCATAAAGGTTAAAAATATTCTGCCCCTGATCAGGGGAAAGCATGATATATAGATATATTTTAATAAAACTCACACACACACATGTGTTTTTTCATACAAGGTTTTCTAGATTCTTATGTCTGAGTGTGTCTTTAACAAGCTGACTCATCATTTGACTTTGCTTCAAGTTCAGACTTGATACAGGCTTCCAATGTGTTTTTGCTCTGTTTTTGGTTCTGACGCTGGGAATGACTTTGGCCTTGCGACCCTTAGTTTCCTCACATGTTTTTCTCTTTCCAGGAACCAAAGCTTATGGGTTCATATTTCTAAAAAAAAAAATACAAATCACATATACTTTTGCCACATGTCATAGGCTATTACTTAAATGTTGATATATTGATGGTAACATGGTATGCTAAAAATGCAAATCAAACATTTATAGTGTAATAATGTTTTATTTTTTCTTCTATTTCAGGTATATTCCTCCTGATAAGAGAGAGGAAAATGACCAGTCGACCCATAAGTGGATGGTGTATGTCAGAGGCTCCAGGAGAGAACCCAGTATTGACCATTTTGTGAAGAAAGTTTGGTTCTTTCTTCATCCCAGTTACAAGCCCAATGACCTTGTGGAAGTCAGGTGTGATTGTTCAACATTACTGAAAAAAATTTGTTTACTGTTTCTAAGAAAACATTTTGCTCCTCTTGGCTCTCAAACATGACTGGTCCTGCTAAAGGCAGTGTGTCAGTTAAGCAATACAGTCTTTCAGCTAAAAAGTACAACAACACTGTCTCATGGATGTCAATACTGCCCTCTTTTGGATATCCTTATACAACTACTCATAATATTTTGTGGCAAAGTGACACAAATATTTATAATGGCAACTTGCAAGCTGTATGGACTGTGTCCAGCCGCTGGATTACTCTTAAGTAGCTATAAAACATAAATACTACTCATTTATTTCAATATTTTCTTTTTGATCTTTTCTCTTACAGTGAACCTCCATTTCATTTGACTCGTCGTGGCTGGGGTGAATTTCCTGTGAGAATCCAGATTCACTTCAACGATCCTCGAAATAAACGTGTTGACATAATACACCAGTTAAAAGTATGTTCTTAATAAAGCACGCATGAATTACACATTTGGACGGATACATTATTGATATCAACTCTTTGTTCTTCAGCTGGATCGAACGTACACAGGTCTTCAGACATTAGGAGCAGAGACTGTAGGTTGACAATAGAAAGTTACATTTTTTTCCCGTATTTCCCACTTTTGATTCTAGTGCGTTTGATTCAGGTGGTTGATGTTGAGCTTCATCGAGACTCTCTTGGGGAGGACTTTATCCCTCAACCTTCATCATCCAAGATGGCTCCGAGGGAATCCAGCCCCATCTCCGGAACATCCCTGACCACAACACACAGACCCCCAAGCTCCCCCATCTCACATGAACCACATGAACAAAAGAGTAATGAGTGGATTGTTTCACTGACTTACTGCATGATTCGTTATGGTCTTACAAGTGTCATTTTTATTTAGGTTTTAATATTGCTGCTGGAGAACGAACTCCAACTCGACCTAAAACTGCTGATCGGGTCACTCTTGGTTCCCTGTGTACCTCTGCCTTTCAACCAATCACAAGTAGCTGTAAAATTGTCCCTCAAGGACAGCCGCTCAGTCCTGCTGAGTCCCCAGGAAAGTTATTTCAACCAATCACAAAGAGTTGTAAAATAGTTTCAGGTAATGGTTGAATATAATTGATATAGGTGTCGTGTATGCATGCAACTGTTGTGTAATGAAGGTAAAGCAATGCGTTTTCTGTTTAAGGTTCACCAATCTCTACTCCAAGCCACTCACCACTACCACGCACACCCACGGCGTCCACCCCTGCCCACAGTAAGCAGACCTCCTCCTCCTCACTGCCCAACAATCCTTCATCTGCGGCACTCACAGGTACAAAAAAGTTTAATTCTTTATCATCGATGGAAGTTAAATCAATGTATTGAATTTTGCTTCTGACCATATTCATGTATGGTTGTGCAAACATCGACATACATTTTATGCACTAGTAGAATTATTTAGATCCAGCATTCTGTATTTACTTTAACTTTGTAGAACAATTGTTTGTTCATATTTGCAATCCTGACCTGAGCAATAGCAATAATAATTTTAACGTTTTAACAAATCGTTTGTCAGTAGCTGCTTCGGGAAGTCCTATGTCCAAATCGGTGACTCAGGGAACTCGCTCTCCTGGACCTAAAGTTCACACTGGCACTTTACTATCTTCAGGATTAAAGGTAAGTGTTCACACTGATGAGAAAACCTAGAGTCTCCATGGTATTATTGGCAATCACATAATTCAGTTGACGTCACAGTACTAATGCACAATGACTAATAAGCCATGGAGCTGTGTATAGCTCTTAACGTCAAAGTTTGGGCTGTTGAACATCCTGATCTATTTTTTATGGGAATGATAAACATGGCGCTGAGAGATGGCGGGCTTGGCAAGAGCTCTGATGTTTACTAATTTAATTCTGCTGATGTGTGGGGAAATCTCACCTTTCAAAAAAGTCCAATATAGACATGCTTCTAACCCATTGTTCACAGAATGAAAAGAGCTTAAACGGCAGGACTGGAAAACTGCTTCAAAAATTGCCACAATTTATTCCATTATAGTGATGCTTTCCATTATGAAGAAACAACACCAAAAAAGCCTGAATTTAGAACTACTTTAAACGCAATGTGTAGCTCAGCGCTAGGAGTCTTTGGAACAACTTTTCTTGTCAACGGTTTTGAAAACGGACCCTTTGGGGCTGAGAAATGTATTTGTGCTTAACATCTCCCAGATTTGTTTTTGATTAGGAATTAAGAGTCCTTGCACTACAAGATCAAGGAAGAACATTTTGCTCTTTGAAGCCTTCATATTAAACTTACATTTAATTAATGTGTTTTTATACCCATGATTTTGAGCAGAATTTAAACTTGTCTGTGTAGGTCATCATAAAGCAGGAGCCTGGGGAAGTCTCCACACACCAGCAGATGGCCTCCACAGCAGCCAGCCCCCAGCAGCAGTCCCCCTCTGCTGCTGCTCACCAGCTTGTGGCTGTGAAAGGAGGTCACATGATATCTATGTCAGCGCCAAAACCGTCAGGGACAACCACTGGGAAGGTCTGTCTGAGTTTTACATTGTACTTACATTGTACAAAAGCTGAGAAATATTAAAGAAAATCAATGTCTTGAATCTTGACTTGTTTAACTATGTGACAAGGTGATGTAATCTGATTTTCAATTTCTGAAATTACAGACCCTTTGGGTTTTTTACTTTTCACAATGTTGTTACATACTTGTAGTTTATTAATCTAAGGAAATTCTCCTTTTAGTATATGTGAGAACAATAGTTGTCAATCTTTTAAATACATGTATTTAGAAAAAGTTATTTAGGAACTAAGGTTTTATGAATCCATGATTTAGTAGGGATGAGAAAACATTGACACCTGAGTATGGTACGATTTTGTATATTAACATTTCCTATGGTGTTTTGTATAAAATCATAGATTATTTTAGTCACCAAAACTATCTTGGAGTATTCTGATGAAAAAGGAGATGACTCTGCACAGCTTGAGCTCCCAAGGAATTATTTTATTTGCACCACAAGATGTAACGTTCGGGCACAAGCTGCCCTTCATCAGACCTGTCTGATGCCCTTCTTCAGAGGGAACATCTTGTGGTGCGAATAAAATAATTCCTTGGGAGCTCAAGCTGTGCAGAGTCATCTCCATTGTTTATCTGCTATTTTCAATGTGCACGTCAACCTCGCTTTTGAGCTTAGTTTTCTATCATTCCAATTATGATGATTGATTATGATTATGATGATTTGTGTTTTAGTTAAGTGAACTTTTGGTTTTTAGATGGGCATCCCAGTCAGCTCCACTCTGCAGTCTGCTGTCAAACAAGTGGCAATCAGCAGCGGACAACTCCTTGTTACTAAAGGAAGCTCATCCAGCTCCAAAGTTATTGGTGGGAAGCAGGTTTTGGCTCAAGGTGTTGCAAAGGCCATTGTTAGCGGCTCAACAGGGCTCAGTCAGACGCCTGGGGCCAAAGCAACTGGAAGTGGCAAGAGTGGAGGTCAGAATGTGCAAATGTTGATTAATAAAAGCCTTGTATTATTCCTCATTCCTATTTTACTCATACTTTTGGAATTATATTGTTTTAGTTATGGCCACTCTACAATTACCTGCCAACAATCTGGCAAATCTGGCAAACCTTCCTCCAGGCACCAAGCTTTATCTCACTACAAATAGTAAAAATCCCTCCGGAAAAGGAAAGCTACTTCTCATCCCACAAGGAGCTATTCTTCGAGCTTCAAGTGCAGGTAAAAACTCTTGTCTTTTTTCATCCATTTGGTGAAGAATATATACTCTCTATGGAAAGTGTTAAAATGCTATGGCTAGCAACATAGCTACAGTCGGTTATGAAAATCTTGTGTTTTTCTGTAATGTAGGTCAGCAGTCTCAAAGCAGCTCGACTCCCAGCTCTGGGGGCACACAGAGTTCCTCTTCTACCTCTTCCAGCCTCCCATCAAACCTCTCCTACACATCGTACATCCTTAAACAAACCCCACAGGTGAGACAATCTCTTCTGCTTGTGAGTAATTTAACAGCAATACTACTTTTTTTCATGGTGAGTGAGTGGTTAAAAAGGGCTTTGTATACTGTTTGAGTAGAAAGGATCATGTACTTGTGGTAGAGTAAGTAATGTAAGTATGCACACTTTTTAGTTTCAGATATTAAACTGTGTTTCTGCTATTTTTCAGGGCACATTTCTGGTTGGGCAATCGTCACAGAGCTCAAAGCAGGCAGGAGGCTCAGGTTCAGCTGGTCATTCAGCTTCATCTTCTCCAAGTGGTTCTCCGCAGGCTATTCGGGTCACAGCTGGACAAAAAGCCGCTATTTTAGCTCAGGTCTGCACTAATAGGAATAAATTAATAGGAATTAATAGGAATAAAAAAAATGTAATAAATAATTCTTGCTTGCAATGCTTGTGCTGGCAGGTGGTTGGCGGCTCTCAGGGCACTCAGGTGAAGCTTTCTGATGGATCTGTCAAGACCGTTCCAGCTGCAGCTGGTCATTTGTCTAAACCAGGAACAACCACTTTGCGAATGACCGGTGGAGTCATAACAGCTGCCAGCACCACTCCCAGCTCGGGCACAGCATCAGCACTCGGCCAACAGCAGGCAAGCTTCAAATGGATTCAGTAGAAACAACTTCAACATTCTTTTTTTATTTTTTTTATCTGTGATCAAAAAGAAACAATAAGTTATTATTACCATATACAATTATAATTACACAAATAGAAAAGACTGAGCTATATAGAAAGTGCAGGATAAAGAAATTAAATTAACTAAAATTGCAGCTTTCTGTCTCTACTCATTACATAACGGTGAATAGGGATGTGGACTATGGTTATTGTATTGCTGCATTTCTGAATTGTTCACAATTCAGGGAATGGAGCTGTAGCAGAATTGGTTCATTTACTTTTAGTTGATGATATGCGTTTTTCCTAATGTTCTTTTTCATGTAGGCTTCTGAAGTTGGAAAGGCTACGTCGCATCAGCACTCGCTACTGATGGCAGCAAACCAAGCAGCAGTAATCAGTGCAGCTAAAAATGCCAGCTCTGCACTTGGGGGAAGTTTATCAAAGGCCACAGTGACCACACTGGTCAAAGGCAGCAGCAACGCGGGAGCTAAAAGTGCAGCAGGTTCAGCTGGTTTAGGAGGAGCCGCCAATAAATCCAATACGCCTGTTGTGAGCAAGAACACTGGGGCAGGGGCGGTGGTCAGTGTGTCCAAAGGCAGCAGTACATCACTTATTACTGCAGCCTCATTATTGAGTGGACCGGCTGCAGGAACAGGGAAAACCACAGCTACTCTCTCAGGTGCACAATGAAAATACAAGCATTTTAAGTCTTCTCTTAAAGGCTCTAGTGTTAACCTGATATTGTATTTAATTCAGGTATGTTGAAGATTCATGCCAGTGGTTCTGGCTCCCAACCGACGCTGCTAACTATCCCAGTCAAGCAGCTGGGGGTGGGCGCAGGGTCAGCAGGCCTGCAAACAGTACTCATGCCTGTTGGAAAAGGTACATATCATGAAACTCTATTCTATTATTACCAATTGTATATCTATAAACCAAATATTCTGAGTAATAACTATAGTTAACAATAACATTCTGCAATGAAGAGGAAATGCAGGTACACTCGCTCTTGGCTAATCAAGAGTAACTGTGTCAAAGGATGAAGTAAGGATGTTCCAACACTGCAAAAAATTGACACTAGTCAACATTGGTATTTCAATGTTGTCTTTATCAGTTCTAATGACACAATGTGACATTGAACTGGTATCAGTATCCACAGGATATGGGGCAAAGCACAATATCTGAATCCCACAGAAAAATGGTAGGGAATCACTTAGTGTGAAGGGTGCCACACCTAGGCACTTTCTGTTCTTGTAATGAATAAATGCAGTGTTTGACACAGAGTAAGACAGTATCTTGATTTATGTACACGTCCGAAAGGACTTTTCTATCGTTCTTCTAAATGCGGATTATCCCCATAATGCAAAACATTTATTGAATTAACTCTAAATTCAGTCTATAATGGAACTGCATGTGAGGCTTTGCACCCCTTCAAGGTTTGTTTGAGAATTTGAGAATTGATTCATTGTGTACTTTGTGTGTTTCTTATGTGCATTTAGTTCTTTATAAAGGGTCTGTGTCCAGTTGTTCTCCCACTTCCTCGCCCTTATCTGGAGCCGCCGGAGCTTCTCAAAGCCCTGGCAGACAGGTGCCCCCCTCCCTTGCCCTGCCTCTGGCACAAGGTGAGAGGGGTGCATCCTTCTCCACCTCGCCTCATTGCATCTGTTTATTTTTCTATTAAAAATATACTATTGTGATTTTTTTGTGATTGTGACTCTAAATATAATTCTATAATTGTACCTCTTTTTGTTGTTTTTTTTTTTGTCTTTGCAGTAAAAACTGAACCTGGAGCAGTCTCCGCTGGTCCATCAACTCCTGTCACATCCTCTCAACAAATGTCCATCCCTGCGCCTTCAACCGCTGTCAAACAGGAGCAGGGGCTTGAAACACCACACAACCTCATTGAGTATGTTATTTTTTCAAATTAAATCTAAGCATCCTACAATAATGTAATTGATGGCATTCTCCTCTTATCTAGTACGGAGCACATGGAGACCATGACGCAGCTTCTGACTGCAGTAGTAAAGAAATTCCCTTTGATCGTACCAAATAAAAGTAAGTCACTCTCCAGGTAAATGGCGGCCTGTATAGATAAAAAATATGTCCTGTAAGCTGTAATTGATCCTTTCAGCTGAAGATTGCCATCCTTTCTGTGCCTCTTCTGCTGAGCAGTATTATTCCTGGAATATTGGCAAACGACGAGCTTCAGAGGTACGAGGTCTTTCAACCTTCCATTAGATTTAACGCAATTCTCAACTCCTCAAACGTAATGACAACAGAAGGAAGAATAAGATTTTGTTGAGATTGCCTGCTGTCAAATTTAAAATACACTTGTTGTGAAAAACCTTTCTTTCCTGCTTGATCAGAAATGTATAATTTATGAACACGAGAGGCACTTTCTGCAGGATTTGAAAACTTGACTTACTCATGTTCAGCTTCAGCGTGCTGTGGCCGTGAAGCGTGTTGTCCAGGACGTGTTGGACCGCTCTCCGCGCCTCCAGGCTTTGACTCCTCCTAAAACCAGGGAAGTGGTGCAGTGGTGTCGACAGAGGGCCTACACGCCCCCGGACCCTGAGCCCCAGCGCAAGAACGATGATGAGTTGATGGAGGACATCCTCACTCAGATCGACAGCGAGCCAGGTGAGCTGCTGCAAGGGTGTTTGAGATCTGCCTCCCTCTCACTACTCCTACACTTATTAGACCTGCCCTATGCTTCTTTCTGTTATAACCAGAGGAAACATTCACTGTTCAACAATTTCTTTTATTAAAAAAGAAATTGTAGAACATATACATCTGTTTTTACAATTGTTTTCCTATGTGTACAATAAAGTGTACAATTCAACGCAGTAACCACAAAAGGGATAAAACGTGCTTTTTTATTGAAGTGCTTCATAAATCATGACTAAAGAGGCAACTTTTTGCCATTAAACGGCAAAAAAAAAAAATGTAATACATGACTAAATGATTTAGTTTTAGATTTAGTTTTCAGGTTTACTTTTGAATGCGCTGGAAAACGGCAGCAAGTCCTAAGTAGCTCTGAAACAGTTGTTGTTTTGTGCTTTGCAATTTTTATTTTGATTGCGTTTTTCTACCTGAGATGTTACTGCAGTACAGTGTATATAGTTTTGCACTGGTCCAGACCGGAGCGGAGAGGATTCATGGTCCTAATCAAGCGGATCAAGCGAAAATCCACTGGAGGAATGCTAACTTTTAGAAAAATGCTAATAAAGCCTTTAGCATTTTACTTACTTAATGGTCCGAACCAATTGGCTATTCCACCTTTTGACCTGTCCTGCTCCACCCATCGACTACGCCACCTCTGCTGCTGTGACCCGTCCTGCTCCACCCAGAGGCTACTCCACCTCTGCTGCTGTGACCTGAAGGGCTGTTGCTGATTATTACTATTGTTATCTTTTTAGAATGATCAATTTTATTTTTCATTTTTGCTGCTACTGGACACCTGAATTTCTCCTACGGGGATCAATAAAGTATCTATCTATCTAAATGAATATGTAGCCTGGTAACCGTCCGTTCATTTTCTCATAAGAGAGGTGTGATGTTGTTGTCTCAAAGAATTTAATACATGAAAGATGGATAAGTTCAGACCTAACAATGGAACCTTCCTGCTATAGCGAGACAATGGTGCATTTTTTTGAGAAGGGTCTGTGTTTTTTAAATTTGAATTGAGTTTAGTTCTGTAATTTCTCCCAGTGTTCACTTTTTTTAAACTTGAAATATAATCAAAATATTCCTTACAGTGTGGGTGAACTGCTGCGATCAGTTCTTCCTGCACTACATTAGCGAGCCATTAACGTACAGAGCCCACAACCTTCATTAAGTCCTTTATCGTCCCACAGAATCCTCATTACTTCCCCTTGTGTCCAGTAAAATGCTAACACTAATGGGCTGGCATCAACACCTTTTAGTTAAACGTTGGGATACCTGACTGTCAAACCACAAAAAATGTAATGTATGTATTAGTATCCATATAACTAGCTCTCTAGAGTCACTAGGTTTCCTAAGCATGTATCTTTTGCCGTACTTTTTATAAACAGAAAGTTACCCCACAATAAACCTCGGCATTTCCATTTTTCTGCCACGGACTCAACGTTATCTGCACAATCTCTGTTTTTGTATAATAATGTTTTGTGTTGCAATCTCCGCAGAATGCCCTTCGACCCTGTGTAGTTCAGAGGAGCTGCTGCAGCGGCTGGAGCAGATGCAGGCCGTTCTGAAGACGGAGCCGGAGGAGTTGGATGACGAGATTGTGGACATCATCTCTGTGTCGCCTCCGTGTCACAGGCTCAAGGTCAAAGAAGAGGAGCAGGAGACCGACTCTGAGCCTAAATTCTTCATGGGACCCAGCGCTTCTGACCAGTTCGTCAGTGAAACCGCACAGCAGGTTGGAATGAACTACATTACAGTTTGTGCTAGATAATGACCTCATTTTGGGAAGATTCTAAATTTGATGAAAGCTGCTGACGTGCAAACACAAAAATTACTCCTTTTTATGTCTTTTATGTCCACGCCTAAGAAGTGTCTGCTGTTGAATTACATTTATTTTTGTTTGCGGTAGATTGGGGTGAGCTTCCAGCCTGTGGAAGTTGACAAAAATGTGTTTTCTCCAGTAATTGAAGCCATGATTTTGAAGGTAAGTCATAGGTCCTAACATATCCCCCTCTCTTCTAACTATTTTTGATGTATTACTTATCTGGAGTAGATTATTTATGAAGATTTTTATAATTTATAATGCTTTTTTCATAAATAATCAGCCTGTAACATTCAGTCATCATCATTTTATAATTTTCATACTTGTAAAAAAGACTTCTGTGAATCACTACTTTAAGTTTTGGGCTCAAAGCTTTTCCATATTTCTATTGGAAATGGCTGATATAAAGTTGTGACAGAGGTATAAACTGTTCTGAAACCTAGGAACTAAATATATGGATTTAATTACATGCTTGTTCCAACAGGCCACAGAGCAGTTTGCGAGTGACGTCCTAAGAGAAGCGTTGGCAGTGGCCTATTCCAAATCCTCTCAAAACAGGTGATGTTATTTCTGTTCTTTTCATGCTGTTACCCTGTATCAATGTATGTATGACTGGACTATTGCATAATAACAACTCTATTATGATACTTCAATAAATATGTAGTTTTACTTGTTGACACAATTTTGGCCTCTTGCAAATCAAAGAGAGAGTGCCATTTAAGAGACTGATGAACTGATGATCAATATTGTGTTTTTATTTCAGGACCCCCAGAGAAGTCACCGCCATGAACGTCCACCAGGCCCTCGGCAGAATCCCCACATGTGACTTCCTCTCCAACGCACACATGGGCTTTTTTATGAAGAACAATTAACAAAACTAAACTTCTCACTGCTCTTTTGAATACAGCCCCAATTAGAGTGTTAGACTTTAGAGCAGAGGACAGTATTTCACAGTATTGTTGGGACGTGCCAATGCACCAGTTTAAGGGCTCACTTTGAACAAAAGCCACCTCTAACCTCACGGATTTAACAGTAGATTTAAGTTTCATACAAGATGAGCATTGTTTGAATCCGGATCAATATGATGTACAAGTAAGTAATCTTTTTATTTAGCACATTTAACAAAAAAAGATCACACAAAGCGCTTTACAAATTTGGTTTACCGATCATTTCTGTTCACTCCACAAAGTAAATATCATCGACCTCCACTCAACAGGGAGGACTAAAATAATTGGATACAAATGTAGACAAAAGTAAGTCGTGTAATCATGTTTCATTTTTTTATTGTAAGAAAATGACTTCTGACCCATTTCTGAAATACCGCTGAAGAGACCATTCTAGAAACTGACGTGAAATATATTTATTTTAGTTTTGACTTGTGGCCAGCTAAAGGTGCTTTTAAATGTTCAAATGACCTATGTATTTATCATGAGTCAGTGTTTGGCTAATCTGAAATGGAAGGTGTTTTTTTAATCGATGGATTGTAATAATGCAACAGTATGAATTTGTGTGGACGTCATCGCCACTGTGAACACTTGTGTTTAAATGTAAGTGAATGTGTTTCTGAGCGAGGGTTATGTGCTTTTGAGTCTGTGTCGACTGTAAAGAGTCTCAACTGTTATTTTATGTATTAGTGCAAACCAAAAATATAACTAATATTCTTGTATTAAAAGAAAATAACCTGCAGTCACTGGATTTTATATTCTACTGTTTATTCACAATGGCATCAAAGCTTTCATTTGTAAAACAAATTCAGACTTTTTTCATATTGTACAAAAACGCTAACATTTTCATCCATGTGCTTTCATCTTAGTTTTAATATGAACTCTTCAAACCTATTGTATTTAGAATCACTTGCAAGCATAACAGAAGAAACACTAAAATGATAAGTTGACACATTCTGACAAAGCCTATTTAAGATTCCTGCTGTTTTTATTACTGTGGACTATGCATTCTGATTAATTCAGCGTTAGAAAACTACAGCAGTCATGCATATTCTTACTCATTATTTAACCACAAAAGTCCTTGCATAGTTGCTTCTTTCCCAGAATGAAATAAATCATTTTGCTTTGTCGCCCTGTCACATGTTGAAGACCCCGGATCCGCTCTGGAAGATTGCAGCAGGGTTTGGGGGTAGTTTGGTCCTCGCCACATTTTCCTGTTTGAGATACAAACCGAAAAACAAGAGATCACAGATGAGGAGGATACATGTAATGTGTGTGGACTGTGTGTCAGAGAGAATCACTGTCACAAAGGAGACACACACATATTGCCTTTTTATTTTCTTGCTTCATGACACTGATGATTCCGGCTCTTCTCCAAACCTCTCAAGTACATGCTGAGCTGTGCCAATAGGAACAGACACGGACTAATGCATGGAACCAATACTTTAAGGAAAATACAAATTTAGCAAGCATGTTTTTCAAAAATATTCAGAATACTCAATACTAAATATTCTAACTTTCAAAATTATTTTTTCCACATCTGAGACGTATGTACAGATGCTTGGGTGCTCAGGTCGGAGGGTATAGAGCTGAATGGGTGAAACAAACTGGGCTGTTGATTTGATCAAAACTTTAATTGTGAGAGGGAATACTCGTTTCTTAGCAGGAAGATCCTGGGTTTGAATTCTGGTAGGAACAGTTTCTTTCCCTTACCAACATGTATAATAGACAAAAGTCCTCCAGCTTCAGAATATTTGTACAAATACTGGTACCCGGATTGGGTCTTTCAGTTGATGTTATACAATTATTTATTGAAACTAGAAAAACAAAAACGCACACCAAGTTCTTCTCATGAGGTGCATGTGCTGGAGCAGAAATTAAATGTGGAAAATACACAGCACACTCGGATAGATGTCCAAAAGATCTAGTATTTATTAACGTAGAAACGTTAATAAATACTAGATCTTTTGGACATCTATCCGAGTGTGCTGTGTATTTTCCACATACAATTATTTATTGTCTGATATTAACCCAGGATGTAGACCTTCCTTGCAGTTTCTTGTAGCATAATAGTTTTTAAATAAATTATTTGGGTGTTGGCAAATATTGAAAGCCACAATATAAAACTATGTAATTAGGAAACTATTTTTTTAATCAAAACATATATTTTGATTTTATACATTTTACTATGAATTATCTCCAATTTGTTCTGATGACTCGTATGTAGATTAAGTAAAATCGCTGCCAGAACATGCATAGGGCATTGTTTACAAATTCAATGTTCTGTTAAATTATACTATCAATGAAAATGAGTTACAAGAATCTGTTTAGGGCGTTAATGGGTATTTTGATTCTTCCAGTGTCGTTAATGAGCTTCTGAGTTAAAATGAGGCCAAGCTATTTCTGATGACTTGCATTGGTCTTTTTGTGGGAGCTCTGTAGAGATACGCTCAGTGTCCCTGACTGCAGCTCCGTGGGTGGTGGTAGTGCGCACACAGATGTTGGTGTATGTGAGAATGAACCGGCTCACCCCATACTTCTGCTCCCCCCTCCCCACTCCTCACACCACGCAGCCTCTAGAATTAGATTCAGCACCAAAAAGACTGCAACCGTGTGCAACAAGGCTCTTAAACAGGTAATCCATCACACGCTGCACTCTGGCCCCTTCTTTCCCCGTTGCTGCGGCTTTCTCATCATCACTTATCTATGTTCTTTTAGTCAACTTGGACATCACCTCTGCACTTCTGACAGGAGACATCTGGGGGAGCATCTCCAAAGGCATGGCTGAGGCAAATGCAGTTGAGCCCACTCTTCATACATTTTTAAGTGAGCTGTGTTTTAGTGCATTCTAACATCCCGCGTGACTTTTAAATATAGATTTTGACGTTGCATCAAAAGTCAACAAGAAAATATTTGAGGGATTCACATTGTTCTTATCTAAAACACAGTAGAACAAATACAACTGAAGTTCTCATTTTCATGTGTGGAAATTTTGATAGAAAACTTTACCCATGAAAAAATCTAAATAGGTGAATCTTAATTTATACAGCACTTTTCACTGATCACTCCACACACAATGATAGAGTGTCATACTGGGCCCCACCAACTACCGTTTACCCACCACACTCATAACTATGGAACATTTCTTAGTGATCGGAGAAACCGGTGAACCTGCAAGAAACAGTGCCACTTGAGTCTCACACAAGAGCTTCTTGCTGATTGCTCTTAGCACCGTGTCGCCAAATGAATGAAAATGGTATGGTTGGAAAGAACCAGTTATCCTAATTAATAAATTAATTTAGTCTAAATAATTGGCCTTGATAGTTTTAGTAAGATATCTGCAACTCACCTGTACACAACTTATTATTATACTAATTCAAATTGTGCAGATTTCATTGATAAACATAGATTATAGTGAGCAATTTCACACAGAGCTTTCTTCATGGACATATAGGTGACATATACAGGTTTAATGTGGAGAATTGTTCACTTCAAGTTAATTTAATCAAGCCATAATTAAGACTTGATATATGTCACTTTGTTTGCAATAATGAAATTCTGAGTCAAAAAAGCTGAAAGTTGAATTACAGAAATGAATTGAAGATCTCAATTGGTAAAATGTTGCGGATCCTGTACTACAGGTAAATGTCACAGCATTTATTTTTTTAGCTTTATTTAATCATTTTAATGTTTCTTTCCAAGCTTGCGTCGGTGCCTCTTTGGCACAGTGCCTTTTTGGCACAGTGCCTTTTTGGCAAAGGACTCTCCTGTGAAGTCCTGGACAGCGTGGGAACAAGGCAGCGCTCCAAGAGAGAGGTATTCGGCTTCATGTGGATGCAACAGCAACTGAAGCAAAGCAAACACTGGTATTTTGTTCTACCCCGAGCACGTCAAAATCGTGTTAATCGACAACAAGAGAGCTGGCATTTTTTTTACAACACAAATCTGGTGGCGTTCTAAAGTCATGCATCTCTGCCCAAGAGACACAGGCTTAAATTGTGAGGGGATAACTACAAGAGAAAAAGCTGCAGAGCAAGAGTTTCCCGCATACTAAACGTACAGTGGCTTTGTCCTACTCATCCTCAATACACTGCAGATTACACAGCATCATCCCCCCTCCTCCTCTCCTCCCCTTCTCCTCCTCCCCTCCTCTCCCCTGGAGTCACCCGAGTGTGGAGAGTGTTCAGCTCTGTCAGAAAGGACGTTTTAATGAACCTTTCAACTCACTCTGGGAGTTTAATGCAAGATCCAAACAACAACAGCCATGGAATTCTTTGTATGAATGAAAAGCATGTTGTTTTCCCAGAGGTCGTACTAAGTACTCCTACTAAGATGTAAAGTAATGTTTTCATATTATTTATTTATGGATAGATTCAAAGACAGGCTACTGCCATGTGGGTGTCTACTCTGCATGAGCACAGCACTAAAAAGAATCGATGCCAGTTTCCATCTGGTGTTTGAAAATAGCATGGAATAATTTCTACATAACTATTTCCATCTGTGATCATACTTTTCTGCTCCAATTAGCACTGTCTAAATGCGATGAAAGGAATGATGATGATTGTGACATGTCCCATCAAATGAATAGCATGACGTGAGTCACGTGTGACTTATGTGTGATGTGCATTCCTAACACTCCATTAAAATAGTTCAAACATTTCACTTGCACAGATTTTCTTTTTACTGTAAATATGGATGATGTTTTAAAACAAGTTCAACACATTTAAAGAGTTATATTAGTCCCAGAATATTTTACATTTTTATTCTGAATAAATCCAATACATAAAACATTCTTACTATTAATGCTGACGAAGATTTGTCTGAGAGCCAGACATAATCATCAAAAGAGCCATAGGTTCCTGACCCCTGTAATAGAGCATCTGACATCTTGTAATGCACTCTGGATCTATGCAGATTGGACCAGTGTA